GTATTTTGCGTAGACAACTGTTCATAAATACTTGTATCTTCTGGATGATGGCTTTGGTAGTTCTCCAAGTTTCCGCTCCATACAGTAGAACTGTCTTCACATTTGTATTGAAAATCCTGATTTTGGCTTTGGTTGAAAGTATTAAGACCTCGAAAATAACAATCGCTTCTGTTATTTCTACGCAAATCGAATACCTAAACAGATTAAATGAAATCCAGCAGTGCGGAAATTCCAGTACAAAAGGAACAATCAGAAAATTACCTACACAAAAAGTAGTTTTTCCGAATACAGTCAGCTAACAGTACATACTGCCAAGGAATTGATCTTTCACGATCCACGAGAGGTCTGCTGAAGAAATTTTATAAGTCTACGACTCGCATGCATGTCAGTCACTCTAACAAGATATGTTATAAGGACGTAGGTGAGTCCATTCCATTTCTCCTTCTTCACTCTAATACTAATGAGCTTTTTCTAGACAATACTAAGTGTGAATTGAAGAGAGAATCTGAGATGCATTCTATGAAACTGTTAAAAAGACATACAAGAAATCACAAAAAACTGGAGACCCGTTTGAGCTACGATGTTTGTATACAACAGCAGCTGATATGAATCACAAATACAATGGGTATCACTAGTTATTATGCAGAATACGATCCCTTCTGAATATCATAATGACTCGGTTTGTGGGAACACTTTTCTTCGTTTCTGAATGTGGAATAAATTACTGGTAGTTGTGGATAAGACTAACATGTGATTATGACCGAACTGAAGAACAGCTATTGAAACCTAGATAAAATATTTGGGGAGCAACTAACGGTATTAAACCCTAGGATTAGACACCGGTTAAGTTGGCTCTTTATCGTCGCAGATGTTCGACACCCTATAGTAGGTGCACATTTCCTGAGTTCATATAGCTTGTTAGCAAACGGAAGCCTGTTGATTCCTATAAAAGTAACCTGCATGCCTTCAGACTATCTGGTACATTGCTCCATGATAGATCCGTCTACAAATGACGATCTTTCTGCTACTGTTCTTCAGTACCCTAAATTTACAATGCCGACTTATCACGGGACAGACTAAACATCCATTGTTGTCCCTGCGCATGGTAGCTAAGACGGACTATGATTAATGTTCTTGAGGTAGTTACTGACAGTTTAGCTCTACATTGTTGGATTCCTCAATTGGATGATCTCTCACCTACGTTACATGGAAAACGAGATTTTCTAAATCGACCTCGTGCGAGCTTATCGTCAGATTTCAGTAGCACCAGGAGATATGCTGGAAACAGCAATTATCACTCCTTTTGGTCCGTTTGAACTTCTGGGGACACCATTTAGACGAAAGAACACTGAGTATACTTCTCAGCGATCCATGGATAGGGTACTAAAGGCCTCCATTTTGTTTCCGTGTACATCGACGATGCATTAGTTGCCCGGGGTTTGTTTGAAGAACATGTCGTTCATCTACATCAACTGATTGGTAGATTTAAGCAAATAGATGTAGTTATAAACCTGCCTAAATGCATTTTTGGAGTCTAAAGCTTGGAATATTTAGGCCACAAGATCGACATTTATAGCTAGAGATGCATTCTTAGTAGCCAAAACAGCCGTTACTTCCACAACAATGACTATAAGTCCAGAGACAGCCCTGATCTTATGCACAGACCTGTCTCAGACAGCAGTAATCTTGTCTCTACCAAAACAAGAGAAAAACGAAATCAAACTGCATACTTTCTTTTCAAAGAAGTTAGAAGTAGTTCATTTTCCCCTCTGGGAGAGAGCTATTAGCTATTTCAGTCAGTCACCATTAATGAAACGAGTGAAACTTAAGGACTCACTAAGCGCAATATGGCCATATCTGGCGAAAATGTGTTAGGAAAATCGATATTTTCGTGACATACTATGGAGGTTATGGAAGTAAATGTCCAGTTAGTCGGTCAAGTCACCCCAAATGTTGCACAGGGTTTTTTGTAAACCTAGAGATCGAAATATTTCAGAGTGCGTTTTAGACCATCCAGCTTAGTAGCATTCGGATGGCTGTTGAACAACAGTTACCATTCAATAAGAGATTGTTGGTTTAGACTTGGAGTACTTACGAATTGAATAAGAATACTGTTAGTCATAGACGAAACGCGGTAAGATAATGAAGAGTTGTAGGTGGGTTATTTGATCGTGGGGCTTTCATCGTTCTGAGTATCAATCCAGCAATATCGGAATCAAATTTAAATTCCAAAAATCAGATCATTTTACTGTATACAGGACATTAGAAATTACATTTCCCGACCGTAGCTGCTCCCTTGACGTGGTGGTCGGGCTTGCCTATCGTGATGACCCAACCGAGCTATACTGGCTGGAACATATGTTCCTGCAGGTCCTACCATGCCAGGCTGGTCGATTGGAGAACGATGAGACTAAAGCAGCTACCCAAGGTCTGACGGCGAAGTCGTACTGCTGACTGCAGAGGGGTGTGACAGCAGTAAGGTGTTTCCCTCGGACAACCAGCATCTGCAGCGATGCTCTCTTCTCACAAGGAAGGAAGGGTTAGAAAAGGTCGGCCCAAAAAATGTCACACCTCCCCTAACTCACGGATTTCCGTCTCCTTGGGTAAGGGTGCCCACTAAGGGCCTTTAAGAACGGAGCTAATCCTCAAAAAACGTTTCATTAAAAGGCCGTGCGTGACCGGCCTCAAGAAGTTGTCCCTTGGGCTCTGCGGTCACGCACCCAGGTCTCTAAGACCAATACTAATCTGTTTTCTTTTACAGGTTTCTCAAGAAACAACCTTCCACGGTGTGTGCAGCCGGGAAGTGACAACCGCACTCACACCCGTAACAGCACGCGAGACCAAATTGGTCAAAATCAAATCCTTTCTACACCCCCTAATGTCTCTCTTATCTCCACGACTAACTCTTCTCACATTCATTTATCACAGTGCACAGCTAATGCAGTCGACACAACTTCGTGAAACGTTGTTCCTCGTCTCCTTAAACCCCGCTCTAGACTACATGTTGGGGCATTTAATGTACGGACATTGTGCCAAATAGGTCAACAGGCATCATTAGCTAGGACTTTAGAATCTCGTGCCATCGATGTATGCTGCGTCTCGGAAACGCGCATACAGGATCCTAGTAAAATTATTAATCTGATTTCACCTTATCAAAATAAAGAAGCAGCTCGATTTACTCTTCGTGTATCCGGTAACCCTGATGCTGCTTCCAGGGGTCTTGCTGGCGTAGGCATAGCATTGAGTCGAAGAGCTGAACAATCTCTCCTTGACTGGATCCCGGTAGATAGTCGCTTGTGCACTGTCCGTCTAAACGAGACAGTAAGGACTCGGAAAGATAGGGACACTCGCCGTTGCCTGTTTGTTGTCCCTGCCTACGCTCCTACTGACTGCAGTTCAGACGAGGTGAAGCATGAGTTTTATAGAAAGCTTTTGGACCTCCTCCAAAAAGTTAGGCGCTCTGATACAGTAATGATGGCTGGTGACTTCAAAGCTCAAGTAGGTAGACTCAGTGAAAAGGAAAGACACCTGAGTGGATGTTATGGTGTCGCGGCCCAAAACACTGATAATGGCGACCGTCTGCCGCAGCTATGCTCAAATAACGGCCTATTCCTAGCAAACATTTATTTTAAGCATAAGGAAAATCATCTCTTGACCTGGCGACCTCCAAAGTCGTCTCAACGTTGGACCCAACTAGATCACATCGCCATCAGCCACCGATGGAGAGGTTCGATAGAAGACTGTCGCTGGTTCTGGGGCACATGTTTGGATTCAGATCATGTCCTAGTGCGAGCGCGTATTTGTTTGAAGCTTACTGGGCGTAGGAAAGACACCGTAAGAAAGCCTCTTAGGGTTTTACTTAATTATAATAAGGCGAAAAATATATTTCAGGAACAACTAGAAAGACAGACAACCATGTAAGCGATTCCCATCCAGAAGCAGGTTGGAATGATATCAAAAAGGCTGTGGAAACAGCAGTGATATCTGCTAGTAAGGTTGACCATAAGGCTAGAATGAAGCCGTGGATCTCAGTAGCATCCACCGATCTGTTGGATGCCCGAAAACTCATCCCACCTGGCTCTGAACATGATGAAGAACGAAGTCAACTTAGGCGCAGACCTATAAAAAGCCTACGTAACGATCGCGAACAGTGGTGGGTGGCGAAAGCAAAAGCGATGGAAAAGACAGCGGCGATCGGCATTCGCAACACATGTCCCAACCACCGACTGCCTCGAAGAGCTTTGTTTTGTAGTGTAGGAGTAGGTTGGGAGAAAGTTAGCGGCGGACAAACCAAAACATGGCACAAATCCTTGAAGTCATTGACGAGTAGACTTAGCCATATCGGTAATTGTCGACTACCTGGTTGGGGTCCGCGAGATGATAATAATCGATGGTTAGAGACCTTGAATGACATGGCTCAAAACCGTTTGCAATGGCGCCGGTGCATTTATGCTTTGTGTTCTCTCAAATCCTAATCTTCTGGGTTCTTCGATAACTCTAGTTTTGACTTTCTACACTTTTCTCATTGAATCATACTTCTTGAATAATATCTTCTCATCCTAACCTCTTCGATTACTTCTAATACCCTTACTAACTCTTCTACTATTGGATTTGAATTGACAATTACATCTCTGTGCTGATGTGGTATGGCGAGATGAACTGACGTACTTACGTACGAAGTTCTACGTTGCAACTCACTGACTGACTGAGAAATTACATTTACCGAAGTCATTTTGAATAAGTACGGCAAAAAAAACCAGCAAAGATTTTACAGCTCGGTAGCTTGTGACATCATACCCGACTCAAATAAAGGTGACTGATAATTACATTGTAGGTTTTAGTTACACTTTTCATAAAAGTGAGATGTAAGACTCTATAGACTGTATTTTTACCGAACTATACCTTTATTAAAATACTAGCGACGTTTATTTACTTACCAACTATACGATTGTTTTTTATTCTTTTTCTTACGAACATTATTATTTCACATTAGAAGTGAATTTTTTTGTCATACATTTTATTGCTCAAAATACAAACAGTGGAAATTCGTAGTGCCTAGGGAAGTGGACTAAAGAATCAGTTCCATCATCAAGACTCAGAGGTTAAAAATTCACTATAATTTTCTTCAGATAAAAGGTCTTTGATTTGCGATAGGTCTGAAAGCTGAAGCTTGAAAAGCCAGCCTGGAAAACAAAATAAACGAAAATTGTTATAGTGAAGTTAAACATTGGCCTTCCACAAGGGGATGGGCGAATTAAGATAACAATTTATCCACATATACGTGGAAAAACAGCAAATTATACACCGTAAGATACTGTTCAGTAAGTATCAAGACCGTCTACCATTGTAAAACACGAAACGTTTTTTTAAACGTGTGTTCACTGAGTACATTTTCACAAGGACATACACATGTTGGCGAAAGTACCAGATGGAGAATGAAAGCTTATGTCGTGAATTCAAACTAAGTAAAAACAAGCCTACTTATGAAAAATGCACCTCTAAGACACATTTTATACTTTAGTTAAGGAGGACTCACTGGTTATTTTTCCAGACAGAATATCTTGAGGTCTTATAATCAGTTCTAGGTAATTTTATTTTGTGTCACACGTGAAGACTAGGGGTCAGAATTCAGAAGCAAGACTAAATTTCAAATGCGCCATACGAGGATGAAACCCGGGCATTCTAATTAAGCATGAGCTCATGTAAAATTTCTGATTACATGCTACTATTAGGGTTGATATCATTTAGGAAGGTGGATACTAGGGCATTGAAAGGAAGTCAAATGATCCATTGAATTTGTTGACAATTTGTCTCATATGACCCAGCTATCTTATTGCTTAGTATTCCTCGACACTGTACAACGCTCAATTAGTCCACAAAATCAGAACATGGCCTGAACGGGTAGTTAATTATATCCTAACAAATCATGGTAATAAAAACGGTGACACATTTCAAATTTCTACAGAAGAATATTCATGGACCTTCTCCAGTTATCCGCTATCACTAAGTGGCTAAGAATGCGCTAATTATTGTAGTCCAGCAAAAAATCCCGTAGTGGACTTGCTTTAACCCAATCTATTTCTCTTTGACCCAATTCGTAGGATTTGTTGCTAGGGTCCTTTTGCATCTGTGTAACTGGTGTGCTCCTTCGACCTGTCCACCGTCTAGAGCATAAGAATGTGTTATCATCACTTATCTGCTCAGAGACTAACGTTACAGTTCCTGGTGGTTTGGTTTTGAAGGTGGCTAGCAGAATGTCAAGAGGTGTTCTAGCTCGATTCCCGTTGCTGGTGATGGTAGTTGGTTTGCGCTAGTTAGCATAATTCATCTAAACTTCTGACCCAACTGATACATCACAAACCACATTTTATTTCCTTTAAAAAGTTCGACCAGCTATGCATGTCGGATGTTTGCCACAATAGTCCTCAACAAGTACTTTTCGACCCACTATGAACAATCGTCTTTGTTCCTTATGATGCCGATTGAATAACTTCTCCATCGATCTGTTTCGTTGAGGCTTAAGATGTTTGTATTTTTCTGTCAGGTAAAACTTCTGCTGGAGAGACCGCATTAATTGTTTAAGGATTCGGTGTAAAACAATAGATGGGTAGGAACCTTTTCAAAATTTCATCGGTGGTCCCTTCTCCTTTTGATTTCTGCAGAACATTTTTAAATTTACCAGCAAAACATCTGACATGGCCACTGGATTGAGGATGTTTAATTTCATCCTAGGAACAAAACCCTGGAAAGATAGCGGATTTAAACTGTTTGATTGCCACTAACCGTCAACTCTGGGATCCTGAGACGACTGCATAAATAATGTAGTTTTCTGATTGTGCAGCCTGCAGTTGGATGTTCCATGAGAATTCCTTGTCACTTACTATATTCATCAACTACCAAGAGGTAAATTTGTCCATTAAGTGGATCAGCAAAGTCCAAGTGCATAAGCTTCCTCGGTGTTTTCGTTGCTAGTGCTCAATTTGTACACGGACGGGATACCCGTTCTAATTGGTTTTCCAAGTGTGGCCAGTATACATAACTCTGTGCTAGAGCCTTCATGTGATTTATCCCAGGATGTCCTGCATTCAATCGTTAAAACACCGCTGGCTGCATCTTTTTTGGGATTATGACACGTTTGACAAATAGAAGGCAATTATCGATAACTGAAAGAGATGGTCTGTACTGGTAAAACTGCTGAAGCTCGGGCACATCCGATTTGTGACGTCCATCTTTCCAGGTGGAGCTTTTTAACCTCTTTTAAAACCGAGTCTTGAAGAATTCCTTTTCTTACTTCATCTGATGATACGAGTGTTTTAAATGTCATCTACTACCGTTAGAGAAAGAATGATCATATCATCAGGTCGGCTTGACCAATGGTATTGATTGACTGGTACTTGAATTGTCGCCTAGCACTGTAATCTGTTGGTCATATAAACAGGGATTCCTTTTCTTGAAACTGAAAATTACAATCAAAGGTTTATGGTCTGTCAGCAAAGTGAATGTACGACCGTAGGTCACCTCATGAAACATTTTAACAGCGAATATAATTGCAAGGGCTTCCTTTTCAATCTGAGTGCAGTTCCGTTCGGCTTGGATAAGTAATCTAGCAGCATGAGTTATTATCTTTTCTGAATTGTCCGACATACTGCTTCAAATCCACGACTAGAGGCATCAGATACGACAATTTCCAAGCTGAGATTGAAGTGTGTGTGTGTGCTAGCAGAAGCGTCCCATCCATCATTTTAGACAAATGACCCAAGAATAAATGAATAACTTGTCTATTCAACGACAATTTCATTGGTAATTGAACGTTTAACTCACCAACTGAATGAATCTAAACCAACTGTCAACTATTGCTATATTTCATACGTTTACCTTGATCTTCTGGTGCGCTACTGCTATTAATCATCTCGAAGACGTTCCAATTCATGTTCGGCAGATCTTACCCTATTAATGTGTTTGGAGCTTGTCGAGATGAGTTTACTAACATTTATTTATCAAAATACGTTTGGCGTTTTTATACTAAATCATATTAAGTCACTCAGAAACGAATATCTTCGTTATGGTTCACTAAGTTTCAAAATAGTTTCTGATATATCATTTAGATTTTCATCGTTGGAATGAGCTTCAGTGTTTTTCCGTCACAGTGTTTCCATATTTAGTAACGGACTGATAAACATATTTCTACTACGTCATATTTCAATTTTGGAATCTGTAGCCGGGAGTACAAAATTCAAGTGTTGTTAAAATAGGCAGGGGTAGTAGTAAGACAGCAATTCTGAGGTTAGATGCATGGTTTTAGGTAATCGCAGTGGGTTATTCAATGAGCTTGAGAACGGAGATTTAAAATTACTTATTTTATGCACGATAAAACAGACTAAGGATAAGTAAACGTAAAGAATAACTACCAATTTATAACCCAACAGGTTGTTAGTTGAAGGGATACATGGTTATTCAATACTTTAAAAACTAGCTGAAAATTTAGTGTTGTGGTTCAAAACTGAATGGTGTACGTGTACGTTCCTTCGGGTCATTTATTTGTTCCCTTAGTGCTTTCTTGGTGTTCATTTTGAATGAGAAACTAGTTACATAACAGTAGTTTTCGGTATTACTGGTAAGAAATAGGTGCGACTTCATATCGATGGAAAGGATTTGTATGCAAACCAGGATACCATATGTACATAACGTACCTTTATCGGAAGGGGATTTATTGATTATTTTCGTATTTTTCTCAACATCTGGATTGACTTCAATTACGGTACCTGACACTGGAGAGTAAACTTCACTAACAGCTTTGACTGATTCGACTACGGCACATTGATCTATTTCTAGCGATTATAAAACTGGGAAATACCGTCAACATTGATCTTGTCTCCAACAGCAGGTAACTCGACATACACTATATCACCCAGCTTCTGTTCTGCATATTTAGAAATTCCTACAATCCCAACATCACCATTAATCTTGATCCATTCGTGCTTTTTGGTATAGTATACATCTGGTCTTATTCATAAGGTATTGACTTACTGGACGCTAACTTACAACTTGAACTGAATGTTCTACTCACTTGAATGGTTTTTGAAATAAAGGAAGTTGATCGACCTAATAACATACACATTTCAATTCTGAAGAATAAAAATTGCAAAAATTAGCAGGAGAATGCGAGTATATTTACTCACCGATAACTAGAAAGAGTGTTATTCCGAAATACCAAGAGACAATGGTTAAAAATGAAATTCCAAGTCAATTGATGAAGTTCAGCAACGTTTAAGAAGTAAGTTTAGATCCAAGTATTTAGTGAATACAGTATTGACTGTTGATAATTATCGGACAGAAGTTCGTTTGGTAAACGTTGTACAAATAACAATTATCAGGTAATCTCTTGTTGACGTGCTATGGCTTAGCAGCTTAAGTGCTTGACATTCAGTTTGAACAGCCCTCAATCTCTTAAGGTACAGGCAACTACAATGAGTAGCTTGAAGCGTGTCACGACAATTATTATGTAGTTGTTTACATGCAATACTTTACAGGTAACATCATAATAATGTTTAGAAAATTTGGAAATTAAGGTGAGTTTTGAAATCAGCTTGAGATTAAGAACGAAGTTTAACAGTTACAAACAGTAAACGGATGCTTAAAATTCTATTTACTAGATGTAATAAACAGATCCACATATACTTTAATATGGAAGAGAGTGGAAAATCTGATGAATTTGTGCGCTATTTTTCCTGGCTGAATTAAATTTTTAGTTTTGGTCGCTATTAAGAATCAAAACTAGCTTTTCACTCAAATCGAATTAATTTCAGCTAAAACCACGGGTATTGTTTTTTTGAGGCATAATCTTGCATCTGTTTAACACAGAATTTATTGATTTTTCTTTTTGTTTTCTGCATGTCTAGACCTAAAAGTCTATGGTTCACTGTTTTCTGGTTGTCGATTTTTGCCTCTACGTGTCTATTCCATTCGGATACCTCTTTCCGATGACTAGAGGGTATAAAACAGCACGCACTGACGCTTTGGCTGTCGATACCATGTTGAAAGTGGTATTCAGTGTGATCAGCAAAAAGGTACGAAAGAGTTTGCACAAATACAATACCTGCTGCTCTCAAAAGGTTCTGCGAAAATTATGTTTGGCCATGCCATCAAAGCTGATCAGATGCAAAAAGTTCGCTATCGCAATGATGAACGCTGCTACAAAGCATATTAACAAGGACAATCTAGACACTTCTAATAATGATTGCTCTATCGACACACATAACGATGTACAGAAGCCCGACCATAGTTGCTACCTTGACGTGGTGGTCGGGCTTGCCTATCGTGATGACCCAACCGAGCTATACTGGCTGGAACATATGTTCCTGAGGGTCCTACCGTGCCAGCCAGGTCGATTGGAGAACGATGAGACTAAAAGCAGCTACCCACGGTCTGAGGGCGAAGTCGTACTGCTGACTACATACAGGTGTGACAGCAGTAAGGTATTTCCCTCGGACAACCAGCATCTGCAGCGATGCTCACTTCTCACAAGGAAGGAAGGGTTAGAAAAGGTCGACCCTAAAGATGTTACACCTCACCCTACCTCGTGGATTTCCGTCTCCGGTGGTAAGGCCTTTTAAACAAGAACGGAGCTGACACTTTAAATACTACCCATCAAAAGGCCGTGCGTGACCGGTCTCAAGCAGTTGTCCCTTGGACTCTGCGGTCACGCTTCCAGGTCTCTAAGACCAACTCTAATCCGCCTTCCTTTTCAGGTTCCTCAAGAAACACCCTTCCACGATGTGGGCAGCCGAGAAGTGACATCCGACCTCATACCCGTACCAGCACAGGAGACCATATCGGTCGCAATCAAATCCTTCCGACACCCCTTAACATCCTCCTTATCTCCACCACTAACCCCGCACCGCCAGCGCAAAGAACTCGAGTTCCCGAAACGTTATTCCTGGTCTCCTGAAACCCCGTCCTAGACCACATGTTGGAGCTTTTAATGTCCGGACACTGTGTCAAGTAGGGCAACAGGCTTCCTTAGCTAAGACTTTAGAATCTCGCTCAATCGATGTATGCTGCGTCTCGGAAACGCGCGTACAGGATCCGAGTAGCGTTATTCACTTAACCTCCACATGTCAATACAAAAAAGCAACTCGTTTTATTCCTAGACTGGATCCCAGTAGACAGTTGCTTGTGCACTGTCCGACTAAACGAGACAGTAAGGACTCGGAAAGATAGGGACACTCGCCGTTGCCTGTTTGTTGTCCCTGCCTACGCTCCTACTGACTGCAGTTCAGACGAGGTGAAGCATGAGTTTTATAGAAAGCTTTTGGACCTCCTCCAAAAAGTTAGGCGCTCTGATACAGTAATGATGGCTGGTGACTTCAATGCTCAAGTAGGTAGACTCAGTGAAAAGGAAAGACACCTGAGTGGATGTTATGGTGTCGCGGCCCAAAAAACTGATAATGGCGACCGTCTGCCGCAGCTATGCTCAGATAACGGCCTATTTCTAGTAAACACTAAAAATATTCCAGAGTTTAACGGAAGCTCGTGAAAAGCAGACTCAAGAAAACCAGGCTGGTTTCAGACCTGGACATGAGCGTATAGACCACATATTCACACTACGTCTGGTCCTATAACAAAGACACGTTGAGACGCCACACCATAGTGGTATTTCTCGACAATGAGGCGGCATTCAACTCTACATCGTGAAGTTCTGTGGCTCAAGTAGGTAGATTAAGTGAAAATGGAAGACACCTGTGTGGTTGTTATGGTGTCACGGCTCAGAGAACAGACAATGGCGATCGTCTGTTGCAACTGTGCTCAGATAAGTGCCTATTTCTAGCAAACACTAACTTAAGGCGTAAGAAATATCATCTTTTGACCTGACGACCCCCAAAGTCGTCTCAACGTTGGACCCAACTAGATCACATCGCCATCAGCCACCGATGGAGAGGTTCGATAGAAGACTGTCGCTGGTTCTGGGGCACATGTTTAGATTCAGATCATGCCCTAGTGCAAGCGCGTATTTGTTTGAAGCTTACTGGGCGTAGGAAAGACACCGTAAGAAAGCCTCTTAGGGTTTTACTTAATGATAATAAAGCTAAGAATATATTTCAGGAGCAACTAGAAACAGAGTTAGACAACCATGTAAGCGATTCCCATCCAGAAGCAGGTTGGAATGATATCAAAAAGGCTGAGGAAACAGCAGTGATATCTTCTAGTAAGGTAAACCATAAGGATAGGATGAAGCCGTGGATCTCAAAAGCATCTACCGAACTGATGGATGCTCGAAAACTAATCCCGCCTGTATCTGAGTACGATGAGGAGCGGAGTCAGCTTAGACGTAGGGTGATGAAAAGCCTACACAATGACCGAGAACAGTGGTGGGTTGAGAAAGCGAGAGAGATGGAAAAGGCAGCGGCGATAGGCAACAGTAGGCAACTTTTCCGACTTATCAAGGAAACTGGTATTAGGAACCCAAATGTGAGTGAGACTATTTCGGAAAAGGATAGTATTATTATTCATTCTCAATCCAGGAGACTGGACCGGTGGGCAGAACACTCTACGGATCAGTTCAATTGGCCTCGAGCCACAATTCGGTTACCCACGATCTCCAGTCATCCTGAATGGCAAATCGACGTAATTCCCCGACTCTTTATGAAATTGAGGAAGCGTTAGGAAATCTGAAGCGAGGGCGAGCTGCAGGTCCTGATAGACTGACCCCTGAGATATTTAAGGATGGTGGTCCAGTTTTAGCAGCTAGGTTGACTGAGATCTTAAGTAGTATCTGGGGACTGGACATAATCCCATCCGACTGGTCTCAATCACTGATTGTCCCAATCTATAAGAAAGGACAAAAGTCTTCTTGTGACAATCACACGGGAATAAGTCTAACTAATATAGTATCTAAAATATTGGCCTCAATAATACTTCGACGCTCAAAGAAAGCTCACGAAGAGCAGACTAGAGAAAACCAGGCTGGTTTCAGACCTGGACGTGGCTGTATAGACCACATCTTCACACTACGACAGGTCCTGGAACACAGGCACACATTTAGACGTCCTACAGTAGTTGTTTTCCTGGACCTTAAAGCGGCATTTGACTCAGTGGATCGTGAGGTTCTGTGGCAGTGTCTGTCATTAAAGGTGTACCAAAGAAGTAGTCTAGCGTGTTGACCGCTTCACTAATCTGGGGAGACTCATCAGTGCTGATGGCCTGGTGACTGACGAAATCTCAGCACGGATACAGAAAGCTGGAATGAATTTTGCCAACCTGCGTCACCTATGGCGTAGGCGAGATATCCGTTTGCTGACTAAAGGACGAGTGTACTGTGCAGTAGTTCGCTCCGTCCTACTATATGGATGCGGTGAGAGTAGAGGACGTACACAGGCTATTAGTATTCGATTATAGATGTCTTCGAAGCATTGCTCGTGTATCCTAGGACAGCCGAGTAAGCAATTCTGTGGTTAGGAAACGAGTACTAGGTAAGGATAGAAGATGAATAGACGTAGTAGTGAAACTTCATCAGTTGAGGTGGTTGAGATATGTAGTGCGTATGCCCGACCACCGACTGCGTCGACGAGCTATGTTTCGTGGTGTAGATTTGAAGGTATGGGCGACCAATCTAAAACACGGCACAAACCCATGAAGTCACTGACAAGTGGACTGAGTCGTGTTGGTAGATGCAGACTACCAGGCTGGGGTGCACGAGACGAGTCACCCATGGCTAGAGACCTTGGACGATATGACTCAGAATCGTTAACAATGGCGCAGGTGCATCCACTCTTTGTGTTCTCTCAAATTCTGATGTTCTGAATTCCTCTATCTTTCTCCTTATAAACTTATCTCACTGACTTATACTTCTCGAATCATATCTTCGAACCCTAATCTTCTCCATTACCAGCAATACTTCTACTATCTCTACCACTATAGGATTTCAACGGACAATTGCGTCTCTGTGCTAATGTGATACGGTAACCTAAACTGATGTACTTGTGTACAAAGTTCTACGTTGTAACTTACCCATTGACACCCTGTTCAATCTCAAGGCCAGATGGAAGACAGACCCTATAGAGGTGTATGAGGGATAGAACCTCAAGGAAGCAGGTTTCTTCTGTGCTCCGTCCACTCGGTTTCGACAGCAAAGAAATGCCTTAGAAATCCGATAGTAAGACTAGGCCCGTCCTCAGCATAAAAAGCAATCTGACCACCTAAGTCGTCCAGAAACCTACGATCCATACGAAGAGCCTTTTGCAATGTCAATGCCAAGACATTTTTGACTCTGTGTACAGTAATTGTTGGTACGAATCTTGGGTACTGCATAAAAAAAGCTAGTGCCTAACAAAAAGAGCAAACAGCAATTGGAGAAGATATAACCCCAACTAAATTGATCACCGAAATCTCAAGGCTTGCGTACGAAGTGACTAGTTAGATAAGGACGAGTTGACTTTATCAGTTTTTGAATTACCTGGTGCTAAATTAAAAGCTGACATGCCCTCATTTTCCTTGCTTTTTAAAAACAGAACATTAAAAATGTTTACAGGCTCAGGAAAAATTGCTTGTCAGCTGGCTAACAACCTCCCCGCAGAATACTTAGCCAATGTAACTCATCAACCTGAAATGTGACTAAAGCTCCGTTTGACAATGCATTTAAGAAAAATCTAGATCAACTGAGAAAACGAAATTGTCAGGACTAACACAGGCCACCCAGCCTTCTCTTTTCCAAACAGAAACTGATTGACCTAAAATTGTTTCCTACAATTAAATTTATCAGCTCCTGTTTAGCGTTCTACCCGTCGCCTTAATATATATGGTATTTCCTAAAATATGCGGTGAAAACATAAGGTTTAACTGTCAACCTTTGGCAAATTTGTGTTTAGTTTGAAGGTGTTAATAGCAAAATGTATGAATCTGGAGGGAGAAAAGATCAGGAGGAAAAGCCAAAGACTCAGTAAACGCATAAGATGCACTTACATTTAATATAAAACGCAACAGACAACAGAAAAGGGTATGGAGAGAGAGAATAAAGAAACCTACAACAGAGTACCCCTACTTTCAAAAATGACGCACTGTCTCAAAGACCTTGAAAACCAATATCCAATATCTTTTTCACTAGCTAACCAATTTGATTTCTTTGCGCTCGATTCTTGTTCTTTCGGTACGGCTCCAGGTGTTCTGTAATGTCCAATGGATGGAGGTCTAGCCACTCGACTCTCTAATTCTAGTCAGTTAGCACTTGGTTGCGAGTTTGCATGTCCCGGGATTTGATTGAAACGTTTGTTTCAGGGCAGTAGGGTTTCTGGATACTAGAAGCCATCACATTACCAAACCGGAGATCAGTTAGTTGCAATGTGGAGAGTAATAAGGGTAATAAGGATAAATTAAAATGATAATATGAATAAAATTTCAGAACTGAGTAATATATAGATGAATTTAGTTTATTAATTGGTAGTGAAGATTGTGAGAGAGGATCGAAGTGTAAGCAAGGGAGAGGAATAAGCGAGATACATTAATTGAGTGATCTGAGGAGATGGCAATAGTAACAACTAGCAGGTCTCAAGATATGCATCAAGCACAGCTTGTCCAAGAGGGAGATGATAGTCCGTATGTGAGTACGTGATTATCAAGTCTCTTCTTAAAGCAGTCCACTGAGGGGGCTGTAATCACCTCGGCTGTGAGAGCATTCCAAGTTGCGACGACTCGCAATGAGAAAAAGTGTGCACGACTCTGAGTGTTTGCTCTTTGATGTGCAATCTTTTGAGGATTGCCTCGAGGGGAGTGGTGGTGATGCATCGATAAGATGCTCACAATGGGATGGTTTGGCGTGTTTAATATGGTGTACGCCATAATCAGGTCACCTCTGATTCTCCTGTAGCTCAGTGGGAATAATCACAAGAGCTGGAGTCTATCGTCGTAGGCTTTACTTTTCAACCCTATCACCCATTTCGTTGCTCGTCTCTGCACTCAATCCAAGAGATTAATGTCTCTTTTAAGTAGAGGGTGTGCGATGACGTTGTGAACCTCCAAGTGTGGGCGCGCGTACGTCTTAAACAGGGTTAAAAATAATTTCGGGGTGATAGCACCAAGCCGTCTTCGCATAAAGTGAGGAGTCGCATTTGACTTGGCTGCATCCCCTACATAGTTTGGACTGGTGTGGAGGCTTTCTGTGGTTATTAAACCAAGATCGCGCTCTGAGGAGACATTAGGGAGCGGACTTCCAATGAGAGTATAGGTCGTTTGCGTCATATGTGGCAGGAAATGCATGACGTGGCACTTCGGTTGGTTGAGTTTCAAACCGTTTTTCACTGCGCATTTCTCAATAGATGTAAGGTAATCTTGAAGCTCAGTCGGATCCTCTTCGCTTCTAATAGACCTCCAGATCTTCGCTTCGTCTGCGTAGACCAATGCCAGCTAGCTAACTGAGCCTAACAGGTCGTTAATAAATATCAGGAAGAGGAGTGGGCCTAGGATGGTCCCCTGTGAAACTCCCGATGTGGATACTCTCCAACTCGCGTGCACTCTGTTTACCTTGGTGCGAAACTTTCTATTCTCAAGGTAGTTTCTGAGCCAAGATACGAGTGGGTCAGTAAAGCCCATTTCCACAACCTTTTCGATTAGGCGTGCGTGGGGCACTGTGTCAAAGGCTTTTGCGAAGTCGAGAAATACTATGTGCACTGGTATTTTACGGTTCAAGCAGGATGTCCAACTGTCCCATACGATGAGAAGATTAGATGCACACGACCTGCTTTTCCGAAACCCGTGTTGAGCTTCATGGAGTATTTTATTCTTATCCATGTACTCCCTCATTTGTTCGTCCACTAGTCCTTCCATAACCTTTGATAATATAGGTAGCAGTGCGACTGATCTGTAACAGGCTGGGTCCTTTCTATCTCCTCCTTTTTAAGATTGGAGAGAGAGTAGCTTGTTTCCATTCCGCTGGGAATTGGTGTGACTCCAGTGAATGCCTGAACAGGTTGCATAACTGTGAACAGAGGGCTTCGGCGCACTGTTGCAAGACCTTAGGGCTGATTTTGTCACAACCTGGTGACTTACCTGGTCGTAAGGATTTTAGTTTCCTTAATACTAGGTCAGGAGTGATACGGATGTTCCCTAAGCCGTCAGCTGGCAATGGGTTGGCGTAATACTCTGAACATGTAGGCGCCTGGTTTAATTGATCAGAAAAATGGGTGTTGAAGATCTCGGCCATCTCTAGGTTGGTGAGGTCTTTCCCGTTTGGCCCTTTCAGGGAACACAACCCTTGATTAGTAGGTTTTTTTTGGACATGAACCTAAACAGATGTTTCGGGTTTGCCTCTATTCTGGCGGCTAGCTTCGTCTGGAATTGTCTCCTGTTGCTTCGAACTTTGGTATTGCATCTGTTTCTCAATTCCAAGTAAGAACTGCGATCGGAATCCTTCAAGGAGACCTTCCACTTGTGCCAGGCTTTTCTCTTCTCCGGTAGCAAGCGTTCAGTGCCGCGCCTAACCCAGGTTCTTCTGTTCTGGCGTTTTTGGTGTGACTGAGGTACGTTGTCTACGACAGCGTTTTGGATGATATCTCTCACTGCTTGCCAGTGATCATCTGCTGTCAGCCTCCACCACTCCCGTGGCCATGGAGCATGTAGGAGCACCTCTCTCATGCGTGTGTAGTTTGCCCTACTGTAGCAAAGGTAAGGCTCGTTATGGTCCGGTGTCAGCGTTTCGTTTGTGACCATGTTAAACAGGACTGTGCCATGGTCATTACTACCTATTGGAGCGTGGATATGAACATCCTCAACCAGGAGCTGGTCATTCGTTAACAGATAATCTAGGTTTGAGGACTTCCCTTCCTTAGTCCACCTAGTGGCTCTGCGTACGTGCTCAGTCAGCCCAGAGCTTCTAATGGCTGTACCAAATTGTCTTTGAAACCAACTAGTGGGAGTTATACTCTGATTGCTGAGATTTAAAGATGGGGTATTGAAATCTCCTGCTTAGAGTATTTGATCCAACCCTAGGAGTGGCAGTTGCAATATTACCTCAATCAGTTTGCTTTTCTGGGCCTTAGTACCCGAAGGAGGTCGGTAGACCCCTCCAATCAAGTATTTCGTGCCATTCGAGTGGAAACAACACCAACATGATTCTGTCACCGAAATGGTCCAAATAGTTGTGGACGGAATAGGAGCCTATGGGATCCTGTATCTAGTCGCAATGAATCATCGATGTCTTCAGGTAAGAAATTTGGTATATATAAATAGTAAAATGGAAGTATTATTAAATTATTATGATATACTGTCATGAAGTCTTAGGATTATGACAAGTTATTTTTTAAGACACTCCTGCGAAGTCACTTGAACCACCTCAGTCGGTAACAAATCCAAGAATTTGACGACTTATGAGGAGTAGTGAGTGTGTGTACGATTGATTTCGTTATTTCATGCAGCTAGTTTTCAAGTATTTTCCATGAGGTTTTTTGTGGGGTCTGAGCTCAAGTATGTATCGTAAGCGATGCCCATGATTATAATGGTGAGTTATCAGAAGGTCACCTCCGAAACGCCTGTGCTCTAACGGGTAACGATCCAGTGCTCTTAGGTGCTCTTCTCAAGGCTTAAACTCCAGTTTTAAAACTGATTTTTTGGCTAGCCTCTGGATACATTCCAGTACACCCTTGTTCTTTTGGAGGAAGAGAATACTACCTTAGATGAGGTCGTAGAAAACCATGAAAGAGTAGGTGAAACGATCTACTGTCAAAATGTGCAGGAATGCACTTAAAATTTGCCAGTGCAATATTTGTTACAGTATACGTAAGGCTTTAGATCATAAGGTACTAAGACTCCTAGATCTTTTTTAGCCCTAAGTTTTGTGCTTGATCTGGAACATGTGGTGGGTGGGCTACTTTGCATCTTGAAGTAATAAAAGTAAGTCCGTTGTTATTCGCCCAATTATGGAGTCAGGTTAGATACCCCACATAATAGACACTATCAAAAGCTTTTAAGAAGTCAAGATACATCAAATCAACATTACCTTTTGAGATCAAGGATGGTTGTACATCTCAGTCTACACGGTGGTTATATTGAAGTTACCATATGAACGTGTTACAAACGCCAAGATTTACTTCTGAGATTACCTGTGGGCTGCAGATCAAGCTCTCGTTGATGTAGGTTGTGTATAGTGGTTGAAATGTTTGAAAATACTCTCTTCTTAGGAGCTTCTTAGCATTGTCGTCACTGTTAGCTGGGCCATTAGAACCCAGAAACTGGAAAAGTCCAGCTTTGTTATAACGGAGAGGCTGCACAGAGGTAAATGATTTTTAAAACAAATAAACCCTTTTACAAAATGATATAACAGTGATAAGACGTAATTGATTTGAAAAATGTGATGTATTTGCGCTACACATTTCGAACGATCTGGTCACACTTATACTTGTCAAGGCATTTTATATGAAGATTAATTAAAGGTCAGTTAAATAAATGTTCAAATAGACAGGGTGATAGTTGCGAATAGAGGGGAGAGAAAATCAACGTAATATGAAAATAATAAGAAAGGGTAGGATATTGTCACATTACCAGGGTAAATTCAAGGTTATAACAAATTGCCCGTGTACATATAAGGGGGGTTTAAATTTACGAATAGCCAAGGCCTCCATAAACCCCAAAATTCTTCCTTCAACATTTCTATACAATGTTTTGAAGGCTGTCTTGATGTCGATCTTATGCCCTGTCTCATTTATATGTTTGGCGATCGATGAACATGGTCTTCTATTTCCCCCACTAATCGGCTCGTCTGACGTCAACTGATTTTGAAGCCACTTAGGTACATGTTCCATAACCCTTGATCGAAAAGTCAGATCACTCCTCCTTATGTATGTTTGTTCACACAAACATGTAAATTGATAAATGCACTTGGATGTGATGTAATCATTCGAGCAACGTTTAGGTCTATGTGGAATCATGGGTTTAGTCTTTTCAGTGATAATCAGTTCAGCAGCGTTTCATGTTTTCTCTATGGCTGCTTTTAGTTTGTCTTAAGACTAGATCATTTGGTTCACCTCTAAATGGTCAAGTTATATAAACCTTTTTCTTCTCAACAGCCCTATTGAAAAGCCATTTTACCAAACCTCGCTTGTGTTGTAGTGGAAAAAAACCTGCTGAAATTTAGATACCGTCCAGTCCAGGTTGGGTTTCTATAAACAGAACGCTTTGTAGTTACATTCTCCCTTCGACTCAACTTCATGTCTAAAAATGACAGTTGGTTACTATTTTCTGTTTCGTGGGTTAGTACAGTGTCGTTCTGAAGACTTCTGAATTTATCCAGTAACTGAGAGACGTTGAGTTCTTTATTGTATATGGCTAAAATTTCATCCATATATCTCGTATACAGAGTAAGCTTATTGATGTTCTGATTCCACAAATTTTCAGCATCTGCCATATCAACATCAGATACGAGAGGTCCCAATGTCTACCCATAGCAACGCCATAAACTTGCTGGAAATGTTCATTATCAAACGTGAAATGAACTTTCTCAGTACATAATAAAATTAATTCTCTTAGTAGATTTTACTGAATGGCGAAAAGAGGGAAATTACTTAATATATTGTCATAAAGAAAGTTAGCAGTTTTCATTAAGGGTTCAGTGGTAAAAAGAGAGTTTACATCAAAAGAATGCATAGTCTTTTCTTTGATATTGATGTCATCAAGTGTTACGTCCAATTTTTGCTCCTTCCCGTTATTGAAGTACAGTATGTCGATCTATTTGCAATTCACGAACCCAAATTAACAACAGAACCAAACTCCAAAGTTAGGTACCAAAGTTTATTCGCAATTCACAAATAGTCGACCAAAATATCGTTCTAACAACAATAATTATAATAATTACAATTACCTTCAATTTTATAGTTTCCTGGAGCAAAAACTCCAAATTACCAATCAAGACAAACAGAAACCAAAATGTCCAAAAATAATAAATCAAACAAGTTCACAAGTTAAGTAAAACAAAAACACAGTGAAATTAATGATATTTATATAAAGGTTTTAATCAGCCAAATGTATTCGTTTCTCCCGTAACATCAAGAACATCAATTATTTCAAATGTATCTTTCTGGGGAAACTTACACAATCTATAACGAATTGGGCTAAGTGATTTAGTTAACCACTTGGCTATCTTTTGTGTAGGTGGGCCGCACATAGGAAGTGTTAGTCTTAGTGGATTGTTCGATTTGTGAATTTTGGGTAAGCCATATGAACTCGGTTGTTCAGAACCGGTGGGTTTTAACATGTTAAATTCATCCTTATTGATATCATCCATGTTGGGTAGCTTCATTAGACTGTAGTTAACTGTCGATTCTAATTTTCTAACCTCATTATTAAATGAAACATTAGTCAAAAAACTCCTTTCAGATTTTTAAATCGGTGACGAATTTAGGTTTAGCTTGATGTGATATTGGAGCCTATTTCCAGTTTTCTCTGTCCGACGTTGGTTCTCTGATAGTTCGAACTTTGTTTATATAATGTTCCCACTATTTCTTTTACATTTCTCTCAGTAGTGTCTTCTAAGTTTTAGCATTTGAAGAGTAAGGTTGCTTACGACTGCTGGTCGCCTAGAAATGTTGAGGACCATTCATGGGACAGACGTGATCTTAGCATATAAGATTTCGCCAAACATGAATCGCCAGAGAGGACCCAAATCAACTTAGGGGAGCGCTTCTCAGTCCACTTGCTTCCGATTTTCGTTTAAAGCTAACACATCCAGACATAGTAACTGTTGTAGCTAGGATGATTTAGCTTAGTTTTGCCTATAAAACTACAGGCTTTAAGGCGTGATTACCTCTAATGGGGAAAAGAATTGAGAAGTTTTCAATTAGGAATCCTTATTTCGTGAACGTGCATTCCGAGCAATTTTTTTAAATAATTCCACTCTTTTAGTGAGATTTAAGAACTGAGTTCAGGTGGAATTATCGACTTCATTCTATGCATGATAAACAAAATGGACAGGATGATTGAAGTCTCTTAAAATGAGGACGAGTTGAACGAGATCATCCCCACAAAATTTTCCTGCTCAATGTTAGCAGTAGCTTTTATGTAGTTAGCTCCAGAAAGTGTTAGATAATCTCACTGAGCACCATACAGATTCATAGAGACTGACAAACTCTTCAGTGTTCACTTGATGTTCTACCAGGCAGGATCATGGTGCATGGCTGCTTCGCCTTCCATTACAGTTTTACTGTCACAAGAAAGATGTGCTAGTTAATACCAGTTTTTTATCCGTGAATCAGGAAGGTGCCCATATTTCAGATGTTCTTCTGAGATGAGTATTGATAGTATGTGTAGTTTGCGCAAGTCATCCATTTTGGTAGATGAGCTGGCAACGATCGTATATAAGTAATTGGTACCTTTGATTTGAAGCACACGAGCGTCCTTATTCGGTTCGCCTGAATGAGCTTTGTTCGAAGGGACAGGCAAACCTTCTATATTGGGTTTTCTGGTCAGCTGACCCCTGTCCCCACCACTTTCTCTGGTTCAAAGCAGTTGAAAAATTGGATTGCTCGAATTCGTTTTTATGCAAAATCCCTGCTTTACATCGCCTGTCCAAATGCATACGGGTTCCAGTAGGTAGCTAGCATCTATTGTTACGAAACGCCTAAAGAGTGGCAGCTGCCATTCAGGCAAGAAGGAAAGTCATTTTAATCATATAGATTCAAGAATCCCCATCCTTTTTCTTTTAGCATTTCACTCTTTAATATCATTTAGTACGTTATTGGGCCCCGTATTTTCTGGGACACCTTGCACAATGATGTTTCCTCCGAGAAACAATTTCTCGTGAGACCACTTAGGGAGGCTACGCATTAAACTGGACTCCAAATATGATATAGCAAACAGCATCCTTACGTCCCATTAGATTCCCGCAAGTGACTGGTTAGTAAGATATTCTCAGTGTGACCGTGCTGGTTTTCGTAGCACAGCGTAATTCAGGATGAAATCGGCATTTGCTATGTAGCCTTTGTAGATGGATTTTCTACCCCAGCAATTCACTCCGTTTCCAAAGGTGCAGGTTGGAACGCGCTGTCCCAAATCCGATTCGAAAACACAATAAGACTGGGAGAAAACGGTCTTTATTCATTATGAAATGGAAATACAGACAATTACCCAACTATTATTACACCTTTCAAGTCCAATTTACCCTGGTGGGTATCCGTTTCTGAAAGAATAAGTGCTTCCGGTCCGAATTGATACTGTAGAAGTCTTTTTGAATGTTTTGTGTTTTTGGAAAATCCCTCCATGTTTACATATTTTGCTATGACATGATGGACTTTTTCTCTTGACATTTTTTGGTATTTTATGTGATTCCAATTTGAGATTTTATCATTGTATGTTGTTATTCTTTCTATATTTTGTACTTATATTGAAGTTTTTGTGTTTGCTTCTGAATTGTACATATATTGTTTAAATTTGATATAATATGGCTACCGCCACATTTTTGGATGGACGCGGTGGCTGCTGGACTTAGTGTCACTTACTAGTTATTGTATTGGATACTCTGCGGAGTAAATTAACCCTGGAAGAAACACAAATACCGTAAGACTCTGTATTTCCATTTTATAATAATAAAGAGACGTTTTCTCCTAGAATTTTGCCCTTTTGATTTGGTCGGGACCCGGATCTAGGAGGAACGTACAGGAGTGTTTCTATTGGAAACAATTAGGACAGCCACTGTCGAAATTAATCTACAGACACGGTATAAATTCTAAATATGGCTGTAGCCATATTAAATATCAAATTTAAACAACATATGTACAGTTCAGAAGCAAACATAAAAACTTCAATATAAGTACAAGATATGGACATAATAACAATATACAATGATAAAATCTCAAAATGGAATCGAATGGAGTACCAAAATGTCAACAGAAAGAGTCAGTCGTATCATAACACAAATATATACACATGGAGGGATTTTCCAAAAAACAAAACATTCAATAAAGATTCTACAGCCTTCCTGTCTGAATTTTTTCGAAGCATTCTGGCGTGTATTTCTTTTAAGCCGAGGGAGGTCAAAACGGACTTAAAGGTTGCTGATGATGAAGGAGTCATCAGGAATCTTGAATACATTAGTAGGGTTTTGTGGGTGTTGATGTTGGGTTGTTTTTTGTTTGATGGTTGGATTTGGCTTCGGATTTCCTAACTTTTTTCTGGATGGTCGTAAAGTTGACCGAAAAGATGGTTCACTCACGTGTTGTCTTTCCAGTCACATATGTTGAGCATTTTTGACGATAATTTTTAATCTTTTTCAACCCTGTTGATGAGATTTTAATCTCCGTCTGCAGAACTATTGGGAACACAGTCGCATTCGTAGAAGTTAGGCGGCGAACACAAGTTCGGATTGAGAGTTTAATGCTAGGGATTTTATAACAGTGCTGAGTTTTAGCATATTATCACTTGCGTTAATGCTCGTTCCATTAATGTTGAGATTATCAAACACCCCCTTCTTTCCGACACTACTCGCTTTCGCCTGCTTATCCGCTACCTAATTGCATTTTCTCAGAGTTGCTGACGATTTTTCCCTCAAACTTGTCAATAGAATTATGACGTTGCTCTGCATATACTCATTATTCATATTGCATTTATTACTGGTCCATCCACGATCTAAATTACCGGCCAGTTATAACTGGTTAATGTAAGGTCTGTGCATGATTCGCGGAACCACCGTTTGAATTTGTCACACTGAATAACCGGGTGATGGCAAAATGGCAGCCGGTTTGTTTGTGTCTTCCCTAAGTGACTATGCTGCAAGGTACCTTAGGCAAATTCGGATATGATAAACTCGTAGAATATACTAAAATCAGATTTCTAATGTGTAAGACTGAGAAAACCAGGTGGTACGCCGAGGCGAAATGACAGTTGAATGTCATTTTGAATAAAACTGAAAACAAAAACCATCTACTGAGTGACAAGATAGGGATAGACTATTTGGAAAAAGAACGGCACTTTACTGAACAAGAACAGCGAAATTTTGAGAATAGGAGATAACACAGAAGTGCTCAAAAATAAATGTGTGTCTTTTGTGCTGAAGAACATGGTCCTAATTGAGGATTAACTCTCCTTAGACGTTACAGACGACAAAATCAGCATATAGGGAATTAAATTATTCAGTCGCTACGAAGATCAGATGAGCCATAACCACGATTTCTCTTGTCCTTCGCAGATACTATCTGAGAATTACTCACAATGACGTTCAAAATATCCCTATCCAAAACTCAACTCCACAGGGATTGGGAAGATGTCATAATTAGCCTTCTGTAATGGTATGATAAGATACATATCGTGTTTAACTACTCAACTGTCAGTCTAGCCACTTTTGGAAAGCAGCTACAGATAGCGATTTATCTGTCATCGTGATAGTTAGAGATTTTATCAACGCCTTTGATAAGGTTTCTCACGTATGGATTATGTAGAAGCATTCTTGGCTTGGAATAACAAGTAGTGTTCAAGAGTAGATGGGAAAATTTTCTCAGCAGCAAGCGACATATGATGAGAGTAAATGAAACTCTATCTGATTAGAAATCGGTTAAAACTAGGACTGCCTCCTAGAAGTTATTGCTGGAATCCTTGTAGGCATATAGTTTATCCCATCTTATTGGAGATACTTTCAGTTAGCGAATACTCATTTATTAATTATTCCCTTTGTTGTTTAGTGCGCTACTATGTGTTAGAGGAACCTTTGAATGTATGACAGAAGCTGTATCGTGTGATGAATTTTTTAAATTTCACATAATCTGTTTTCTTTCGTAAGTTAGGGCTGATTAGATTGATCGCCGAATTTGATTGAATTCGATATTATTTGATGGGAGTCACTAACTAAGGCTTGGTATGTTAATAATAATAATTTTTTTCTCAAAATAACGTAGTTTGGTCTGATTGCATTTACTTTGGTTTGTTGGTTCCTGGCTCAAATTAAACCCTGGAAGACAGATCACTAAAAAAACCATCCATTTTTTCTAGCTCTAGACAAACAAAATCTTTTTGCAGTGAGCTTGAGGACTGACGCATTATTTGGATGAAAATAATTATGAGACACAGAAACGATTTCGGTGCTACAAATTTTTTCATGCTGTCTGGAATATCCCTATCAGTTAACGTGTCATTTTGCGAGGTTTCCCTGGCCGTTTCAATTTTCTTGATATAGGGTTTGAAGCCTACCGTTTGTGACCTAGAAGTGGCTCATGTCCTGTTATTAATGAACAACCAAACTGAGAGATAGGAGAGTGTCAGCCTATCCCACTGATGAAAGGATGCTGACCCGACCACTTTCTCTGAATTCTGTTAGTGACTTTTAGATAAAACTAACCAAGCGACATCAAACTACGCAGATGATGCGGCAATTCATGGGTCTACAATAAGCGAATCGGATTCGTTATTAGCACCAAAATAACGTTACAACAGTAAAAGAACGGGCAGTAACCAGTCAAAATCTCACCTTATGAACATTCTACCTAACGTGATATAAACGGCTAACGTCCTCAATCGAAGTCTCTGTCTCCTCAGAGCGCCATCACGGTCTAATAACGAGAGAGGCTGGACATCACTTCAAAATACATCGGGGACACAGACGAGGCAAAGGGAATTCTTTAGTGTGTACAAAGGAAGGTTAGTGCAGTCACCCTCGAATCGTTCTTAAATATCTTCAGGTTAATCACAGGGCCACAACTTAAAGTTTATAACGACATCTTACCCTCTCATTGAATCTTCCTGATCGAGTGCAGAGATGAGCAACTAACTCGGTGTCAAAAACTAAATCTTACTAGGACAGAATCCCCTACATGGGATTACTCCGGTTGAGTTATAGGAGAATCAGAGGAGATCAAAGGATGACATGTACCATATTAAGTACTCCGAAACACACCACCACCACACCTTTAAGGTAATACTCAAATAATTGAACATCACTGAGTGAAAACTCAGGTACGTAAGCACTTCTCATTAATAGTTGTCCATCCTTGGATTACCCTCCCAGCTTGTGTTAAAACAGCCTCCTAAGCGGATAGCTTCAAGCGGAGACTCGATAAGCATATACTCATATGCGGATTATCATCTAACTCTTGAATCAGCTGTGCATAATGCTTGTCTCACGTCTTGATAGTTGTTACTATTACAATTTACACTTATTATCTCTGTTTCCTCTACCTAATTTTCACTTCTGTCTTCTTGCACAATATTTATGACCAAATAATTACCCTATTTATTTATTTAGTTAGTTCTGTAATCTTTACATTAGCATTAGAATTTTCTCCTTATCTCCGGACTAATAAGATGATGGTATCCAGAAATCCAGAAACAGACTCACTCATTCAAATCACGGAACATACAAATTCACTAATAACTTCCAGCTGACTACAGTTACTGCAGTAGATTGGTTTCAAATGCCTGGAACCGCATTGGGAGAACAAGAATCGAGCGCAAAGAAATCAATCGGTCTATACTGGCTCGTGAAAAAGATATTGGATATTGAAAGCCTAGTTACAAACTAACGCAGAAATTCGAAATACCTGTTCTCGTAGTCCGGTTTTAAATTGTGAGAGGGATTTTATCATAAACTCCCACTATAGGTAAATAATACTATGCTTATCAAGTGCTTCGTACATTTTTTCATATGGATATTTAGTTAAGGAGAGAGGGATTTTTCAGTTATCAGTCAAATGTTTTGGATGATCTAATGAACTCTGCTTCATTAAAATTTTCGGTCTTTCTTGGGTTGGTGTGATTTTACCTACTTTTTAACTATCTAATCTCCCTAAAACTTTCACTGGCCTTGCGTAAACTATCAAAAAATGTATGTGGAAAGGAAAATCCCAAAATTTCCCCAAAATTCCTCCAGAGTTTTTCAAAGTAGGAGAGTGGGTTGGTACGTTAAATTCTCAATCCAGAGGAACACTTATACAATCGAAATTGCAATACCAATCGGCCTCTGAAAAATAGAACTCAAAATAGGAATGAAACAGTTAGAAAAACGGAAGCCTATAATTTTACAGGACATGATCCAACCTTCCAACTTTGCGTGAATTCTGGGTTTTCCATAAAAGTTTAGGGGGTTTCCCCTATTTCATTAGGAAAACTAGGGTTTCTCACTTCATTTCCACAATTTGGAAGGTTGTGAAGGACACTATCCATACTAGTATTTGGTCTATGTGTTTCCCATCATCGTAATCTCAGGAATTCTAAATAGTATTTTCTAGTTACTCAATAATCGTAGCAGTAATGGCCATATTCCTTCTTGACGTATTATGTGTCAGATAGAAGTACTAAGATATTTTTTTATTCTCCACAATTAAAGCGTGATAACTGGATTCACGTTTTATTCCACTTAAAACTATTCTAATAGTGGATTTTGATATGACAGTTTATTCAATACATTTTTCAGTTTTAAGCGTTATGATATTTTTTTCAGTCGGTAAGGATGTTCTTCACACGAAATTCAGTGGAAATTTCAGCTCACATAGTAAAATACTGGTTAAACATGAGATACTGAAATACCAACTGACAGCCTAAAAGAAACAACCTGATACTCCGTGTATCGATATTAGGTGTTACACGTGATGCTAGTTGATAAAAGATATGGTGATATGGTAGGATAGTTTGTGGTTAGGCTTCTGTTGTCAATCTCGATGGCCAAAGACAAACGAATCCTTTGTAAACGTTTTTAATTTTTTCTATTGAATATGTTTAAATAGTTAAATCAACCACCGGATTACTACTTACTTACTTACGCCTGTTACCCCCGATTGAGCATAGGCCGCCGACCAGTTTTCTCCAACCAACTCTGACCTGGGCTTCCCTTTCCAATTCTTTCTAATTTTTGTTCATTCTTCTCATGTCATTCTCTATTTCTCGGCGTAATGTGTTCCTTGGCCTTCCTCTTTTCCTTTTGCCCTGAGGGTTCCAAGTGAGGGCTTGTCTTATGACGCAGTTAGGTGCTTTTTGCAATAAGTGTCCTATCCACTTCTACTGCTTCTTCCTGATTTCCAACTCCTCTGGGATTGGGTTTGTTCTCTCCCACAGTAGGTTGTTGCTGATGGTGTCTGGCCAACGAATACGAAGTATTTTGCGTAGACAACTGTTCATAAACACTTGTATCTTATGGATGATGGTTTTCGTGGTTCTCCAAGTTTCCGCTCCATACAGTAGAACTGTTTTGACATTTGTATTGAAAATTCTGATTTTGGTGTTGATTGATATTTGTTTGCAGTTCCAGATATTTTTCAACTGTAGAAATGCAGCCCTTGTTTTGCCAATCCGCGCCCTCACATCTGCATCGGATCCACCTTTCTCGTCGATGATGCTGCCCAGATATGTAAAGGTGTTAACGTCCTCTAAAGCATCTGCATCAAGAGTGGTTTGTTTGGTGCATGTTGTGTTGCATCGGAGAATTTTGCTTTTTCCTTTATGTATGTTGAGACCTACTGCTGCAGAGGCTTCTGCTACACTGGTCGTCTTCTCTTGCATTTGTTGTTGAGTGTGCGATAGAAGAGCCAGGTCATCTGCGGAGTCCAGATCGTCCAGCTGCGTCCTATTTGTCCAGTTGATACCGTGCTTCCCTCCAGACGTCGACGTCTTCATAATCCAGTCGATGACCAGGAGAAAGAGAAAGGGTGAGAGTAAGCAACCTTGCCTCACACCGGTCTTTACCTCGAACGAGTCTCTTAGCTGTCACCCGTGCATGATTTTGCAGTTTAATCCATCATGAGAATCCCGTATGATGTTAACTATCTTCTCAGGCACACCGTAGTGTCGAAGAAGCCTCCACAGTGTTTTCCTGTCCACGCTATCGAATGCTTTCTCGTAGTTGATGAAGTTGATGTAGAGTGGTGAGTTCCATTCTATTAATTGCTCCACAATGATCCGTAATGTTGTAATTTGGTCAGTACACGATCGATCCTTACGAAATCCAGCCTGTTGATCACAAAGTTGGGCGTCTACGAAGTCCTTCATTCTGTTTAACGATACCCTGTTGAAGACTGCCTGGTATTGAAAGAAGAGTGATGCCTCTTTAGTTCTCACACTTGCTGAGATCGCCTTTCTTTGGTATTTTGATCAGGTATCCTTCTTTCCACTCCGTCGGTACTTATTCTTCCCCCCAAATCTTGTTGAAGAGAATTTGGAGTATTTTTGCAGTAGTTGCCACATCTGCTTTCATTGCCTCTGCTGGAATGCTGTATGGTTCCTCTGCTTTGTCGCTCTTGATTTGTGTGATGGCCATACTGATCTCCTCAATTGTAGGTGCGCTAACATCGATTGGGAGGTCCGTAGATGCTGCTTCGATGTTGGGTGGGTTCAGTGGAGCTGGTCGATTCAATAGTTCCTGAAAGTGCTCTACCCACCTATTTCGCTGTTGTTCAGTGTTGCTGATTACTTTGCCTTCCTTGCTTTTCACTGGTCGTTCTGGTTTCCGGCCAGCTTCTTTGTTGTTTCGTACAATTGTCTCAAGTTTCCTTCTCTTGCAGCCTTTTCCGCCGTCATTGTTAGATCTTCCACATATTTTCGTTTGTCAGCTCTGATGCTCTTCACTTCCCTATTTGCTTCTGTGTATGCAGCTTGTGCGGCAACTTTCTCCGCTCTTGTTTGTCTGACGTTGATTACTGCCTTTTTGTTCCTCCTTTCTTCAATTTTTTCAAGAGTACCAACAGAGATTCATTCCTTGTGATGGTACTTTCTGCGACCCAGAACTTCGTGACATGTTGCAGTGATTGCCTCCTTAATCCCTTTCCAATTTTTCTCCAATGTTGCTTCCTCTCCATTGAGTAGTAGATCCTGAAAGGCCTGTAACCTATTGGAGAGGGCTATCTTGAATTCGTTGAGTTTTACGGTATCCCGAAGAAAGGCTGTATTAAACTTGTGTGATATTGTCTGCGCCGTTGTCCAGTGTTTCTTGAGTTTCAGTCTTATTTTAGCGACCAGCAAGTGGTGATCTGAGGCTATGTCAGCTCCTCTCTTGGTTCTCACATCCTCCATAGTCCTTCTGAACGTTTTGCTGATACAGATATGGTCGATTTAGTTCTGAGTAGTGTGGTCCGGTGAAATCCATGTAGCTTTGTGTATGTGTTTGTGTGGGAATATGGTGCCGCCTATGACTGTTTTCGTTCCTTTCTCCCAGTCCATGTAGTCCCATGATGTCTTCATATCCAATGTTGTCAATGCCAAATATGGCATTTCGGTCACGTATCAGAATATTCAAATCCTTTGATGGGCATTTCTCGACGATTGACTGCAGCCTTTTATAGAATTGATCTTTATCGTCGTCCTTGTAGTCGTTGGTAGGTGCATAGCGTTGGATGGCGTTCATTGTAATGTTCTCTTTCTTTGTTTTGAAGGATGCTTTAATGATCCTGGGTCCATGAGATTTCCATCCTATTAGTGCCTTTTGTGATTGTTTGGACAGCATCAGTGCAACTCCTTGTGTATGTGAAGCATTTTTCTCTTCATGAGCAGAGTATAACAGCACTTCCCCTGAAGTTAGTCTCAGTTATCCTACCTGTGTCCAATGCGTTTCACTGATGCCGAGCACCTCGAGGTTGTATCTTTTCATTTCTACTGCAACTTGAAATAGTCCTCCAGTCTCCCACAATGTACGAACGTTCCATGTACCTAAAAGAATGGTTGCTCTGGTTGTCAGAAGAGGCATCGGCCTCACGACTTCCGAGGGAACTCGGATTTCATCACTAGACGTCATAATTCTTCTTCCAACTTCCAGGGCAGAGTTAAAATGGTTTGGATTATTTCTTCTGGTTAGCGTTTTTCGGCAAGTTAGTTTTAGTTGGGATGGGGGCGCCAACCCCATGTCCAACCCCTCCTCCTTTATCCGGGCTTGGGATCGCTAGTAGCCCCAAAGGGACTGCAGGCGGAGTTAACCACAGGATACAATAGCAAATAAAATCGAATCATGATAGGGATTGATGGGAACTGAACTAGACGGAAATTGAAATAATATCGGAATTATGTTGACTGGCAATTGTGTTGGACTCCTATGAACTCGGGGATTAGAACGAACAATAAATGAATTGAATGGAAAAGAGTGATCCAGAGTTTTATTATCTTGAAATAGCCCATTAGTGTATTGGACTGATATAATCTTCATCCAACCACTGAAATTTATCTCCAAAAATAACAGTTCAGAACGATAATGCAATTAGATGGCCAGACGGACAAGGATCGGTAGCCAGGTCAGTCAGTCAGCCACAGCGTAGAACTTGGTACTTACGTACATCAATTTCAAGTTGTCAAAGCACATCAACACAGATAGATGAAATTTACAGTTCCAATCTCATAATATTAGAAATAGTAGTAGTATTAGCAGTAATGAAAAAGATTAGAGATTGGAGACATGATTCGAGGAGTATATCCCAGTTAAGTTAAGGAAATGAGGAATTCAATGGATTATAATTTGGAGGAAGGCGAGGAATGGATGTACCTGCACCATTGCGAGTGATTTTAAGACAAGTCATTCGGTCTCTAATAATCGGTTACGGTTAACTCGCGGACCCAAACCAGGTAGTCCACAGCTACTAACATGGCTTATTCCAGTCGCCAGTGACTTCATGGATTTGTGCCATGTTTTGTTTTGGTCGCTCGTAACTTTCTTTCAGCCTACCTTTACATCACAAAACATCGCTCGTTGAGGTAGTTGGTGGTTGGGCATACGTAACTAACGTACCAACTGATGGAGATTCTCTACTTGATCACTTGACCCGCCATCGTTATCCAGTACCCTTTTGCTAAATCCAGAATTAATTACTCGATGATCCCAGGATATACGAGCAATAGTTAGAAACAGCTATAATCAAATACTAGTAACCTAGTATATGCATGAACAAGAATTCATGATTAATCATTTAGCTCGGCTGGAAAAAACCGGTACGGTTGAATGTGTGTATAACTTTGGTAATCATATGACTGGACTGGTTTTATGTACCGCAAAACAGTACATACATGTATGATCCCATCATTTATTATTTAACTACCTCATCTTTCCCTTGCTGATTTGTCGTGTGATTCGACATTTCAATCCTTTCAGGCGTATGTGATAGTGTCTCGTTTGATTACCTACTTTGCATTACTGAAATTCAATCAAAAATAAAAGATGTGTTAAGTGAATACGAATGAATTCAGGGATCCACTAGAAATGATGTGAAAAATTCGTTGTCGTTATAACCACCAAATAATCTCAATTTATTAGATGTAGTAAAATTAACTAGATCATAAAGGGAAGGTTTTCTAATTTCACTTATCATTTTGGTACTATTTCTAAGGGGCTTAACTTTGGTACGTACCAGATTTTTTTTATAAGTTATTATACCCTAATTTGAGTATGTTGTTGATTCTGCCATCATAAAAATTATCAAATAACCTGTTGCGTTCGAAGCATTTATAATTACAATAAGCATGACACTGGGATCAAAATATTGGTACTAGCTTTCTGAAGCCGAACTAAATCCGATTTACAACTGGAAAATTCTTTCACCTATAGGATCATCAAGTTTGAAAAATCCTGTTTGATTGGTAATCTGAATAAGTAATGTTATCGATTTCTGCTATAAAAGTCCTTCAGTCTGTTCAAAACTTACTCTAGCTGCAATAAATAGACTGAAGTGAAGGAATTAGGAATATTACTCACATATGCATAGTTAATGTATAGCTATTTGGATAAAGCACATAGTTACTTAGAAACCAAATACTACTTAGTAAAGACACTAACTATTCTTTCTTATTCATCAAATACCACATTTTGAGGTGAATTTTGCATAGAAAATCTTCGAATATTCTTATATTCATGGCTTTGAGAGCGTCCATTACTTGATAATGTCACTACCCTGAATTTATCACACCATTGCGTGTTTACAGGATTTTCTGTCGTATATCAGGTTGATATATTTGACTGATTGGCAACATAAATTTTTGTTCAAACATGTTTTCTGAAAAAGTGGCAAGTCACTGTATACTTGAAGTAGAATATAGAGTTATTTATTAGATTGGTTTCTGTTAAATCCTATAACTTTTTTTGGTGAAGTTAATGATTAAAGTTTATATAGTTTAATACTTTTTTCCAAAACTTGCACGTTTATACATATCGACCGATCAACTGTTTCTAGTTTGTATCAGACTGTAAAGAAAATCAAAAGCTTCACGATTGCTCTGTGTTGGCAGTCTTTCGCGGAATGTGCGAAAGAAGCTTTATTAAAAACAGGTTGAAGATTTACAATCCTTTCATAAAACTCCGCGCAAATTTTAAAATAAAAGAGATATGAAGTCAGGTTACTGAATAATTTTAAATCAACTTGTTTTCTTGATATGAAATATGATTATTCAGCCCTGTACACAAAATAATGAATACATATCTTACCTTTCTTCCATGACTTATGTAGACAGAAAAGCAGTTAGCTTCTACTCCAAATTTGTGAAGTGAGTTTCGGCAGAAAACATGAATGTGATTACTGGAATTTGAGTTCTAACGATAATTTTATGTCAGTACAACATCTAAACACTTATAAGATGATTTCTAAACCACAGTTTGATAAGAACAGCTTAAAACATCCAAAGGAAATTCTGGATGAACTATGATAGCTTCCACCTGATTATAGAATGTTTTGATCTACTCTGGTTACCTTGGTTTCTTTATAAATGATAAAGTTAGTTTAGAACAGTTTGAAAACTAGAAACTTCCAATTGGTTGAAAAAGACGGCAATCTACTGCAAATATCCCGAATATCAGACGTTAGTTAATTACATCATGAAAATTACTGTTTATAGGCACCTCAAATAAATCCATGGCTTTTCTGATTTTATTTGCAGAATTTAATATGTCTGATGGCAACAGTGATAAGATTCAAAATTATGTGCACCAGGCTGTTATTATGAGAGAAACTATTAGAAAGGAGTTGAAACACCAAAAATTATTCACTGAATACAGTATCAATCCTTTTAAAAAAAGTAATATTTCACATATATTATAACTTACAAGTGTGTCCCTTGGCTGATAAACCAAATCAAAGACAAGAAGCTGATGCTGAAGATGGTAAGTTTATGAGTAACTTTAACTGAACAAAGTCTCTTAGCAAATATTGTAGTTGTTTAAACGACATGAACAAACTAAATATATAACCATAAAATATCGATTTATTAATTCAGTGAAGGTTTTACTTGTATTTTAACTTTTGTCAGTGCTTAACATAAGTGAGGCGTTTGGTCAAATAGATTCCAGCGATGCCTGTGCAGAACCCTAAATATTTCAAATCCCGATATTTCACCAACTTCAAATGGATAATTACCAATAGAAGACGCAATTAGTGTGGTGGTTGAAGAGTATGTTTGTGTTACTATTGAAGCTAGTAAGGGTATGATGGCTTAGGTGGTAAGATGAGGGTCGTGAATAAGAAACGTAACGTTTACCTACAGATTCTTGACAACGTAAGTACTTGACCACATCTTCAGTTACTTCAGTTTATTGGATATCACACATTGTTAATATCGGGTGTTGAATACCTACTTAACTGTTTACTTACTTACTTACTTACTTACGCCTGTTACCCCCAATGGAGCATAGGTCACTCACCAGTTTTCTCCAACAAACTCTGTCCTGGGCTTCCTTCTCCAGTTCTGTCCAATGTTTGTTCATTCCTCTCATATCTTTCTCTATTTCTCGGCGTAGTGTGTTCCTTGGCCTTCCTCTTTTCCTTTTACCTTGAGGGTTCCATGTGAGGGCTTGTCTTGTGACGCAGTTAGGTGCTTTTCGTAGTGTGTGTCCTATCCACTTCCACTGCTTCTTCCTCATTTCCTCCTCCACTGGAATCTGGTTTGTTTTCTCCCACAGTACGTTGTTGCTGATGGTGTCTGGCCAACGAATACGAAGTATTTTGCGTAGACAACTGTTCATAAATACTTGTACCTTATGGATGATGGTTTTGGTAGTTCTCCAAGTTTCCGCTCCATACAGTAGAACTGTCTTCACATTTGTATTGAAAATCCTGATTTTGGTTTTGGTTGAAAGTTGTTTGGAGTTCCAGATATTTTTCAACTGTAGAAATGCAGTCCTCGCTTTGCCAATCCGCGCCCTCACATCTGCATCGGATCCACCTTTCTCGTCGATGATGCTGCCCAGATATGTAAAGGTGTTAACGTCCTCCAAGGCATCTGCATCAAGAGTGGTTTGTTTGGTGCATGTTGTGTTGCATCGGAGAATTTTGCTTTTTCCTTTATGTATGTTGAGACCTACTGCTGCAGAGGCTGCTGCTACACTGGTCGTCTTCTCTTGCATTTGTTGTTGCGTGTGCGATAGAAAAGCCAGGTCATCTGCGAAGTCCAAACCGTCCAGCTGCGTCCTATTTGTCCAGTTGATACCGTGCTTCCCTCCAGACGTCGACGTCTTCATAATCCAGTCGATGACCAGGAGAAAGAGAAAGGGTGAGAGTAAGCAACCTTGCCTCACACCGGTCTTCACCTCAAACGAGTTTGTCAGCTGACCTCCGTGCACGATTTTGCAGTTGAATCCATCATAAGAATTCCGTATGATGTTGACTATCATCTCAGGCACACCGTAGTGTCGAAGAAGCCTCCATAGTGTTTTCCTATCCACGCTATCAAATGCTTTCTCGTAGTCGATGAAGTTGATGTAGAGTGGTGAGTTCCATTCAATTGATTGTTCCACAATGATCCATAATGTAGCAATTTGGTCAGTACACGATCGATCCTTACGAAATCCGGCCTGTTGATCTCGAAGTTGGGCGTCTACGAAGTCCTTCCTTCTGTTTAACAATACTCTGTTGAAGACTTTGCCTGGTATTGAAAGAAGAGTGATGCCTCTGTAGTTCTCACACTTGCTCAGGTCGCCTTTCTTTGGTATTTTGATAAGGTATCCTTCTTTCCAATCTGATGGTACTTGTTCCTCATCCCAAATCTTCTTGAAGAGAATGTGAAATATTTTCGCAGTTGCTTCCACATCTGCTTTCATTGCCTCTGCTGGAATGTTGTCTGGTCCTGCTGATTTGCCGCTCTTGATTTGTCTGATGGCTATACTGATCTCCTCAATCGTAGGTGCGCCAATATTAATTGGGAGGTCCTTGGATGCTGCTTCGATGTTGGGTGGGTTCAGTGGAGCTGGTCGATTCAATAGTTCCTGAAAGTGCTCTACCCACCTATTTCGCTGTTGTTCAGTGTTGCTGATTACTTTGCCTTCCTTGCTTTTCACTGGTCGTTCTGGTTTCCGGCCAGCTTCTTTGTTGTTTCGTACAATTGTCTCATGTTTCCTTCTCTTGCAGCCTTTTCCGCCGTCATTGCTAGATCTTCCACATATTTTCGTTTGTCAGCTCTGATGCTCTTCTTCACTTCCCTATTTGCTTCTGTGTATGCAGCTTGTGCGGTAACTTTCTCTGCTCTTGTTCGGCTGACATTGATTGCTGCCTTCTTGTTCCTCCTTTCTTCAATTTTTTCAAGAGTACCAACAGAGATCCATTCCTTGTGATGGTGCTTCTTGCGACCAAGGACCTCCTGACATGTTGAAGTGATTGCCTCCTTAATCCCTTTCCAATGGTTCCCTAATGTTGCTTTCTCTCCATCGAGTAGATCCTGAAATGCCTTGAACCTATTGTTTTGGGCAATCCTGAATTCGTTGAGTTTAATGATATCCCTAAGAAAGGCTGTAATAAACCTCTGTGATATTGTCTGCCTCGTTGTCCAGTGCTTCTTTAGTTTTAGTTTCATTTTGGCGACCAGCAAGTGGTGATCTGAAGCTATATCAGCTCCTCTCTTGGTTCTCACATCCTCCATAGTCCTTCTGAACTTTTTGTTGATACATATATGGTCAATTTGGTTTTGAGTAGTGTGATCCGGTGAAATCGATGTGGCTTTGTGAATGCGTTTGTGCGGGAATATTGTGCCACCGATGACCAGTTTGTTGAAGGCACATAGGTTTGCAAATCTCTCACTGTTTTCGTTCCTTTAACCCAGTCCATGTCGTCCCATGATGTCTTCATATCCAGTGTTGTCCATTCCAACCTTGGCATTCAGGTCTCCCATAAGAATCGTCAAATCCTTTGGTGAACATTTCTCGACGATTGACTGCAGCCTTTCGTAGAATTGATCTTTAACGTCGTCATTGTAGTCATTGGTAGGTGCATAACATTGGATGACGTTCATTGTAATGTCCTGTTTCTTTGTTTTGAAGGATGCTTTGATGATCCTAGGTCCATGAGATTCCCATCCTATCAGTGCCTTTTGTGCATGTTTGGACAGCATCAGTGCAACTCCTTGTGTATGTGAAGCGTTTTCCTCTTCATGACCAGAGTATAACAGCAGTTCCCCTGAAGCAAGTCTCAGTTTTCCTACCTGTGTCCAATGCGTTTCACTGATGCCGAGCACCTCGAGGTTGTATCTTTTCATTTCTGCCGCAACTTGAAATAGTCTTCCAGTCTCCCACAATGTACGAACGTTCCATGTACCTAAAAGAATGGTTGCTCTGGTTGTCAGAAGAGGCATCGGCCTCATGACTTCCGAGGGAACTCGGCTTTCATCATGAGACGTCATAATTCTTCTTCCAACTTCCAGGGCAGAGTTAAAATGGTTTGAATTATTTTTTCTGGTTAGCGTTTTTTTGGCAAGTGAGTTTTGAACGGAATGGGGTCGCCAACCCCATGTCCAACCCTCCTCCTTTATCCGGGCTTGGGACCGGCAGTAACCCCTAAGGTTCTACTGGCGGAGTTTAACTGTTTACTATTAAGTAGTATTTGGAACCATGAATTTACTAGCTCGGGAGTAGTATTCAAAGGAGGTGGTGCACTATTCAATGGAGCTGGTTGCTTCATATCTAGTCTCAAACCGTCACCGTCAACTGGTTATCCAAGCTATTCAGAATCAGATATAAAAAAATGAGCATTTATTTGGATCTACAGCAATATTCTTCCCAATCAGACGACGCACTACAGCAATAGGTTACTGATTACAAGCTACTTTATCAGAATCATGAATAATAAGATCATCTTGATAAACTTCAACACCTTTAAGACCAATGACCAAATTATTTATCACTTCTTGAAATATAGCCGAAGCACAACTTAAACCAAATGGAAGTTAGCTGTATTTGTATAGACCAAAACGCATAATAATTTTTGTCAAAGTGGATGAAGATTGATCTAATGGAATTTTAAATCGGCTTTCAAGAATACTCTGGAACCATGTGATGGACTAAGAATATCTTCAGCTTTCATCGTGGTTCATGTTTGTTTCAACAAACGGGAGTTCAATGTAAATCTGTAATCTTCAAATATTCTAGGGATTTTACCGTCTGATTTTAAAGGGGTATCACTAGGAGTATCCAACTCTGAAGATTGAACGGGATATTATTTTTTTCTCACACAAATTATTCAGTGACCGTAAGGAATTACTCCTTTCTTAAGAAAGACGATCACTCTGTGTCTGAAGTCCTATTGGCTGCATCTTTATCCCTCCTCTGCACTTAGCACAGTCAGCTCTCAAATTTTTTAGTAAAGCACCGGAGTCCTTTTTTTGTAAGCTAATAAAGACATCTTTGCTTTAAGCCTTTGGATATTGTTTAAACCTAGAATAGACGGTTTTGCTTCACGTACTAAAGTCTCACAAGGTATATGTAAAGAAATGTCATCTCTGTCTACCTATTCACAACATCGTATAAGATATTTGTGTCCAGTAGACCCCAGTACTCAAACTTCCGTAAGTCATACGGTAATATTAGAATCTGGAAACTAACTTTTCGAATGAGATAACGAACTCTATACTTACTGTATCAACAATAAAATTATGGAATGAACCAGTTGAGGTATATAAACGCTTCTGAACGTGCAGGTACCTTTTAAAGTCGTAGATAAACACTCGGATTTTGGAACTTGTTATTAAAAGTGGGGAAGTTCATAGCAGATCGACACACTGACTTGATGTGTCCTTTTTTACCACACTTATAACATTTTGTATAACAAAATGTACATGGATTACGAAGAAGAAATTCGCCGCACGATAAACATTTACTGGACTTTTACTCACCCTTATTTGCTGCTTTTCAATTCTACGATAAAACGCATTCCATGTTCTTACAATAACGCCTATTCATATGACCCTGAGTACTATTTGGATTAAGACAGCTGAGTGATGTCGTGGAATTCTTTATATTCTGGAAGTGAGTATCATTCACTGCTTCATACCTAGTGCACGCACTTCTAGCATCATTAAAGAAGCATGTTATTGTTCGAATGAGCTCTTTCTCCAAATTTCATTTGTATATTCCCGCAATTTATCACGCGTCTGAACGTGAAGTTGAAAATTATATTTGGTGGCTAGTTTCTGTAATTTCAGAGTAAACTCTCTAACCTTCTGGTTGGTCTGAAAAAACATTTCATGAGATTTTGATTTTTCACATCATTTGAATTTTGCATCTTTTGTGTATTTCGTTAGCAGTTCTTTAATAGCTTCGTAGAAAAATGAAATGGGTTTATCTGGAAACCCCACATTTTCTAGTAAACTGCAGGCGTCCTTACCGATAAATGCAAAGAAATGAGCGTCAATATTGTTATTTTTGACATCTTTCCTAGTCATACTCCATATTTTAAACTTTTTCATTTAGTTTTCAAAGTCATCCTCGTTGCCAACTTGTGACTTCATCACGACAACGAGGATATTCACTGACGTATTCAGTGGATGCTGTTCTCTTAGAAGAAAGATGAATTCTGTAACGGTATTTATTAAGAAATGATCATTATCAGAGTTATTGTGATAACTTTGTTGAGTTACACTTAAGATAGTTTTACAGTAGGTGCTATTCACTGATACCTTTATTTAACTTGAAGTCCAGTTAGTTACATTTACAAAAGTCTGGAGTTGTTATTTATGTGTCCAAAACTCTTCAGTCAGTACTTTTTCCGAATTTGTTCACGAGATCCATTTTACGGAATTGTATTTTGCCATGTGAAAATATTAATATTTTTGGTAAAAAATATTATGATGATGTTTCTCACTTATGGCGAAGGACCAAAACGTAACTCAGAAACCGACACAAACTTTGTAGTGAGGGATTACAGATGAATACTCATGGTGATGGGTATTCTATTTCTTTATCAAAAATATTTTCAGAACACTTCGCGGAAGTTATACAACGAGCTGCTTTGGAACCACCAAAGAAATATACTGAGCCTCAGACAGAAAATCAGGAATACGGTTGGATAAGTCAGCCATTAGTAAGTCACCTGTTTTGATCATTTTTATCTGTATGGATTCTTAAACGTATAAACCATTTTCTTAGATTACAAACATTTGAAAAATGCTAGAATTCACATGGCACTGTTTGAAATAGTTATTTTAATAGTGAACTTTCATCTTTTCCAGACTCTTGTTAGCTTACAGGGTCAGGACAGCAATGTCACGCAAAACACTCCTTACTATTAGATAATCGACACTTTATGATGTTATAAATGTTCAAAAGTTCAGGTGGCTACCTTTAATGTTGCTGGAAGGTAATCTTGACTCACAACCTTGTAATTACTTGTTCAAAAGACGGGTTTCGAGAGAGATCATCATTGAAAATCAGTAATAGATGGGTTGATAGCTTTATTGACCAGCTCCTAATTCTCAGGGTTTTATTTCTTTATTATATGTATTGAAAGTTATATTGTTCTGCTTTTCACGGTACTTTTAATTATTTGTTTCTGTTTTTGATCTAGATGGAAGTAGACAGGAGTGATTCAAGGTTTTATCATCCTAAAATTGCTTGTGAAATGACTAAATTTATGGATGCCTATTGGAAAGTAAATGAGCAACGTAAATTGAATTCGTAACTATGAGGAATGACTAAATAATACCATGATACACTGAAAATACAATATTCGAAAGTCTGTTAATAATTTTTTTTAGAAAAGTCTTACTTATGATATTTTTTTCTGTCATTTGTTTCCTATGTAGAATTTTGTAATGGATATATTCCTGTAAAATCCAGATGGTTATTTTTCTGTCTAATAAACAAACGTATTCTCGCACCTAGTGAAGTGATTTCTAATATACAATAATCATTTTAGTAATACTCTTGTTTGTCTATTGGCAAACATGATTACATTCTTTTTTAATAACATCTTTCGAGGACCCTGAAGAAAATAATTTGAAGACTGTATGCAAGTAGAATTCAGTCGCCAGTTATTAAGTTGGGTTTAGGTTGAAATGTTATTGGTTACCTAGGTCATTAGGTCAAGGAACTCAAAACGAAAAGGAAGTGTAGAGTTGCCATCTAACTAGACTATTATTGAAACTAGATGCCTTCCTAACCTAAAATAAATGAAAACTGGAGCATAAAATGTTTGACATCTTGTGATTATTCTGCATATATATTCACTTCTAAAGCGGTTCAAGTGGAGCTGAATCTACTTGGATGTTAACTGATGAGTTGAAATATGAGGTTTCAGATTCCAGATGAAAACTTTACTTTCTTAAAGCTATCGTGAATTGGAAATAATCTAATACAATGTAAATAATCCCAATTCAACTAGAACTTCGACAACACACAAGGAACAACTCGAATTCGAAGTACGCACTATGAATTTGTATTGTATTATTACATCAGGTTTAAACATAAAACAAAATATTTAATTGTGTAATAAACGTATTTATCATTCACCACAGATATTTCGCAAACTGTACAACAAGGAGAATACTCTATTGATTCTGAGAAGTTAGACGACGTTACGTCAGAATTTCCTCATCATTCGCTATTTGCTAGCAGGAGGATAATCTCGCCTACACCGTAAGTGACGCAAATTGGCAAAAGCCAGTCGACACTTCCGCATCCATTCTGAGATTTTCTCAGTCATCAGGCCACCAGCGCTGATTGGACTCTCAACACGCTCAACTGCTTCACTCCCTATTACTAGTTCAGGTGCTGATACAATCCAATCTTGAAGCAACATTCTGCATTTCGACGGGGAGAATCGCATCCCGAACATACTTGCATTGTTGCTTGGGGTAGTCAGAAGACTTTGCCATTTGTCAGCGTTTTCACCCAATAAAAATATGTCATGAGTAAATTCTAAGTCAACAAGATAGTGGTATCTCTGAAAGCATGTCTATGACTAAGGTAAACAAGAATGGAGGAAGTGGACATTCTTGACGTACACCACTTGAAGTAAAGAATTCTGGAGACAGTTCACCATAACCTCTCACTCGACCAGTAGTGTTCGGGTAGAGAGCCTTTATAAGGTTAATGTACTCCTCTGGTATGCCTTTCAGTGATAGACGCTGTCACAGAACCTCACGATAGACAGAGTCAAATGCCGCCTTGAGGTCAAGTAAGACAACTATTGTAGGACGCCTACATGCGTGCTTGTGTTCTAAGACCTGTCTGAGTGTGAAGATGTGGTCTATACAGCCACGTCCAGGTCGAAAACCAGCCTGGTTTTCTCGAGTTCGCTCTTTACGAGCTCTTGTTAGGCGTCGAAGTATTAACGAGGCTAGTAGTTTGGGCATTACATTAGTTAGACTGATTCATCTGTGATTGTCACAAGATGACATTTGTCCTTTCTTATAAATTGGGACAATCTATGATTGGGACCAGTCAGATGGGATTACGTTCAGTTTCCAGAGTCTACCTAAGATCTCAGTCAATCTAGATGCTAAAACTAAACCACTATCTCCAAAAATCTCAGGGGTCAGTCTATCAGGCCCTGCTGCTCTCCCTCTGTGACATTAACATTTCAAAATGGTTTATGTTCGATAAACTTAAAATCTTTAATCTCAAAGATCCTATAGCCTGTTGATATGTTAATTTATCATCTACATTTGAACAGAACTCGGAAACTAAACATAGTTAACAGTATATTTGGAGCCAGGAATTATATATACATGCTTCTTAGATAAGCGTTTTCCATTAGTAACTAAACAGGCCTGTCAATATATTTAGAAACATACTGTATGGGCATACTATTAGTCAATAAAAGTTGAAGCGATTAATCATTCACTAACTGAAATTTAACAAAAGTAAAATATATGTAGAAGTGCAACTATTTCACGATATATAATGGTAAGAAAAGGAGTAGTTTAACAAACGACTATGGAAAAAGTGGTTTTATATTTAATTAGCGCCAATTATTAAATAGTTATAACCTCCACAGAATTAATACTTTATTCTTTTCAAATTTATTCCACATCAAAAGACTTATTAATATTAGAACAATACGAAGCCTAATGTCTGACGAAATATGTTAATTCCTGTAATTAAAATAATTTCGAAATTGTTATTGCCGAGGTGGCAAAGTTCAGATATTCAAACTTATCTGCGAAGTGCAGAAATTGTTTCCCGTATGTTTAACCGAATAACTAAGTTTGTTCAAGTAAGTTTTAAGATCACAAAAACACTGTTCACTTTTTGAAGAAAATTTGAAGCTAGCCTAGCAAAGATCTTGCACAAAAATCCAAGTACAATGTGGTTTCCAGTCTTATTTGTTTTACGAAAGTGAAATCAAACTGTATCTCTGGATATACGGAAGGGCATTCGTGATGATCAAGAGTGAGCGTATTCCGTATATGAACGAGTAGTACTCAGAAATGTTCGATTCGTACTGTAGTAGTCATGTATGAACCAGCCTTGACCTCAGGAGGAAGTACACAAGCACAAAGGAAAGCATTGTGGTTCGAATTAGAATTACGAGTTAGCATCCGATATGTAGTCTTCTATTTGATAAGTTTACTAATAATCTCAAAACTCTCCGGCTTGGAAAATGAACCAAGTTATGTTTTCAAAAGAATAGTTCGATTAGTTACTGTATGCAGCGATAACTTCTAACTCCCTAACCGCTGACTGAACTTTTCTCATTAATTTCAGTTCATCCTAACCATTCATAACATATTTTTGTGACCCGCCTTTTTTTCTTTCGATCTTTAGGTTTTCTTGCACAAATATGCATGTGTCAACTCCAATTTACTATCCCGCGTGATTGCGATTTATTCTCTTTGACTAGCTGTTTCATTTTCATTAAACAAATTACACTGATCACCATACTTGACTTCATTATTTACAGCAGGACCCAGAAGTAATGGGGAGAAAATTTGTAGTTCAAGTGGATGATTATGGTGGACAAAGTGGACGTCCGCTTCAGCTTCGTCTACGTGAACATCAATCAGTAGCCAAACTCTATGACATTTCTTCCTTTATATCATTACACACGAACAACTATGGACATTCCATTAGAACAACGTTGAAATACAGGTTAGGAGGAGTACAAAGAACACTAGAGAGTTTTCAGAAGGTTGGTATTCAGGTCAATCAGCAAACACATAGACATTGATCCAATTTATAAATCAGTCAGAAAAATTATAGGCAAACAAGAAACGGAACAAAGGGGGATAAAATCAAAATCAGGATGCAAACAACGACAGGTTGAAAGTCAATAACAACCAATGAAGACAGACGTCAAAATAAGTGGAGAATTTCGATCACTTCACTTCTACCTGAAGTTTGTGCTGGTGGTGTTATTCAGAGGAACATTGAAAGCTACGAAACCAAAACATCCAGCTCAGAGAACGAAACTCTACCATAAAGATCCAGAAGTTTTACAGATGATAAAATGCCTTGTGACACATGAAATAATTCTTTTTCTTAAATCTTACTAATCTTGCTTTATTCAAAAAATCGGTTATAATGCACGTATTTCTCTGTAAACTGGATACCAAGCCAGAACCACTCCGTTCGACCTCAATACAACACAAATTAAGACCAAGTAATAAGCCTGACCTAAACGTGCATTGGTCAGTAAACAAAAGCCGACATTTCACATTGATATTAAGGGTAGTGAAAATATGTCACATTAAATGCTTTTCCAACTATCTACAGTCTTCCTAGGTACATAACCAAACACAATTTCGCCTTAAACAACAAAATCATATTTTAAGAGAATATGCATTCATAAGTTAATGAGAAAAAAAAATGAAATAATTTTACATCTATGTGATAAATATAAAATATTTCTGAAATAAATGAGTGCTTTCTAAAACTTCATATATTAAGACTGACAGTGGAGTGACTATTAGGAGCAGTTATAATCAATTATTCGTTTAAGGATCCCTCATCTTCATTAGGCTCATTATAATCAGTCGTAGTGATTGTTATTGAGCTTGATGCAACTGGATTTCTCGCAGATAAATTATGCATTCTTTCGTCCTCTTCTTGTATTGTTTTGCGTACGCTATTTGTTTCAGGTTCCGGCGGTTGGCCTGGAGATTTACTCAAGACCTAGCAAATAACATCAAAGAAGTATGAGAAAATAAGGTCCACTGACTGATTTTTTTAACAATTAGGCTAGTAAAATTCGCTCAAACTAGGAAGATCGCTTCTCCATCAGTATGAACGACAAAGATGTTTCTTCTGTATACAAAATAAAAAATCTTTCATATTTCTTGTGAAAACACTCAAGCATTAAGCTAAACCTCACTAGTGAGCATATCAAAAATCAGTCAACTTTTTAGACAGCATCATATACTTTTGAAAACAATGCACACTGCTAGCATCATTTGACCTTTCCATTTGTGATATACACTATCATATCTGGTTTGAGAAGTGTCATAAGAAACAATAAAAAAACAAATCTTCAATGTATTGACTTAAAGTACCAATTGTCTTCATTGACACTACTCCAGCATTTTAGATCTCCAGAGCACATCTCTCACTAAACTAGTTCCATTTCGATAATTCCATGTATAAATAAAACTGTAAAGTTCATGAGTTGCCGTCCAATTGAGTTGAACAGAGAAATCAATCATTGAATAAATAAACACGAACATGTAACAAACTCCTCACCTTCGTCTGTTGTTTCTTCAACAGTATATGAAAGATAACAATTTCTGAGATTAGTAATATAACACCAATTAAAAGTCCACATCCAAGTAACGTGAACATGCCACCAACTTCTTCAAAATCATATCCTTCATCGACAGATAATGTTCCACAGCGACTTGTATTACTCGCCCACCATTTAGCCCTCAACATATCCAGTGTATAATCTGCTTCTAAAGAATAAATTCTATGGCAAAGAAGAAAACAATGTTTACAGAAATAATAAGATTATTATCTCTAGCAGTCAGCGTTATTATGAAGTTCAGATTTTATAGCTTGAGTGACATTTTTTGTTGTGATATATTATCGGTCTATGTAGGTTTTTAAATGCAACCAAGGTGTAAAAGTTAAATGTTTGTTGTTGTGTATGCTTTAGTTGTTTTAATACTTATTACTAAATTTGCGCAATATAATTTCACTTAGTCAGAATTGATACCTAATTTCTTCATGAGTGAATTGTTTCTACTATTGAAATACCCGTCTAAATTGTTGTATGAATGCAGACGTTCGTGTCATCCTCTTTAACAAATTGAAATACACTGTTCCAGGTACACCTAGTTTAGAAATGTAGCAGTCAATTCAACCTTTAAAAAACTCTATGACAAAATTGGAACAGAGTCAAACTTCAGTGAGGTATTTATTCATTTTAAGGAATTTATAGAGGTTCATTATAATCATTTCCAAATAACTCAGTATACTCAAATAAATTATGTATTGTAGTAAGCATATAAGTGAGTATTTACAGTACAATGGAAATTTGACGAATTTTGAACTTAAATAAGATAAGAAATCTTACCAGCTATATCCAGAACAAGTGATTACCCATTTTCAGTAACTTTCATCTCAATGCCTTCATTGGTAAGAAAAAATGGCACCTTTTATAAAAAATATGCTTATAAATGTATAAGTATAGGGTCATTTGAATATGGTCAACTGTTAATAACATCTCTTTGATTTATAATTTCTGTACTGGGGTGTTTGATAAACTAACTACACTGGAAATCGTTCAGTGATACTAATTAGTCAAAAAGTCAAAACATATCTAGCTGCTACTTTTTTACTATCACCTTTAATAAACAAGTTTGATTTTGTGAATGATGTGTGAAGTGACGGAAATAAATATATTGTTCATGTTACGTTTCTTTCCCGAGTATGTTCATTTTTATAAAACCCGCCATTACTTTGAAGAAGAGAAAGCAAAGAAATGATATAGTGCCTTCAAGTTCTTTCTTGAAAATGAATTAATTGACCTGTTCATGGTTTATGAAGGGCTTTGAAAGTTTCTATTTATTTAATTACTAGTAATTTGTAGACAGTTCTTTAGACAGATTTATATCTTATTACACATTAGAGTTTCATCACATGCACATTCATACTCGTAACTGTGTTTTAGCTGATTCAATGTGTTTTATAGTTGTCAATTTTATCCGTAGAATGTAAGTGATCAGTTTCAGTATGACATCAATCTGTGAGAGTTTGAAGTAGATAAAAGATAAAATCTGCAATTGATTCATTAACTGAACAATTACTGTTTAAATCTGAATCTTTTTTCGGTAATTTACATGTGAACTTACATTTCATTAATAGCCGAAGTTAACGGAGAACGCGGTAGTAATATCATACTATAATACCAACTTCCTATACGGTTACCGAATCGTTTCAGTTTGCATTCATTAGCTATGTAATAATCAGCCTTTGGAGTTTCCATAAATATTACCCAACCATCGTTGATAAGTTTCATAGTTTCTTCATGGCTATTTGAAAAACCCCATTCACGCATTCTGCTGTAAAGTAATCCATACTTTTCAGTGACTGGATATTGCCAAACTGTATAATTTGCTGTAAATTCATCTGAAGAACAAAATTCACTGTTATAACACCTTTCAAATATGTTCAAGAGTTGAAATGCATTAGTTCAATTTTATCTTTCTGTTGGACCAAAGATATTAAACACACAGTTATATTATAGTCTTGTAATCTGATTCTAGTTATGAGTTGACAGAAAACAAGATTGAAAAATCAAATCTGTTCAAACTTTTAGTTTCGTAGTTCTAATATAGTGTCTGTTGACTGATGGAATATGGAAACCATTATTAAATTATCAGGTTTTATAGAATTTCACGCTGTATGACTTTTTATTAGAGTTTTTTCACCACATGTTGAACAACCTTATTGTCATGTACATCAAGAAGATTGAATAATATTCAGTCCACTGTAGTCTAAATTTACCATCCTCAACGCACACGAACTAACGAACATTTTCTCACACTTTTTCCCTTGAACTACTCAAACTTGTAGTCCAAAAATATTGGTAGTTGTAAAAGTGTTATTCACCGGCCCTGAATCTGACTCCAATTCGGATAAACGACTGCATATTCTGTGAAATAAATCTTTCCTTTGATTTCAGGGTATCAATCTTAGGCGAACCCCGTCTGTGCGATGGTGGTAATCAAAAGTTCAATACGATTTCGCATGAATTTATTTCATACATTCGTGCTTGAAAACATGATATAGAGAAGAGTAAAAGCAAAGCAAAATAAAGTGGACTAATTAATTTGTCCAAGAGCCGAGACAAATCATATGGGCTCGACAGACATACTAGTACATACTACGGATCCTATTGGTTATTATTATAAACCGATGATTTATGTGATGTTGGATATTTTGATAATGAGCTCGAGTAATCACTCTATTGCTACTGCAGATTTCAGTTCAAACGTGGTCACGGTCGCAGGTTATTTATTTCTAATCACTGTGTTTCTAGTAGCTTTTCGGTCACTGGAAGCGCCCAAGAATAGAGTTCGTGAATTTGAGCGGGCAATGTTTTACCATTCGTGATTCTAGGTTCTATCGGAATCAGAAACTGTATGTAAAGTGTGTACGCTGTAGAAGTGGTCAGAAATCTGCTAGGAGAAATCTCGATCGTCCTGGAAGAAAGAGCTAAATAAGTTCGATGTTCAAATTAAGTAAAGGTACTTTATTTAATTATAACCATTTACAGTAATGATAATAATATTAATAATAATAATAACAAATATAATATTTGGGTAAAATTAAACTGCTTATGACGATGATTTGTACACAATGATCGTTCACGACGTAGCCTTGCTTGAGAAGTTCTTCTCATCTAACCTACCTGATGATTTCTATTTTCTAATAAGTAGTAACTGAGTGATAAGTCATTGATAAAGAGGATAATTATTACTCTGAAGAAGTTCAGACAAATTTGCTGGAGAAAACATTGGAATTATTCCAGTTAATTCAATCGCTGAGATAATTTGAAACATAACTTTGACAAATCATGCCTTTGATAACCTCGGTGCCCTATTTCTGTCAAACTATACATGTATAAATATTAATACACATTTTAAAAATGATATTATCACATTAACTAAGATAATAAATAATCCTTGAAAAAGGAATGAAAAATCTAAGTCTTAACGCAAATGTGTAATGGTCAGTGAGATTGAGTTGAATGTATGGAGGATTACTAGCACTGTTACGATTATACCTGTTTATGCAAAAACCTTTACAGTTTCAGGATAGCTGTTCATTTTTTAGTAGGATTTTATCTTTGTCTAAGAATCAGTTAAATACAAATAAAATTTCAAACGGTTTTTTCATAGTAAAGAAATATTCGTTTGAATGATGTTCAGTTGACTATCCAAAAATGAAGAAAATGACAAACTGACACCTATTCATTGAGGGACTAGTCTTATATCTCTATCAATTAGTGTAATTTACTGTAATTTACAGATTATCTGATTATTCATCTTAATAGAGCCAAGCTTAGCTAAGGACTTTTTTCTATCCCTGCTCCTCACGAACGACATAAATCTCCAAAAATTCACGAAACTTCAGAGAGTCAAAGTCTTCTAGAACTCATCAATCTATGCTTAACAACATATTTCCAATTCAACAGCAGAATCTAAGAACAAACAAAAGGAAAACCAATGGAATCATCTATATTAGGACTCATCGCAGAGGCTGTGATGCACAGACTAGACTCGTCGGTTCTACCAGTGATCAATCCAAAAATGATGGTTCGATATATAGACAACACGTTCGTCATTATTAGAAGGACCGAGCTGGAGAGCATCTACAAACAAGCCTACATGGTGCTTTCTTGTTCATGCTATCAAACGATTTATCGTAGTCAATGAAGTTGATGTAGAGTAGTGAGTTCCATCCAAATGATTGTTCCACAAAGATCCATAATGTTGCTATTTGGTCGGTACACGATAGGTCCTTAAGAAATCCAGCCTGTTGATCTCGAAGTTGGGTGCCTATAAAGTCCTACACTCTGTTTAACAACACCCTGTTGTAGACTTTTTCTGGTATAGGGAGAAGAATGATGCCTCTTTAGTTTTCACACTTGTTGAGATCATGTTTCGTTGATATTTTGATCAAGTATCCTTCTTTCCAGTCTGTTGGTACTTGTTTTTCCTCTCAGCAGCACACGGCAAGCATGAAAAACGAGGAAAAGTATATGATGACCATCTCCCAAAAGAACGGCTGTTCATGCAACTTAATCAAAAAACATCAACTGAAATCGTCAACAAACGAGAAATCAAGTGCAGGAACCAGTAAACGGATCATTATACCATACATAAAAGACATTTCGGAAAATACAGCATGACTACAGAAACCACTTGGAATAGGTGTAGCACACAAACCAACAGAATCACTTCAATCACTTCACCTATCCAAGCCAAAGGACAAGATGACAAAGGAAGAAAAAATATCATCCACAGAATCAACTGCTCAGACTGTGAAATGCGCTTCATAGAACAGAGTAGATGTCCTTTTCAGATTCGTCTGTATGAACATCAGTTAGCAGTCAAACGTCATGAAAATTCTTCCCTTGTATCAATACATACAGACAACTATGCACATATATTCGATTGCAACAATGTTGCAATACTGAATAGGAGGAGCACAAACAACACTGGGAAATTTTTAAAAGTTCAGCATACAGATCAATCAGCAATCAACAAACACATCGATATGGACCCCATTTATTATTGGCAAACAGAAGATCAAGAAACAGATCAAAGGGGGATACAATCAAAATGAAGGTGCAAACAACGACAGGTTTTAGTTCAGCAACAACCAATCAAGATGGAGGTTAACAGAAGTAGCTACGGGTCACATGTATGGAATTTTGAGTACTTTACTTCTACCTGTAGTTTGTACTGATGATGTTATTCAGAAAAACACTGAAGTGTTTATAATAAATCTCTTGAATAACGTTTTTACTTCGGGTCGTCGTTTTCATATGTTTTATATGTTTTATTAGACCTTATTTATGGCTAGTTATTCGCTTTAGATATATCTATGCCTAAATTATAAATGTATATTCATGTTAATCCAATTTACATTATTGCACGTGTTCGATTGCCGGGTTGAATACTGGGTACGAAGAAGGGCATCAACTCTGGACTATTAGGAATTAAAATCATTCTTTGTCTTAAATCAAGGTTTACTATGTTAGTTGAAGCTTAAGACGTATATATATATATATATATATATATATATATATATATATATATATATATATATATATATATATATATATATATATATATACAGGCAATTAAGTCTATTGAGTTCAAACTGTGCATAGAAAGAATACTCGGCGATGAGAATTAAGTTAACACGTGGTTACCATTTCAGTATTATGACTGAACTAAGGGGCAACATTTTACCTGCTGTTCGAAAGTTGTTAATTAGAATGACTTAAGGACTCAGGGATTCGATCAACACCTGTCACTACTGATTCAAATTATGACTTTTAGATTTTCCGGTTTTCAAAATGTTATTTTAACAAAACCAAGGTTAGGAAATCAGAGGAGCTCACTGTTATATACAACTTTTTGTTTCCATATTTCAAAAATAAATTCTTCAGCACTTTTCAGCCTCTCAAAGAATTTCAGTTCTGATGAGTTGCTTCTAACTGTATACTGAAAAGGTACAATCGTAGAGAAAAATTATGTAAGTTGCAATGAACAGACGGAATTCATGAATATTACTGCTTCCTTATTTTATACCTTCGTAAACAAGTATCAAAAGCACATCCAGTCAATGATCAGTTTATAAAGATAGGTTCAAAATATTGTTAATGATTAATTTGACGTGTTTTATTTTAGTTCCAGTTTAATAGAACATGATTTCACCTATTGACGGATACATTTTATTTGGAGAGTTGGTATTTTAATTATCAGTCAGGAATGAAGTCATCAAGTCAAAAAAGCAAATTGTCTTCCAGCTTGACGTTCATTCACCTCGATCTTAATCAACAATAGAAGTATGTTATTCATTTAATAAATATATCGTTATTACCGATTATTCGGATTTGTATAATGCTTTAATCCGAGCATTATTGAAACATCCGTTATATCAATTCATTAAGATCAATGTACAGACGCATTAGTTTGAATTGAACAGGTCAAAGTCAGCTATAGACTCTCAGTGCATTTTCATAAACGAAGGTCTTCGACTTCACACATGACGAAGAAAGAATGAACCAGATGTTTACCATAGCTACAAAATATGATAATTATTTGACATGAAGAGTGAAACAAAGTCTAGATTAGACCTGTAGGGATGTGGGCTTGAGAGGTAAGTCAATAGATTTCATAGTCACTATCCAAGAAAACAGGGGCGGGAATGACATCACAATCAAACTATTTAACCTCAGTCGTTGTTTTCCCAGCGATAACAGGCCTCTAAATGCCCTGGTACGGCCGAGAGAGAGGAGCATCCGCTCTTTCTTTCTCTCTCTCTCATGAAATGCTTTCATCTACTCACATTTATTTAGCCACTTCCAGGAAAGTTCTACTAACTACCTTTTCGTGGCACGGGTGCTGTCTACGAAATTGAGAGGATGAAAATTCGATGTCCGGTGCTTAAACTGAACCAATGGTACACATGGGCTCTAAGATACTAAAGGAACAAGTGGCATATGAAACTGTTGTTGGTCACCAGCTACCACTAAACTGCATCTCCCTATGTTGCTCCACTGCCTTGTGGATTAGACTTTTGTGTCAAAGACTGAGGGTGCAGCCTTCTAAGAAACTCACTTTTTTGGTATGGACGTCTGGGCAGTATCTCAACCCACTCATAAATTCAGTAAGTTGTTTGGTGCATAAATATTTAGGTTCCTCTTTGTACCAGTCTTTATGTATTTAGATGAAAATAAAAATCCCTATCGAAACTCAGTTGGCCAGACAAATATGAGTATATAACTAATTAGATAATATGTTGCAAATTAGTAATTCCAAAGACAAATTGTCAGTAAGTCATTAAAAAGTGGAATAAGGTAAGATGAACAACAAAAACTCTGATATTGATGTATGATATGAAAAAAGTAAGCAGCAATCAAACTGAAAAAATATTCCAGTCTTTTCTATGTAATGATAGTCTTCAGCGTAGACCAATGTCTATTAGAACAACATATAAGTGAACAATATTGTTTTCGATTAGATCGTCATCAGGCTTTACTCTAATGCATTCAACCCCAATGTATGTGTTCAGAAGAAATTCATGACACCCTAATATCTTCCGTGGCCGGATATGACTTAACTAACGTTTAAAAATCTTTTTAAATTTTGTTTTGTAATTATTAGTATTCTTTTCACATCCAGTATTTGTTGATAATTTTCTGCCTCTTTCCATTTATATTGTTCACTATCTAATTACGTGCACACTTCTTATTACGTAGTGGTTTCAATGTTTTGTCTGGATTATTTTAAGTCTATTTATCCACGTTCGACCTACTATTGATAAAATTTTTGTAATCGTATTTTATTTTTCTTACTACTATCGGTACACCTGTCTTCCTAATATCAACTTGTACTTTCATCTATTTTGTGTAGTGACGTAATCCATGTCGTTTCATTGTGATCAATGACTCGAATTGCCTTGATTGGTTTAATATTTTCATACAAATATTCATATATATTAGAGTGAAGCCTGATGATGATCTAATCGCTTGTATGTGTTCCAATTTTCACAATGTCTATCGAATAACTACATTAAGTTGGGAGAGGTTGGAGAGTAACGTCATTTTTAAGTTAGGTATACTGTTATACACACCGATAAGCATTATCTGTCGATGAAGGATATGATTTTGAAGAAGTTGGTGGCATGTTCACGTTACTTGGATGTGGACTTTTAATTGGTGTTATATTACTAATCTCAGAAATTGTTATCTTTCATATACTGTTGAAGAAACAACAGACGAAGGTGAGGAGTTTGTTACATGTTCGTGTTTATTTATTCAATGATTGATTTCTCTGTTCAACTCAATTGGACGGCAACTCATGAACTTTACAGTTTTATTTATACATGGAATTATCGAAATGGAACTAGTTTAGTGAGAGATGTGCTCTGGAGATCTAAAATGCTGGAGTAGTGTCAATGAAGACAATTGGTACTTTAAGTCAATACGTTGAAGATTTGTTTTTTTTTATTGTTTCTTATGACACTTCTCAAACCAGATGTGATTGTGTATATCACAAATGATTCAATACCTTATATTTAATTTAACGACCGAAAGCCAAGGCGTAACAAGAGTAGAAAAAATGTCCGAATTCCTACTTATCACTTTATTTTTTGCATTGATTATATATTTTAGTTACAATAGCCGACACCTTCGTAGGTAATTTTTCTACTTAAGTGATATTATCGAAATAATTCTGTAATGATATATATATATATATATATATATATATATATATATATATATATATATATATATATATATATATATATATATATATATATATATATATAATTTTCGGTTTACTTTGACTCCTTTTTGTTCAATTAGTTTCTTGAATGTATTAATTTCTCCTTCCAAACCTGAGACGGTTAATTTTGCCGCTAAATTAGCCGAAAACATAGCAATTATAATAAGAACCAACAACCAGAGACCGGCTACTAAGATGCGTGTTGAGGCTGAACGAGGATCCATGTATTCACCTGTAGAAATGGAGAAAACGAAAATGGTTTTAGAAAATGTTGCTTGTTCAGATTTAATTGAAGGTGACTTCAAGTTTTGAACTATTTAATTTGGTTTTTAACTAATAATAATTATTTTTGTACTGATTTGACTGCACAATTGTTTTATTGGTAATGAATGGTTTATCAAATTTTTTGAACTGACTGCATTTATAGTATTTTTGAATGTCGACTTGAAAATGATAGAAACACTTAACGAATCGTATGCAAGGATTCAGCGTAATAATTTCTTACCACAACAATGTCACCAGTTATTACTGTAAATCATTTCAAGATGAATTATCAAAAAGTTGTAAACACATAGAGTTGTGTTTCAAGGAAAGCTAACTTAGAGAATTTAAATTTCCTGCCTTTGGATTGACAGTGTATTTCGTTGCTTTCTCAATCCAAACATCATCACCGGTATTGTATAAATAGATTTGACAGACTATCCTATTAATGTTAATCTTCAGCGTTAAGTTTGGTAAATGACAACATTTCTTCATTTGACTCTTTGCTTTTAAAATATGTGAATAAGCTTTTTTTTCTTTTGAAGTTTCTCAATGAGTATCTCTTGAATAGATCAAAATCTAACTAATGAAAATTACAGTGAAATTACCAGATAAATGCCTTGAAATGAACTGTTTTACAAAATTTTGCTTTTAATCATTCTAATATAGTGAAAAATACCTCTGTTAGTTATTTTCATAACTAATTGTAGTTATATCATAACTAATCAGTGGAATTGTGGTATAGGTGCCCGCTGCGTGGTCTGACCTGATGTGTCTGTAAACCTGTAGTGAACGAGAACACAGGTGGAGCAACCGACTCATATTTGGCGAAATTACAGAGTTACTCAGTAAAATTGGAAAACCATATCGTGAATTGTTCATTTGCAAAATATCAGTTCATCCTATCGAACTGGACTGTTCCTGTTGCCAAACATCAATCCATTGTCACTATTCATGCGTTTCATACAAATTCCATTGTTTTCTAACTCTTCCTTTCTTGATCTTTCCCCATCTCCCGCTGCCAGACATTACGTTGACGCTCACGTTATATACTACTTATAAGTAGCTCACACCAGAAACCTTTGTTGTAAATGACCTACAAATTGACTGAGATTATTATCTTATTATATTGATGTGACTCATAACTTTACTCATTTTCCATAAGACACGCTATATTGGTCGAAACAGATAAAGTTTAAAACCAAGTTGATCTCGTTCTTACTATAGCATTCCAATAGACTCTGTGCTCACCAAAATTGCGTTTACCGTTCTAGAATTACATCTGTAAGACAAATTAAATCCTACAATCTCCATGAAACTCCATTCAAAGCTAAACGTCTACAAGTACTTTGGACGGTGTCAGAACTCGAAAAAGCATATAATCCACTCGAATCTAAGAATGCTTCATTCCAGAAACAAGGTCTTATCAAAAACCGAATCAGTGTATCTACAATGCTGACATTTTATCTTGATGTGACGGATATGAAAATATTTTTACCATTCGTTAATCATATTTTCCAGTCAAGTGAGTGAAAATTTATTTCAAATAAAAGAGAAGACAAATGACTTATTATGAAAATGAGGAAACTTTAAACAAATTTACCTTGTTGAGTGCAGGAACCTAATACATACCAGAGGGATTCTTTTACAGTAAATACTGTACCCATAGATTCGCCATCACCTTTTTTAGGTTGATTTTGATAACTATACGGGGAATATTTATCAATGAATGCCAACAGGAAACCGATAACAAATACAACTACGACAGACGTTACCCAAACATCCCTATTAAAATTGAATTTAGTTAATTGGGAATTCTGTAGTTTACTTTGAAAAAAATTAATTTGAAAACTTATAGTAGAACTGAGATCACTTAGATGATAATTAAAATAATGAGAGAAAATTTTTTATTGAATTTAACATTATGCCTACTTGTTATTAAATGAATTAGAATACATATACTCAATCCTATGAAGCGGGATAATTACTGAGAGCGCTGGAAAGTTGCACTATTTTACGACTATTATATGGTACAAATATCCATTTTAATACTGGGTTGAATCCAGAACCCTTAAATTTCGTGCCAAAGAAGGTATTGTTCAATAAGTGAGTTAGAATCCATTTCAGCTCCAATTATTGGGGATATAGAACGATCTTTAGTCTGTCTTTACTGGGTACCTACTTCGGTTATGTAACCGGAAAATATATTTCATTAACTGAGTAAAAGTTCAACATGCTTACCGTACGTTAGATATTTGTTTAGGAATGGATCACTCACTGATAAAAAGTAATTTTTACTCTGTAGTTCACCATTCGAAATTGATTTCTTAGGAAAATTGTACTTGAGGAATTAGCATCCCCAACAAATATATAGTTATACGTTTTGTTCATAAGACTAAAGTCATTCATTTTTATATTTTTTATGAAGAATTGGTCTCTATATGGAGCTCATTCAGTGAAAACGAATGCTGATTGAAGGTCCCTGAGTTCAACAAACATGAAAATTAGGACCAGTTTTTAGGACAACATTGTTTTTAAAATTATATTTTAAATGCCAATGTATGGTTATTGGAAGATCATTTCTGCGTGAAATGTTAATCAAAGTAAACATAACATGAAAACGAGCCATTGATGGAAGTGGTAACTGGTGTGCTTTCTAACCTTTATGAGCGTCTTTTAATTACTTTGAACAAAAACATTTCAAAATATGTCAAAAATATCAACTGTTAAAGGTGTGTCATTGATTTTTACTTTCCATTTGTTTACATCGTAAAGGAACTCTTTTTTTGAGGTATCCGAAAGGAATCAGTAGCAGTCTAGTGGTCTGTAAGTGTGACCAAAGTGCCGAATGGACAGCAGCTTGAGACCAGTCACATATTTTCTGTCTGTAAGATCCTGATGTGTTAGCTCCATACTTTAAAGACCTTACCACCAGCAAGGTGATAATTCGAAAACTTACTTTTTCGGATTACTTGTTTTCGTCACAGGAAGGCAGCATTGCTGGAAGAAATGTATTAGTGCTGCCACCACTCTTTGGAGTTCCAGCATGACTTATCTGTCGTGCCATAAGTTGCTTCTTTTAGTTTCACTGTTTGTAAAATGAACTATCTAGATTGGCAGGAATTGAAGTAAAAGTTTCCCAACTAATTAAAATCAAATGAATCAATTCGATAAGCACACCTGACAACCACGTCAAGGTAGCGATTTCATCGATGAAATATCACCTATCTAAAATAAACTTGTTAGTTTATATAGCGTTATAAGAGATAAATGGCTGATTTATTACCTCACTAGGTTGAAAGCTTATTTACTTCAGCCATTAACTCTAACTTCTGTTCTACAGGGTCTTCGTAATCGTCGATGTGATAACCTAAATTATTGGTTGGAACCTTTCACAGAACTCGGAGCTACTGTTAAATGCAGGTGATTGATATTAGAAAACAGTCTGTATTGTCATCACTAAATCTCTATGTCATTTCAAGCATTTAGGTTAGTGAATCCTTTTTGTGTGCAATTAAATCAATATTAGGCATTCTAATTATAAAGTTTAATACTTCAATAAAATGACAGGGTTTGTGTCAAGAAAAACTGTGATTTATCTATGCAGAAGAATAAATTTGAATTATAAATTAGTTGATCATCTAGCAGTTCATGAACATCCATATGATCATAATCGAGATAAAAATTCATTTAAGATAATTACTTACTACACGGTACTCAACTTTACATCTTTGATAATGTGCGCAATCTTCCTCACTTAACGTGACCTGACACATGAATTTGAACAAATATGATTAAATTTGGATGATTTCTTAAATACAGCTTCCACTTCTTTTTTTTATCAGTTACGAATGCGTGATAACGGTTATCGAATAATACAAATCACTGAAATGTTTCAAATATTTTTCATGATGTGTTGTATATTTTAGATTTTTCCTAGACCTAGGTAGTTTATATTCTGTGGTTGGCACTGGACGACATGAAATAACTTTTAAAATATCTTTCATAAAAGCAGAGAGCTGGGCGCGTGTTATGAAATCAAATTAGTATTGGTGTATTGATAAAATGACTCTTTCAAGTAACTTATTCCCTGGTGGTTTTTAGTTAGAATTTCATGAATAGTAATGCATGTCCAGAGGTTGGGCGTTAGAGCACAAGACCGAAGGTCCTGGGTTCGAATCCAGCAAGGTGCACGAGTCGTGAATGCTCACTACTGATGAATCCCATACCGGGACAAAACGGCCGTCCAGTGCTTCCAGGTTTCTTATGGTGGTCTAATGTTGATCGATTCACGATTTCAAAAAATTAAAAAATAATTCTTCGGATTCATTGCTCGGAGGAGAATTACTTCTAGATATTCGTTCTAAAGGTGGGTGAATAATTAGACCTGTGTGGTTCACCAATTTAGGAGTGAAAATGGGACATTAAAAACTAGAATTCATCCAGGAGGTTAAGCGGTTATGTGTAATGCTTTATTGACTTCTAAAGTCGAACATGTTTTAATTCTCAGCTTGACGGTTCTTGATCGTTCCACTAGTGATATTAATTGTTTTTGCTGAATATGATGAAATATTTACTTAGTGGTTGCTAATTTTCTTCATTTACTCATATTTTGTGAGTACAGAAAAGAATTTACAGTATTAAAGAAAATGAAGCTGTACTACTTATTTAGAAATTGTTATCTACTAGTAATGTGTATGCATTCTAACCCAAGTTTTCTTACTTTGACAGACTTAATGTTTATCATACATTTTTTGCTCTGATCAAAATATTTTATAAAGTTTCACATCTTCTGTTACTTACCACGTGAATACATCAAGAAAAAATAATGCACCAAGTTTAAGATCTTCATTTATTTTGCTAACCATTGTAATGCCAACAGATTCGTAATACGGTACTGTAAAGTCAACAATCAAAGATTTTTCTGCATCCAGAACCAATGGTCCCAAGCCAATATCAGTATTCTGTATTTTTAAGATGAAATAAAACAAAAATAATTTGTCAAAAATCTTGTAATTTACACCTTTTTAAAAATTAACCTAGTTTTGCAGCAGCATATGGTGAGATTGCGTTTAGTGTTACTTCTATGAACAGATGTTGTTCGCAGTCATGACGTTTGACTGCTGATTGATGTTCATGTAGACAAAGCTGAAGATGATGTCCCCTCTGTTCCATGTAGTGCTTTTCACAGTCAGAGCAGTTGATTTTACGAAATCTTCCCTTGTATCAATACATACAGACAACTATGCACATATATTCGATTGCAACAATGTTGCAATACTGAATAGGAGGAGCACAAACAACACTGGGGAATTTTTAAAAGTTCAGCATACAGATCAATCAGCAATCAACAAACACATCGATATGGACCCCATTTATTAGTCAATCAGAAAAATTATTGGCAAACATAAGATCAAGAAACAGATCAAAGGGGGATACAATCAAAATGAAGGTGCAAATAATGACGTGTTTAAGTTCAGCAACAACCAATCAAGATGGAGGTTAACAGAAGTAGATACAGGTCACATGTGGAGAATGTAGAGTACTTCACTTCTACCTAAAGTTTATGCTGATGATGTTATTCAGAAGAACACTGAAAGCTCCACAACCAAAACATTCAGCATAGAGAACGAATTTTCACGACAATGGTTTTTTTTACGTGAAAATGTCAAAGTAACACCTGGAAGTATTTTAGGAATACCTGAATTTTAAGAATTATAAATTGAACAATGATAGCATGAATTCGAAGATGTTTTGCGGAAATATTCACACTGATGATACACACACAGTGCACTTAATGTGTGGGTACATCTGAATTTTTATTTTATCATCACTCTGATCGTTAGAGAGAAACAATTTTTGTTTTTACTGGGATGTGAGAAAACTAAAATTATGCAAACTGGACTATATTCACAGAAGGAGAGATGTCAGAAGTAGGAAATCAGTAAACTATGTTCTTTAGTTACATGACTAGTGGAAATGAGAAAGATTTTTTTTAGCATATGTACATACATAACGTTTGTATGACTGTAAAGTGGTTATTATCAAAGGATGACATCAACCAGACAACACACCAGTTGAGTGTTTTCTGGCTTGCGATTGGTCTCCACTTGATGTCTTTTAGTGATGAAAGTTGTCTCTAGCTAGGTGGATATTTGAAATAACTCGAAGTTCAAAACCCTGCCACTTAGTCAACACATATTAAAACGAAAAAGTTACAGAAATTCAACTTTATGAAAAATAAACTGTGCTTTGTTATGTGATATCGTCTAGTAAATGATCTTACCTTTCTAGAAACTTGACCAATCATCCCTGACCAATGACCGTTCTCAAGCCTAGTGCCGTAATCACCATCAGTCTCCTCTACGTATTCATAATCAATATTTAATCGTCTAGCTATTTCTTCAAATACCTCTACGCAATATCCTGTCCACTTATTTTCCTTTAAACGTACTGCATACGGTGGATCCTATAGAATACGAGGATTATAATATGAACTAAGAGTAGCTCTTAGCAAATAATTAATTATGTAAACTGAGTGTATAATACATGTCATCAATAGCATTCATCACTGTTCATATAAAACCATCAAGTTCACTGTTTTACAGAGTTGACGTCTGACCACTGACTGACGTTTTCTGCTAAAACTGGTAAGCTCAAATGCATTGTTGATGTCCATATTGATTGAATATTGACCTAAATATTATACTTCATGGAATTCTTACTGCATTTCAATCTAGAAATTCGACATTCACCAGTCAAATTCGTTTTCATAATCGTAAGAAGGGATTGATATAAGTGAAAATATATAGTGTTTTCTAAGGACCAATCTATGTTCATCTATGTGTAATGACGAATATATCCATATGCCTTGGTGTCGTGTTAAACATGGTCAATCTGGAATTTTTGTAGATGCAGTTAAATCTTTCGCTTTGTGTGAAGTAAAATGAGTAGTTGTGTTTGCGGACAACATTGATTTAGAGGGATTTTAAATCCTAATGAGGAATTAGAAAATGGTATTTATGCATCGCAAAGCGATTTATGGATGATTTCGTGATCACGTCAATAGTAGCTTATTATCGAAAACTTAAATGGTTTTCTAGTTTCTTTTGTGTGATGTGGATAGAGTGACACTAAGGAATCCAATCCATTACGGAAAGCACCCAGTTGTGTCGCAAGACAAGCCCTTAATTGGAATCCTTAGGGTCAAAAGAAAAGAGAAAGACCAAGGAACACACTACACCGAGAAACGGAGACAGACAGAAGAATGAACAAAAATTGGATAGCACTAGAAAGGGGAGCCCAGGACGAAGAAGTTGGCGAATACTGGCTGGCGGCCTATGCTCCAGGCATAAGTAAGTAAGGAATCTAATTAGTTGTTCTACAATGATCCAAATCAGATTATTTCTTGAAAAAACTTGTCTAGCTTTAAAACAATTAGTTTCACAATAGTCAGGAGGCTAGTTTACAGAAGAAATTGGAAAGGTTTAAACGAATTTATTGGTTTCACACGCTAGATAATGAACAGTAGGATTTTTCTTCCAATACTACAGACTATTTACCACTTTCCACTGAATAATACAAGCTATTCAATAGGATGAATTGTTTACTGCTCAGCATCGATTAAAAATGAGTTTTAATACCTACTCCATGTTTTGATACGATCACCCAAGTAGTAAAGGTTCTGTCGTAGAGCGAATTTGGCTCGCTGTGTGTAAGCAAAGCTGGTTACATAAATGCTGTTAATTTCCACTCAGGTTTTATGGTAGAACTGTTTAGACATTCATAATTATTATCAATAATGATGGCAGTAGTAGGAAGGTGAAACAGTGTAATATAAACAAATGCTAGATAGTTTATTCATTTTGTATTTGTTATTTGAATATTCCGATTGATGTTTAGCGCAGTAATTGGTCAGTCTCTCGGCATATGTGCATTCTGTGAGGATGGACTCATTATTGTCATTTAGTCACAAGCATTTTAAGAGATGGTGGATGGTGGCTATCAGTGGAATCCAGGACACTTGTTTCGTCCTTTTTAAGATTTGTCAGCCGGATGTACTGCATCCGAGAGTTGATGTTCACACATATGACAAAAAAGCTTATCAACTTAAATCCTAAACATCAATCTGAAGAGTCAAATAACCAATACAGATAGATTAAAATTGCCCCCATTGTACAAGTCAGTGACTATTTGGATTCTGTAATTCAAAGGATAACAGTATGGGGTTTGAAGTGAAACTGGAATCGAGTCCCTGGGTGAAAATCAAACCTGGGAGGAGTCGAGTCCTAAATAGGAATAAACGCACGTCCTAGATTCTAATACTACCTACTAGCCAAAATAGCTAGTTGTGTTTAAGAAATGTTCATGTAATAAAATCTATAGTAATACATAGATGCGAAATGAAAACTGTTAGACTTACATGTATAACACTAACATGTATTCTTTGGCGCCTCTCTGATTCAGGTATGTTCTGGTTATATATGATTTTATTCTGTGGATAAGTAAAGGTTGAATTCTGCAAAACAATTTGACAATAGTACAAGGTTTTTGTTAGTATTACTCATTTGCACTTGCATAATTATTTTGATATAGTTATATTTTAGCAATTAATTGAGAGGGTGACACATTTTAATTAAATATATACATTTATCCGTATCTCAAGATAAGCGGTAAATAGACTCAAAATAAATGGAAATAAGTAGAAAGTCAAATTACGGAAACTTATGTCATGAATTGCAGGTTATATTTTAGTATCGTTATTTGTTTCATTCATACTTACCATTTAGTTAGGTTGACTGAATTTATTTTGTATAGATGTTGACAACTTCCAGTCATACTGCCATTATTGTTAGGTTTCTTTAAATATATGCATGATTACTCTCGCTTAGTCATCGTTTACAGAAGCGTGAAATTCGAACTGATAAGTATAACAGTTTGATCTATTTTTTTTGTTTGTAAACAGGTTTAATTTACATTGCTTGAAAATCACTGAAGGACAAGTTTTCGATTAAACTTCAGGTCTGCTTGTACAACCTAGCGAAACAGACATGTAAGTTTTTTTATTTCATGAATATAACATTGTCAATTTCTGTTCCCAAGAGAGGACTGAAAAAATGAAGTCAATCCAAAGACTAGACAATACACAATCAGTGTTTTTAATAAGTCAGAAACGAAGTATAGTTTCCTTAGGCATATCAGAATTAGGAAAAATTACTTTTTATCGTTGAGGAGGTTTGGTGAGTAGAATTTATCGCGTTCTGTTGATTATTTCGAGGAAGCTAAAGCTGTTGACTTGTACAAAACAACAACTCTGAAGTATATTTTACTGTACAAGTAAGAGATTGCAAAGATTTGTTATCAAATTTTTATTGCCCTGTGGTGTTTCAATAGCTAACACTTCTGGAAATGCAGCCCCGAAAATCTGGGTTTGATTCTATACATTAACGAAGTTGGACAGAATTCCCAGTGAAGGATCAATTTGTTGTCTTATATGTGCACAGTTTAAGTAGAAAAATACAATACATTTAAAAATTTCGTCCTGTAATAAAAGGTAACTTACTACATCATGGCACATTGCTTTTGATGTGTTCGATTCTCCGAAACATTGTTGTAAATGAAAAACAACATGTTGATTGGTTACTGTTTTGTTAAAATCAATTAGTCCGATAGTACCATTTCGTTTAGGCAGCTGAAATGAAAGTTTTCGGAATAAAGCGTATGAAAATCTTTCTTTTATCTAATTCATATTGTCTAAAACGCTTTGTTTGCATTACATCTAAACGACTAGATTTAAAAACTAAGTGATTACGGGATGCTACTTTTAGAACACATTTTCCTGAAAACACGTTATTATGTGGCTCAATGGTTTATTAAGGTTAAGTAATAAAAAATATAATCGACTGATTCGCGGACTAAGCTTTCACAGGAGTTAAATGACATATTGTCCATTAGAACTGCAGATAAAAGAAAACAATATCCTTCTTTAATTTACATCATGAAATGACTTTTGATTGAGAATGACCGAAAACCCGGGAACATAAGACGGACATTTTTTACATATCACGAGTCTTTTGATATATATATATATATATATATTATATATAAAGACATTTTTTTAATATGATCACATTCACGAACTTACCCTGGTTATAGCTTCTAAGTAACGATAAAATCTCATTGTGGGATCGACAGTAGGCATTGGTGAATCACAGATTTTCTTGCTTGCGTTCGGTGATCTAATTCCTTCTGACCATTGTTCATTGATTAGTAAAGAATTCAGTGCCAGTAGACCAGATTTAACAGTCTCATATGCAGTTAAAGCACTAAACTTTTAGTTTTAATTTAATAAGAAACAAAGAATTTAAAGTCACTTTAAATCAAATGAACAAAGTTGTATAGCACAAGTTATCTGCTTTATGAATGTAATGACTAGGATAAAATTGTGTGTGGAACTCATATAATAATTGTAAGAACAATGATATTTACTTGGCTAAGTGGTTCAGCTTTTTCTGACAAAAAGATGCAGAACATAGTATGTAAAAAGAGAATTCAAGGTCATTTTAAATTCGTTCAACTTAACATCTTTTAATCGTTATTTGAATATTTGGATTTTGAGTGTTCACTTGAAATCAGTCGTCCAGTTTAGCTGTTATAAACATGTTTGCTTACCAGAATAAAAAATGCACATTTTTTAAAGTAACTTGATAGTGGCTGTAAATGTAGTTCTGTAACTTTATAACACAATAATTAAGTTTAGTGATTTGGCACCGTTTCTTTTGAAAAAAACATATATGTTAGGTCATTTAGGTGTTCAAATGGATGGCTTATTAAATAAATCATCAATCTATGGACTTTATTGACTAAACATCAGTTAATTTATGCTTTCCATTTAATCTAGGACACTTTAGTTATGGATTGCTAAGTCATTCAAAGTATAGAAGCTATATTAAATGGATTGCAGGTGTTCTGTGGTGTATTTTGTCATTAAATTTATAAAGACAATCAGCAGGCACTTCTGAAATTAATGTTTGAGAATATTGTGAGTTATCATTAGCGTATGCCTCGAGACTGGCAATGTTCTTTCAACGATTTAAAATCATTTTGTGTAAGTTGAAGTTGAAATATTTATGGTTTAGGAAACAATTACCTTAGTTAACTTGGTTTTATATTTTTAACAATGATGTGTTATGTTTTTCTTGTTCAACTTAAAATTTCCTATAGTTCTAATCCATTATGAAAACCAATCTTTTTTAAACTCTAGTTTCTTCCAAGACGATGATTTCCTCAAATTAGTCTTGAATTATTTATGATTTTAACATATTTTAATCCCTTCCCACTAACAGCCGAAAATGAAAGATGTATCACCATCCTAAAACACTCAATCTTGGCCAAACAAAAATTCTAAGTAATAATATGTTTTCAGAGTATACTACTTGGAGTAATAATGAACTGACATGATTTTATGGACTTTTAACCAACCTGTTTAAAGGATTCGTTATTCCAAATCTTTCCGTAAGAATTTTGTATCAATTCCAGTTCTTGCTGATCTGCACCGGCAGTGTTAACCTTCAAGCAATACAGTTTATTGAAATTACTGTCTGTTAAACAATTTAGTTTTCCAGTTAAGTTCTTATCCACACATAAGAAATCACAGTTAATATGCTCTTCATAAATAATCCAATTCTGTACATCAGTTTGTTGGAATTTAGCCATAGTTGAAAGTATAGTCCACACTGTCTTTGAATCAACTAACAATAGCCATAATTTAGTCAGAACCACATTTTTTGTTTCTCTTAGAGATTGAGTTAACTGTGATTCATTCAATTGTGACGGTAATGTAAGATAGAATCGTCTTATGGACGGATAGTCACGATAGTCTGAAAATGTGGTCTGGGAGTCTGCATGTAGGAAAAAAAGTGCAAAAGATAAATGCAGCCTAGAAATCATAGGATCTGCCATAAAGTTAGTTTTGAAATCCATTATCGAAAAAAATTAAACTGATTAACATAAAAACGTTAAAAAAAAAAACGAGAATTATTTATAAGAAATTGACAAATTAAAAAAAATTAAATGGTTTTTAAAACATCATTCTTAAAGTTAGTTAATGCTAGAATATTTGAAAAGTCATTTCGGTTTCGTGGGTAAAACAACGGATCTCTGTAGAGCTTTCCAATTTAGTGTATCTTCAACTATTTTTCTACTGATAAGCAGTTACTAATAGTTTGTTTTGCACATAAAATAGGATAATTAGTTTTAAAAACAGATACAAACAAATGGTCAAGTAAACATTGAACGTTTAATGCACTTGAATTGCATTACAACAACTCCTTCCATCAATTTAGTTCATAAACGTAAGAGGCAAACTGGTCGAATCAAGATATTTGTTGTAGTCACATTGCATGAATGTGTTTTAGTTTTTTTTTAGCGACATTGTTAGAGGCTTAGTAGATACTAGCAGCAAATAAATTTTTTGAATGCCTTAGAACTTTAACATGAGTCTTTAAATACAAGATTTAAATGGCACTTGACAATATATTTACTCGAAATGCTTGAAAAGAAAACCTGAAACTTGGATTTCTTACATTTCGCCCGGAATGAATTGAGCGAACAGCAAATATTGATTGATTAACTGATTATCGGGATCATAGTTGTATTAGGTATTTATGAGTAATAACTACGGTGTGTGAAAGTTATATAAACGAAAACGTATGCTGTTAATCGGTTAGCATCACTTCATCGCCAACAATCAGCGAACATCAGCAGATGTCTATTGAAGTACTGTCAAGTTCTGATCAGTTGGGTTTCATTGCAGTTTAACAATAATTCAACTCTGTCTGGACAGTTTATCAGAAGGAAGTCTTGTGTTTAGAATTTTAACTAAGTGATATCAGTAAGTGTTTATATCTGGGTCCCAGAGAAATCTTATGTTATTTGGAAATCAAATTATCCTCTATATAGCGTGGAATTTAGAACAGTAACCTACAAGCTACTTTGGATGCCATTCTCCATACGATTCATGCAGCTTATTATCTTTTGTTTGGTTTAAAGTTTAGTAAGGCCAACTAAAGCATTACAAACTTGTAATGTAATGTAAATCAGAATAGATTGTCTTGATTGGTTAAAAAATTTGATACACTGTTGAATTATGCACAGAATTGATGGTTTACGTTAATTCTGTCAATTTTTTAGGTGTAAGACAATATGTACTGTTTTGATTTGGTCAATGAAGATGTAGTGCCTCCACATATATTCCAGTTCGCTTACATCTAACTTGGTTAAGCCCTTTCGACTAATTTATTTAACCAAGCCATTGGCATAGCAACAATTTATATGTACCATTCGTTCTTATTATTGTCTGGTTTGTATGAGCTCACATGATATGTACCACTTGTCATTTGACCTTGTCAATCATTCGCCGCTTTTTTACATGTGTGTGCACGCCTATTTCGCTTGTCATATGTCTGTCCTATTTTTGTATGACTATATATTCTTAGTCATACTCTATTTCTTTGAGTTGGCTCTTAGCCTTCTCCAATCCGCCTATCCATTCGCTTCCTTCGTTTTATTCACTGCCTATCCGCTTCGCTTTCTGGTGTGTCCCGAATAAACATATTCATCAATACGAGTTCATGTTCTGATTTATAAACCGAGCCTAAGAACACGCAATAAATCGTCACACCACAAAGATTCATTCAGTTTAAAGCGAAAACATTTACACTTTTTACAGAAGATGAGGTTATTTTGAGTTTGAAAGACAGTATCAACCACACCATGTACATACTAGTTCTAGGGAGAAATTCAAGCGAAATGAAAGAATATTCGACTACCACCTTCAAAGTTCAACTTTTTAATTCATATAGTAATCTGTAGTTGAATTACTACTACAATGATTTTCATTGAATATCACCGTTAATTCAGTTGACTTGTACAATTATTGATTTAAGTAACAACTTCTCAAGTTGATTCACTATTTAACATAATTAATTACACGAGTTATATTTGAATTATAAACATAAAAAGAAATGAAACCTTTTTTGAGAAACAAATCTAATTAGATAGCCACTGGGAACTCTGTTCAATCTTCAACAGTTTAAGAAATTTCCTTCTGCCTCTAATTAACCACATATGCATACATTTTTCACATATTATATTAAGGTTAACATTTCATTTTTACACTGCATAAATACATTACATACCAGTTTCATCGGTTTTTCGGACTATAGTTTCTGTTCGAAGAGTACCAGAAATCATATTTCCAAAAGCAGACAATGCAGATGCTAATGCACTAGGTGGAAATCTTACTGAGGGTATATTCAATTCTGTCATTATATATGAGTCATTTGCAAGAGTTTGATTAATGTGCAACGGTGGACAGTCATAATAATTAACTGATATAATTCCTGAATCAATCTGTTGAGCTAATTTCTGAATACCACAACTGGCTTCTGATGACGGTGTAAGATCAATCAAAAGATCTGGATGTTTCGCCTGATCATTTTGTATATTTAAACAAACTGAAAAGAAGAACAATCAGACTGTTGGTTATGAAATGCTCTATTTTTCAGCTGCTTGCAAGTAGTATAAATAATTTACGGATGTTTTAGTTTGTCTATGAATGCTGTAAAATGTTAGTGTATCAGAATACATAGATTCCGAACATATAATTCCACATGTGTTTAAATTACTGACAGCTAATGTTTCAGATAGGTTAGGTCTAAATGATCATAATAAACAAATTATAAGTTATTTTCTAGTTTGTTGGACGATTAATAATAATAATAATAATACTGGGTCTCTATTTTGTTAATTAGGTGATCGCACTTACATGTTTTCTATATCTGATACAAATATTTTAGATCAATAAATTTCATTACTTCGATAAGAGGTTAAGCATAGTTCAAATTAAATCACCGTAGAGTTTTGGTCACTATGAAAATAATATTAACTATGTATAGATTGGATGGAATATGACTAGTATTAGACTCCAGGACGTGCTTTTCCTCCTATTAGAACTAGTAAGCTGGATGTACGTCTATGCCTGAGTTGGCGTCCACCCTGGGTCTCAGATCCAGTATGGTTTGCTTTGAACTTCCTGCCATCATCCACTTAACTACTGTACATTGGGGGAGTAATTAAAGTTGATAACTACTTGTTTTACTATATATCTGTATATATACGCACTGGGTGTTCATATGTCAACCAAGACTGATTACAAATACAATTACAATCAAAATTAATCACAGGATAATTTGAACCAGTTTAAATTCAATTATTTTAGATGATATCACTCCAAATCTTTGACCTGTGAATTCGTGAATTTTAGTCAATTACTTCATTATCAATAGAATAGGCTTTCATTAGAATTTTTACTTCTTCGTGCTTAATTTGACTGAATCGGATTCGCACACTAATGTGGATTTTGGATTTAAATAAAAAATGTCAACATTCGTTATGACGCTTGTAGATCGAACTGATAAATATAAAAAAACATGACAATCAAATATGACCATCTAACATGATTGATCTGTCTTTTTATCGTAAAAGATAGACGTATTCATAGAAATTTATTCGAATAGAAAACATTAATTATGCAAACAAAAACAGCTAGCTACTCACCATTTTTGATAGAACTACTCCATGAACTTAGATCTTTGTGGTTAATTTTATAAAAATTTACAGTTACAAATTTATTCGAGTCATTATCTTGCAATAAATTATGCTTATTAATTGCCAATTCTGCCGCTAGATACAAATCCGATTGTTCTTCTGAAAGGAATATTACTAAAAACACAAGAACAAAATTATTTCATTATTCACTGAATTAGCATTTAGAATAAAATCGCTTTTTTTTTAAAAAAAAAGAAAGTAAGAATCGTAGGAAAACTTGTCAAGTTCAGATACTGTGACATAGTTCATCAATAAATAGAATCTAAGGTATGTAAGTTTTAAATAAACAATTTGATGAAAGTTTCACTTGTAACATTTTCAAATTTCAGTAAATGTTGTTTAATCGAAATCATATTCTATTCTTTCAAATAAAATATTCAATAGCACGTCTGATTTATCTGCTTTCACATAAGCTTCTGAAAGACGGTTTGGTGATGATGATGTCAATGACGTTGATGTGCTGTTAGCTTGTGGTCTAAGGCAATTGTTTAGATAAACATCTAAGAGTTTTAATTGGCATAAAATAACAGTTATATATATATATATATACATATATATATATATATATATATATATATATATATATATATATATACATATATATATATATGTTATTTCTAACTTTTATTGATCAAATCTTGCATTATACAGAGTTTTTCATTCATATTTTTTTTTAGCGTAGTTCTCTAAAACAGCATTTCACTAATTTGCAAATAATTATGAAATTGCTTTTTATGGTAAATATAGTGAATTAACCTATTTGAAGGCTTTTCTGGAAATTAAAAGTCCGTCACGGCATGAATAAACTAGTGATTGATAGTATAAGTAGTATGTATCAAATCTACTCCTAAAGTGATTGCATTACACTGATGTACTTTGGTTAGCAGAAATCAATAGTTTTTTCTTTACTCAGTGATCATTAAATATTGATCAAAGTAAATATTTCAACGAGTCAACTTAAGAGGAGGCAAATAGGTTTTCGAAATAACGAAGTTGTTTTCGATTGAGTATGTTCCCAAACTTAGTCTTTTCAGCACTACTCCATTGTCAAATATTTTTTTAATAGCTGGAAACTGATTATATAACAGAGTTTAACATAAATATTCAACTAAGGAGCTAGTTAACAAGACCATCTAATGCCACTGAGGTTTAAGAAACAAATGTGTATTTCTAGATACAATATAAGTTCATCAGTTTGATTCACCGGGATTGAAGGGACTATGAACTTCAAATGCACAATTGATTTTTACTCATCTATATAAATGTCGCTTCATCTAAAAGCATCAAATAACCGACTTATTGAAACAGTGCATTAAAAGGTTAAATATTTTATTATTTTGCTTTGATCCTTTTAACATAGATTACTGTGAATCACAACTTGTGAAGTTGTTCATTGAAGTTTGAACGACTTCTCTATTTACAGTCAGTTAGTCTTAGAATATTCCATCGATGTTAAAGTGAATTAGTTTATTTCTGGATAAAATACATTGGTGTTATCTAACAAAACATTGTTGAATATTAAAGTTTAAGCTTTGACTAGTGAAAATATCTAAACAAGTAATTAGTTATATTTTTTTATTTAAATAAAAGCTAGAAATGATTTATTTTAATTTTTCCAAGTTAACTGAATTTAAAGAATGCTTGTAAGAATCCACTATTGACTTTATATTTCAAGAGCAATGTGATCATCATATAACCTTGAAGCTTCTAGATTAAATTTATCACATAAAAGCATGATATTTGTAGTCAACTTGCTTTCTTATGAAATTAAAATGTGGATTATTAAAGTGTAAAAAATAAAGCTGTTCAAGTCATAACAACTTACCCAAATGGATACTACCGCAATATTGAGAATAAATTAGAAATAGATTTAACAGAAGGAAACCTTTCATGATTGTATTTAGAAGTAAAAGCTAAATGCCACAGATATGAATTGGACAATAAAAAAAAAGTTAATGTTGTTTATTTGGAGAATATTTAAAGCACTAACCAACCAATCATAATGATGTAGCCATTCAAGTTCAATCTTCCTTCTTATTGGTTCAACGAAATGATTATTCATAAAAGATAAGTGATATCAGTATGAAGGGTTGAAAGAACCTTTACATGAGTTTATTATATTTTATGATATCTATTTTGTCGAAGATGCTTTTATTTATTATAATGGAATGAATTTTACATCATTAATAGGCACTACCTAGATATTTTAACGAAATAGTAGTTAATCCCTGATACTGTCCATTTAGTAATCAATGTGATCCTGCAGACAGGACGAAATTTCAAAGGATATAATTTATTAGTGATTCACATCAGAGCCAACAACAAAAAGAGGTAAATCAATTCAGCAAAAGAGCAGTTTAATCATGTATTAAATTAGTGTCATTAATATATCAACCAACTAAATATAATAAATCAAGAGCAAGGATCAATATAATGATGATTTAGTAACCTATTGCCCTATTTATCAACAAGCGGTTTAATGCACACTTCTGCTTCCTTGAATTATTTTATTCCACACTGTCACTGGATCATTGGGACAAACTATTCCAGTCTCAATACATGTAAACTCTACTCTTTTGTTAAACCATTGAGAAATTTGCTTATTCTTGGATCAGGAGCACTAACAAATTGATCATAATCCTGATACAACCTAACTATTGAAATATTCATTTTAAGATAATCTATCATAATGTTTCACTGCACGTTTCACTATAGCCTCCTTGTTTTGTATGACAATTAGACATACTCATCAAAATATTAATATGGTCGGACATTCATAACTTGTCATGAAAGCTAAAGGATATAAAGTTGGATATAGTGTGTTTAGTTCGCTGAAGATGCCTATGCACAAATTTTTCTGGTTCTCAGAAAATAACGAAATTGAGTTTTTCCCTAGTCAAACATCATATAGAAATAAATTCTCACCATTAGACTTAGCGAGGATAAATAGTTACAATTGGAAGTCGAACCGAAACCCAATTAGTCAAACTGACAGTTCCTTAGATACGTTCTGATGTAGTTTCGATCTTTTATTGTGATAATTGTTTTGGTTCTGACTTAGCTTTATATAGAAAATGATTGTATTTGACTGGTTGATCTGTATTTACCTCATACTTAACATGACAGCGGGATCGACAATTCCCAATCTCATATTTCATGCGTCTCAGAATTTTGTTGCTGATGCTGCCCTTTTATAAAGGTGTAGTTATTCATAATCAGTTGGTCAACACTAGTGTTACTTTATATGCAAACGCTTAACATCTAGACCACTGAGATGACAACCAATGGTGTTAGCTCCAGGCGTCATTCATTCGATGGCCGTGTGCTCACAAGTGACTAACTTTGAAAGACAATTCCCGAAGTCCTAGTGAGAAACAACTACCAGTGGAGTTTAACCATATCAGGTATTAAACAGTTATCCACCTAAGACAGTGATAGATGGCTGCACAATATTTTGGATCGACTGAACTTAGACGTTACCACACGGTTACAAGACTGCTCAATAATGATTTAGATTTCAAGCATATGCGCACGAGACTGAATGTCCTGAGTCAGATTCCAACATGAGATGTCGTGGATGCGCACTGTTGAGGAGTTCTATACTATGACGAAACAGTCGTCCAGTGACTATCTAACAATGATTTGTTCATAGTTTCAAAGAGAAAAATTTATGAATTCATGCTTCTATAACGAGTGATGAATCATAATTTAATTTAGTACATTTACATTGTTTTTTCCAACAGTCCTAGCACCCATAGTGAAGTAAACTATAGTTAGTTTTATCTATGATGGTACCATTAATTTTGTTGTATCGTGATGCATTCAAGATAGTTACTATCATTAAAATTAGACATATGGAGGAAGAATATTTCTTTAACTAACTTCTTATCAGGTTCTACAGTAGTGCATTCAAACTGACAACTTTGTTTCAATATGTAATTGATCTGAAAATTTGATGCATCTGCGCTATGCATATTTCGAACATTCTGATCAAGGCATTTTATATGAAGATTAATAAAAGTTCAAATAGACGTTAGGGTGATAGTTGCGAATAAAGGGGAGAGAGAATCAACGTAATATGAAAAGAATAAGAAAGGGTAGGAAATTGTCACATTACCCTAAGCTTAAAGATTACCAGGGTAAATTCAAGGTTATAACAAATTGTTTCTGTACACATAAGGGGGATTTTAATTTACAAATAGCCAAGGCCTCCTCATAAACCTCAAAATTCGTCCTTCAACATTACCATACAATGTTTTGAAGGCTATTTTACATTTTTCAGATCAATTACGTCTTCTCGCTGTTCTATCTAAATTTATAAAAGCGAGTAATTGTTGTAAACTTTGTTTGAGACAAATACATTATTTAAGAATAACAACATAAGAATTAACGGTTGTCAGTGTAAGAAAGTTGTTTAAAAACAAAATTAGTTTAAACGGATGATACAGACACGTGAGGACCAAATTATATATACAATTACAGAAATATGTTCGCTTTAATATATTTGTGTGAGTTTCAATTTTCAAATGGGATAGCATTTTCCACAATTTTCTATTTGAACAAAAGAACCATTAATTTATTTAAAATAGAATTTAATTATATTTTAACCCAGTTTGTCAGTAGATTGACTAACAGTAATAATTGTGATGAATACATTCATGTTTGTTCATGTAATTAGTAGAAAAAGTTCAACAGTTTGATGAATGTTTCTTTTTTTTCTAAGAACATTTAGAGTAAAATGAAGCAAGTATAAAAATTACCTTGTTCCCATACGAAATCACCATAACAACAAATTGCTCAGATGGAAAAGTACAAAAAACTGTTTGATTTATTAAGATGTGCGTTGCCCTAATTTTATTTTAAAAGGAATTAAAAAACTCTTAGCTGTTTGTTTATTAAGGTGACTGCATATATTATTCGAAAAAAACAATTCGATTAAAAGTTGTTATAAACTTCATAATCTTTGAGAACCAACTTCTACTGAACAAATATACTGCGCAGTCTCTTTAACTCTTTGGAGCTAATTACCTTTGATCGACATAACATCGAACCAAAGTCTTCGTGGTACGGTACTGTCCAGGGATTGAGTTTACATTCGAAATTTAATCACTATAGGATATGAAAATAACCTTCTACAATTCCACCAGATGATAAATTTAGAAGTTATTTAATACTATTCTTATTATGAAAAGGTATATATGTATGCCTGAGTGCAGACTGTAGCTGCTACCTTGAAGTGGTTGTCAAGCTTGCCTGTCGCAATGACCCACCTTCGCTCTATTGGATGGAGAATATGTTCCTGTAGGTCCTACCATGCAGGCAGGTCGATTGGAGAACGAAAAAGCTAAAAGCAGCTACTCAAGGTCTGGGAGCTGGGTGGCAGCAGTAAGATGTTTTCTTCGGACAACCAGCATCTGCAGCGATTCCCACTTCAAGCAAGGAAACGAGGAGTAAAAAAATATCGACCGTAAAAATTTCAAACCTCACCTTACCTCTTCCGTCTCTAGCGGCAAGGCCTTTGAAGAGCGGAGCAAACACGTCAACTTACTACAAAAAACCCATGATTGATCGCCCTCAAGCGGTTGTCCCATCGAGCTCAGTATTACCCTCCAAGTCTCTACGACCAACACTGATCCAACATCTTTTTCAGGTTTCTCAAAAAACCCTCTTCCATGGTATGGGCAGCTGTGAAGTGACATCCTCACTCAAACAAGTAAAAAGACACGAGACCAAATTGGTCACAAACAAATCTTTCCCCCGCCCATTAACACCTATCTCATCTCCACGACTCACCCTTCTCACATTCCTTCGTCATCCTGAACTACTAATCCAAACGGATCGACGTTGAGAACCGCATCCCGAACATGCTTGCATTAATGCTAAGGGTAGTTAGAAAACTCTGCATTTTGTCAGCGTCTTCACCAAGTAGGACTATGTCACCGGCATATTCTACGTCAATAAGCGAGCCTCCTGGTAAAAGGTCTACTCAAGAAAACTCAGACGAGGATAAGGTTATTTCTAGGAGCATGTCTATGATAAAATTAAACAAGAATGGAGAGAGTGGACATCCCTGACGGACACGACTTGATGTAGAGAATTCCAGTGACAGTTCGCCATAAGCTCTCACTCGACCAGTGGTGTTCGAGTAGAGAGCTTGTATAAGGTTAATGTACTTATTTGGCACACCTTTCAGTGACAGACACTGCCACAGAACCTCACGATCCACTGAGTCGAATGCCGCCTTAAGGTCCAGGAACACAACTATTGTAGGACGCCTAAATATATGTCTGTGTTCCAGGACCTGTCGTAGTGTGAAGATGTGATCTATACAACCACGTCCAGGTCTGAAACCAACCTGGTTTTCTCGAGTCTGCTCTTCACGAGTTTTCGTTAAGCGTCGAAGTATTATTGAGGCCAATATTTCAGATACTATATTAGTTAGACTTATTCCTCTGTGATTGTCACAAGAAGACTTATGTCCTTTCTTATAAATTAGGACAGTCAGGGATTGAGTTCAGTTGGATGGGATTATGTCCAGTTCCCAGATTCTACTTAAGATCTCAGTCAACCTAGTTGCTAAAACTGGACCACCATCCTTAAACATCTCAGGAGTCAGTCTATCAGGGCCTGTAGTTCGCGCTCGCATCAGATTTGCTAACGATTTCTCAACTTCATAAAGACTAGGAGGAATTAAATCGATTTGCCATTCAGGATGACTGGAGATCGTGGGTAACCGAAGAGTGGCTCGAGGCCAGTTGAACTGATCCCTGAAGTGTTCAGCCTATCGATCCAGTCTCCTGGATTGAGAATGGATAATAAGACCATCCTTTTCCGAAATAGTCTCACTCACATTTGGGTTCCTAAGACCGGTTTCCTTGATGAGTCTAAATAGTTGTCTACTGTTGCCTATCGCCGCTAATAAGCTGACTTCTCTCCTCATCATGTTCAGAGCTATATTAATCGATGGTTAGAGACCTTGAATGACATAGAGCTCAAGTGAATCCACTCTTTGTGATCGCTCAAATTCTAATCTTCTGCATTCCTCAACACCTTTGTCTTTCTCTTTTTAAATTTATTTCACTGAATTACACTTCTTGAATAATTTCTTCGAACCCTAATCTTCTCCATAACCGCTAATAACTCTACTACATCTACCACTATGGGATTTGAATTGATGGCTGCCTCTCTGTGCTAATCTGGTATGGCAACTTGAACTGATGTACGTACGTACGTAGTTCTACGTTGTCACTAACTAACTCACTGACAATTGAAGAATCTTTTAAGTAAAATGGAGAAATGACAGTTGACCAATTAATCAAGAGTTTCAGTCCACTCCATACATTTCAAAAGCATTCTCCTTGTGGCCGAGAACCTCACAACTTGCTGCAGTTATTAATTCCTTAATCCTTTTCCACTTTTTCTCCATGGTGGTTTCTTCTTTATTGAGTAGATTGTGAAATACTTGAAACTCACTTCTATAGGCTATCTTGATTTCGTCGAGTTTGTCAGTACCTGAAAGAAAGGTCGTGTTGAGATGCTGTTCGCCCTGTTGTCCAGTGCATCTTCAGTTTCAGCTGAAGAGTCCTAAGCTGGTACTATCCTACTTTAATAAAATAGAGGGATGAATTGTTGTCTTGTAAAATAAGATCATAAGTTTTGAAATTTGTTTGAAAGTTTATTTTCAACTCAGGCTTGAAAAGTTATCGTTTTAAAAACAAAAATAAGCATTTAAGAAAAATATCATCATAAGTGAATTAGAAGTTCAAATAAAACAAAAAAAATGTGCAAAAAATCAAATTTGAATGATTTCCTAATCACAGTATATATATTATATTGTATTAAGCAATTATTATCGGGATCTTAACAGTGATAAGGTGTTTATACCATTTTGAAAAATGTGTGTATGCTTGCTCGTACATTTGATGTAGAAGATAAAGGTGACAGGACTAGGTATTTAAAATAAGCATAGATATTAGAAAAATAAAGCTGTAGTGGCAACTGTATAGAGAGATTATTGAGAGATTGTCACTAATCGGGCTTTAAAAAAACTGTCACATTGAAAAAGACACAGAAAAGTATTTCAGTACTCAAATGAAAATAAAAATTAAAAAATAATGTAAGTATAATGACAAACGTATCAAATACGTCCAGATCTTTGCGTTGTTTTCATGTTTAATTGACCAGATCAGATATTATTGCTGATGGAGGATACTACGGGTTAACATTATTGATTTACGGGTTCTTCTTGTAATTTAATTAAATCTAGAAATATTTGTTCAAGAGTCGTTTGATTAATTGAATAATTCAGTAATCCGAGACGTGTTTTATTTGATTCCATCAAGTGGAATAAATGACTTAAGCGTATTGGATTTGCCCCATCTGTCGGCAAATGATATTGTAGTACACCCTGTAATTGAACACACAAAACATTGGTTTCAATGAATACAGTGGAAAAAAAGACCCATTTAAACATCAAAAAATGAAACACCTATAACTGTCACGTATATGGAAAAAGATGTTCATCGACCTTCTATCCGTTGGAATCTATCACCTGAGTAATACAGTACGACCAAGGTCAGTCAGTTACAACGTAGAACTACGTACGTACGTACATCAGTTCAAGTTGCCATACCAGATTAGCACAGAGAGGCAGCCATCAATTCAAATCCCATAGTGGTAGATGTAGTAGAGTTATTAGCGGTTATGGAGAAGATTAGGGTTCGAAGAAATTATTCAAGAAGTGTAATTCAGTGAAATAAATTTAAAAAGAGAAAGACAAAGGTGTTGAGGAATGCAGAAGATTAGAATTTGAGCGATCACAAAGAGTGGATTCACTTGAGCTCTATGTCATTCAAGGTCTCTAACCATCGATTATTATAGTCCTCCAGACCCCAACCTGGTGGTGTAATCTAACAACATGACTCAGTCCACTTGTCAGTGATTTCATGGATTTGTGCCATGTTTTGGTTTGGCCGCTGCTGGTTTTCTCCGAACCTACTCATACACCAGAGAACATAGCTCGACGAGACAGCCACTGCTGTTTCCACAGCTTCCTGGATATCTTTCCGAGTGGCAATTACTTACATGGCCAGCAAACTGTTGTTCTAGCTGCTCCTGAAATATATTCTTAGCTTTGATATTATCAAGTAGAAACATAAGAGGTTTCATCGCAACGACTTTCCTACGCCCAGTAAACCTCAAACAAATACGAGATCGCACTAGGGCATGATTTCAATCTAAACATGTGCCCCAGAACGACCGACAGTCCACTATCGAACCCCTCCATCGGTGGCTGATGGCGATGTGATCTAGTTGAGTCCAACGTTGAGACGTTTTTGGAGGTCGCCAGGTCAACAGATGCTTTTCCTCATGCCTAAAGTTGGTGTTCACTAAGAATAGGCGGTTATCTGAGCATAGTTGCAGCAGACGGTCGCCATTGTCTGTTCTCTCAGTCGCTACACCATAACATCCACCTAGATGTCTTTCCTTTTCACCTTGTTTACCTACTTGAGCATTAAAGTCACCAGCCATTATTACTATATCAGAGCGCCTAGCTTTTTGGAGGAGGTCCGAAAGCTTTCCGTAAAACTCATCTTTAACCTCGTCTGCACTGCAGTCAGTGGGGGCATAGGCAGATATGACGAAGAGGCAACGGCGAGTGTCCCTATCCTTCCGAGTCCTTACTGTCCCGTTCAGTCGGACAGCGCACAAACGACTATCTACTGGGATCCAGTCTAGGAGAGATAATTCCGCCCTAGGACTCAACGCTATGCCTACGCCAGCAAGACCCCCTGGAAGCAGCATCAGGGCTACCGGATACACGAAGAGTGAATCAGGCTGTTTCTTCGTTTTGACAAGGTGGGATCAGGTTAATGACTTTACTATGATCCTGTATGCGCGTTTCCGAGACGCAGCATACATCGATGGCACGAGTTTCTAAAGTCCTAGGTAATGATGCCTGTTGCCCTATTTGACACAATGTCCGTACATTAAAAGCTCCAACATGTAGTTTAGAACGGGGTTTCAAGAGACCAGGAACGACGTTTCGTGATCTCGCTTCGTCTGTATTAGCGGTGCAGTGAGAAAAGGGAGTGTGAGTAGAGTTAGTCTTAGAGATAAAAGAGACTTTAGGGGTTGTAGAAAGGATTTGATTTTGACCAATTCGGTCTCTCGTGCTGTTACGGGTATGAGGGCGGTTGTCACTTCCCGGCTGCCCACACCGTGGAAGGTTGTTTCTTGAGGGACCTGAAAAGGAAGATAGATTAGTGTTGGTGCGTGACCGCAGAGCCCAAGGAACAACTGCTTGAGGCCGGTCACGCACGGCCTTTTTATGAAAGGTATTTAGAGATTAGCTCCGTTCTTAAAGGCCCTTAGTGGGCACCCTTACCCAAGGAGACGGAAATCCGTGAGTTAGGGGAGGTGTGACATTTTTTGGGCCGACCTTTTCTAACCCTTTCTTCCTTGTGAGAAGGCAGCATCGCTGCAGATGCTGGTTGTCCGAGGGAAACACCTTACTGCTGTCACATCTGTATGTAGTCAGCAGTACGACTTCGCCCTCAGACCTTGGGTAGCTGCTTTTAGTCTCATCGTTCTCCAATCGACCTGCCTGGCATGGTAGGACCTGCAGGAACATATGTTCCAGCCGGTATAGCTCGGTTGGGTCATCACGATAGGCAAGCCCGACCACCACGTCAAGGTAGCAGCTACGGTCGGGTCTTAAATATTATCTTCAAGACTTAATCTTCTCCGTAACCGCTAATACTTCTACTATCTCTACAACTAAGGCAATCGAATTGACAATTGCGTCTCTGTACTAATGTAGTCTGGTAACCTTAAGTGACGCACGTACGTACGAGGTTCTACGTTGTAACTGACTGACTGATTACTGGTTTTAGTTGAGAAGACTACATGGAGTGTAATATCCTTTCAAGATACCGTTTAATTCGACGTGTTTGCTCAAATATTCCCTGTTTATAAATCTTGATAGGTGAAGTGTCTGTAGCGTTGCATATGTTAATATATAGAATCAAAATATTTCTTTATGATATATTTGTGTAAAGGTCATTAGCAAAAATACGCTTAGTTACTTAACATGGCCGATTTTAACAATTGAAAGGCTAAAAACACAAAGTTCTAATGAATATGACCAAACTCGGATTAACTACTAAGTTTTAATTATGATGACAAGTTAATAGAATATTACAGGATCATGTAAACTCAGCATTAACACAACAACCAAGGTTCAATCCTCGAAATCATCGGAATTGAAATAATTTACTGAATTATAATCAGTAGCATAACGCAACATACAAAAATAACCAAACGCAAAGGAAATGCATATTAAATTCAAAATGGAGAAACGAGGCATGTTTACCTGATGGCAATCAACTAAGCATGCATCAGGAAATTCACACTTAACAAAGTTGTTAACATTATCTACTGCATTAATTAATGATGAACGATGCTGGAGATGGGCACCAATATCAACATTCGGCTCACAAGAACTTGATGTTGATGACAAAGTTGATTCCGTATGAGGCGAACTGAGATGATTTACTGTCGGAATCATAACTTGTATGTTAAGACTATAACCATGACCGAAACGTGATTTCAAGTGTTGACAGGTTCCTAAACATTTCATTCTACCGTTGACAAAAATACTGAGGCGAGAACACAATGCTTCGCATTCTTCCATACTAAAAAAAGAGACCAAACGAAGAAGAGAAATTATTCGAACCGAATATTACTAAAATGAAAGTTTCATCAATTATTATTTGTGCACAAAAGTATTTATTTCTGATATTTTACTGTTAATCGACATCAGTGCTAAGTATTTATTCAAGTTAAACAAACTTGTGATGAGAAAATAGACAGTACAGCTGATATTATAATTTATGATAAGTATAATATAACGAAGTCAGTTTTCAATGATAAGATAAATAGTATCATTTTGTTTACATTAGACTAAATAGTCTATATGTAACTAGGTGAAGTCAACTTGCATGTACGATACCGAAGTATATATTGTCTCCAGATATGAAAAAAGTCGCTGATGATGATGAAAGCAAAATGTGTATTTTTGAAACATCTGAAATGTTTCAGTATTAAATTATTAGGAAACCAATCACGTTCACAGTGAAGTTATCTCTCAGTTTCGCTGGGAAAATTTAGCGATAAGAAAACTTATTACGATTAAATATTACAGATTATACAACGGTACAGCAAATAGGGTATAGGTAACCGAACACAATATTCTAGGTTTTAGAGCGGAAGAAAGTCACATTACATGTGTATAACTAGTTACGAAGTGAGTACAAATTTTAAATGATGTCTATAAACTAATATCCATCGGTAATGAATTAAGATAACATAGTTTAGAAAATTATATATATAATATATGTATGAATTCAAAATGTAGCATACCTATGCGAACTGAGTATCAGCGTACGCCCTTGACGTCTATATTTTAAGAGCGAATTCCAAATATGTCTACGTGATACTGGATCCACACCAGTAGTAGGTTCATCTAAACAAATAAGTGGAGTTTCACCAACAAGCGCCACTGCTACACTTAACTTTCGTCGATTTCCACCACTGTATCGACTGACTAAAACGTGAGCAAGTTTAGTTAACTTTAGATCATATAATAGTTGATCAATTTCTGTATTCAAAAGCCTTTCTTGAATTCCGCGTAGACGGGCAAATAATTGCAGTGTTTCTTTTCCAGTGAGATATGGTAAGAGTGCATCGAATTGTGGACAGTAGCCTAAAGACTGTTGTGCCTAATAGAAAAGAATAAAAATAAAACCCGATTATCATGGCTTTCTGAAACATTCAAACTGTCTTGTGCAAAAATATGAGAATGAAACTGATCTTGAGAAAAATTCGACGGTAATTTAAAACGGATCAATTAATTAAATTGAAAAAAGCAAGGTGGAACTTCCTATGTACGTATGTCAGTTCATGTTGCCATACCACATTAGCACAGAAATAAAATTGTCAATTCAAATTCCATAGTAGTAGAGGTAGTAAAAGTATGAGAATTAACCGGAGAGCTTAGGGTTCGAAGATGTTATTCAAGAAGTAGAATTTAGTGAAGTAAATTTAGAAAGAGAAAGATAGAGGTGATGACGAATTCAGAAGGTTAGAATTTTATAAAACACAAAGAGTAGATGTACCTGAGCCACTGCAAACGGTTTTGAGCCATGTCACTCAGGGTCTCTAACCATCGATAACTATCATCTCGCGGACCACAACCACGTAGTCGACAACTACTGACATCACTCAGTCTGCTTGTCAGTGACTCCATGGATTTCTGCCATGTTTTGGTCTCGTCACCCCTAGCTTTCTTCCAACCTATTCCTATATCTCAAAACATACCTCGACGAGGCAGTCGTGGTTGAGCATTCGTAAGTCATGTCACAACCACCTCAACTGATGAAGTTTCACTGCTTCATCTATTGACCTGCCATTCTTAAACAGCAACCGTTTCCTAAAAACAGCATTGCTTACTCGGTTGTTCCACAATACGCGAGCAATGCTTCGGAGAGACCTATGATCGACAACCAGTAACCTACGAATATCTTCTACTCTGACTGGCCATGTTTCACAGCCGGAAGGTAGGACGGAGCGAACTACACTCGTCCTTTAGTCAGCAAACGGATATTTCGCCTTCGCCATAAGCAACGAAGGTTGCTGTTGTAACGCTCTCTTAATAATTCCCAGCTAATTCCCATTGCTTAGTATTCTCTGACAACAATACACTCGACAAGTCCCAAAATCAGAAAACGGTGGAACAGGAAAAGATTATATTCCAAATAGCAAGGTAAAATGGAAGTGAGAAGACGAAGCGAAGGAGAAATAGAAACGTTAGTCTCTGTATAGTTTTTACATGAGAAGCTTCCGGAATGAACTCCACGTATCAACTAGTGCTGATCGGATTAGATATAGCTAATCAGCATACAGCTGACAAGACAAGAATTTTCTAACCTATTCTCCAAGTATGGGCCAGGCGCTGATTGGACAGGAAATTAGCCAATCAGCGCGCAGCTAACGCAGTCATGCTTTAACCCATCTATGTCCCACTAACACCTCCCCTTTGAGCGGATTTGTAGGATCTGGTTCTAGAGTTCAACTGCTTCCTGGGTGCCTTGCCACCCGTACGAGCAACCTGCTTTGTAGGAGCCATATATGTCAACAACCGTCGATTGGACTACTTCAAGCAAGCGTGTCTCCTGGTAGAAGGTCCATCCCTGAAAAATGAGACGAGGATAGGAATAATTCTAAAAGCATATCTACGACAAAGTTAATCAGGAATGGAGTAAGTGGACATAAATGATGGACAACACTTGAAGTAATGAATTCCAATGACAGTTCGTAATGAGCTTCAACTCGACCTGTAGTGTTCGAGTAGAGAGTGAAAATGAGGTTAACGTACTTCTTTGGTACACTTTTCAATGACAGACACTGCCACAGAACCTCACGATTCACTGAGTCAAATGCCCGCTTAAGATCTAGGAAAACAACTATTGTAGGACGCCTAAATGTATGACTGTGTTCCAGGACCTGTTGTAGCGTGAAAATGTGATCTATACATCCACGTCTAGGTCTGAAGCCAGCCTGGTTTTCTTTAGTCTGCTCTTCAAGAGCTCTAGTTAGGCCTCCAAGTATATTCGAGGCTAACAATTTAGAAACTATATTAGTTAGACTGACCCCTCTGTGATTGTCACAAGAGGACATTTGTAATTTCTTGTAGACTAGGACAATCTGTGATTGAGACCACTCGGATGGGATCAATTCCAGTTCGCAGATTCTACGTAAGATCTCAGTCAATCTAGCTGCTAAAACCGGACCCACATCCTTTAAAATCTCAGGGGTCAATCTATCAGGTCCTGCTGACCTACATCGCTTAAATTTCCTATAGCTTCCCCAATTCCATAAAGAGTCGGAGGACTTATGTCGATTTGCCATTCAGGATGACTGAAGATCGTATGCAACCGAAGTGTGGCTGAAGGCCAGTTGAACTGATCCCTAGAATGTTCTGACCAATCGCGTGGATTGAGAATCAATAATAAGACCATTCTCTTTCGAAATATTCTCACTTACATTCGAGTTCCTAATAGCGGTTTCCTTGATGAGCCTGAATAGTTGCTTACTGTCACCTATCGCCGTCGCCTTTCCCATTTATCTCGCTTTCGCCACCTACCACTGTTCTCGGTCATTATCTAGGCTTTATATCAGCCTGCGCCTGAGCTGACTCTGCTCCTCACCATACTCAGAGCCAGTCGAGATGAGCTTTCGAGCATCCATCAGATTGGTGGTTGCTACTGAAAACTACGGCTTCTTCCTAACCTTACTAGCAGATATCACTGCTGTTTTCACAGCGTTTTTGATATCATTTCAAGCTGCCTCAGGGTGAGCATCACTTACTACATGGTCGCCTAACTGTTTTTCTAGTTGTTCCTGAAATATATTAGTAGCTTTATTATCATTAAGTGGAGCCCTAAGAGGTTTCCTTGAGATATTTTTTCTGCGTGCAGTAAGACGCAAACGAATACGTGCGCGCATTAGAGCATGGTCTGAGTCTAGACAAGTGCTCCAAAATGAGCGGCAGTCTTCAACAAAGGCACTACACCGATGGCTTATAGCGATGTGATCTAGTCGGGTCAGTTTTGGAGGTCGCCAGGTCAAAAGGTGTTTTACCTTATGCTTAAAGTTAGTGTTTGCTAGGAGGAACAGGCGGTTATCTGAGCATATATGCAGCAGACGGTCATCATCATCTGTTCCATTAGCCGCGACACCATAGCATCCACCCAGGTGTCTTTCCTTTTCTCTGAGTCTACCTACTTGAGCGTTAAAGTCACCAGCCATTATTATTATATCAGAGCGCTCGACATTTTGGAGAAGTTGAGAGAGGTTTCTATAAAACTTGTATAAAACCTTGTATGAACTGCAGTCAGTGGGATCGCAGGCAGACACGAAAAACAAGCGACGGCGTGTCCCTATCCTTCCGAGTTTGTACTGTCCTGTTTCGTCGGACAGCACATAGTCAACTGTCACCTGAAATCCAGTCTAAGAGAGCTTGTTCAGCCCAACGACTTGGTAGTATATCTAAGCCGGCGAGACCAAGAGAAGCGGCATCAGGGATCCCAGAAATACGAAGCGTAAACCTTGTGTGAGACCGAATTGAATTTATTCGGATCTTGTATGCGCGTTTTCGGAAACGCAGGATACATCGATTGCACGGGATTCCAGAGTTCTAGCTAACAAAGCCGGTTGTCCTATTTGGCATAAGGTACGAACATTCAAAGCTCTTATATGTAATTTGTTACGGGGTTTCAAGAGATCAGGAATAAAGTTTCCTGAGCTTAAACCGTTTGCCTCAGTGGCTTGAGGTGATAAATGATCGAAAGAAGGGTTAGACGAGGAGATAAGAGAGTTATTAGGAGGTGTAGAAAGGATTTGATTGTGACCGATTTGGTCTTATGTGCTGTTACTGCTGTCACACCCATCTGCAGTCAACAGTACAACTTCGCCCTCAGACCTTGGGTAGCTGCTTTTGGTCTCATCGTTCTCCAATCGGCCTGCCTGGCATGGTAGAACCTTCAGGAACATATGTTCCAGCCAGTATAACTCGGTTGGGTCATCAAGATAGGCAAGCCCGACCACCACGTCAAGGTAGCAGCTACGGTCACTGTAAAATGTTAGACAAGTAGAAAAAAGGTTTACTTAGTGAAATGAAAGAATATCTGTAGTCGTCCATTTGCATCTTGTTGTGTTCGCAATCCAAGCAAATTCCACACTGTCTTCTCCCGCTTCAAGTTTCCTGTATACGCTATGCCAATTAGCCTACTGAAACTTTTCTTTTAGAGAATTTGAAGCAATATTTCATTACATAGTACTTATGAGCAATCTAGTGAGTAGTAACAAACACAGCATTGTTTCGGTAAATACACCATCGAAACTGTGGAACGTGACTACAATCTTTATATGATTCTGCAAAGATTATATTAAGAGCTGAGAACTTCATCGATCTATGCTTACGTAATATGACAATAATTAGTACGGATACATCGTAAACAGGTGATTATAGAATTGTCTTTTCAATTAGAGATACAAAATAAAGGAATGACCACGGTGCGTTTACAAGCAAAAAAGCATGAAAATTACAGTACAATACTCATTATTAACTAAGTACAGGTATACTAAAATTTGCATAATACAATGAACCTAGTGTTCAAGGACAGATCATAAAAACAAATACAGCTGGAATGACTGAATTCGACTGTTATTCAAACAATGCTGAACACTCCATAGCATTACTCTAGAAACAACAGTTCTAATAGAATATGGTTGGGGTTTGGAATGACTATATGCTGTTTTGTGTGACTTAATTAACTACGCATGTTTCCGCAAGTGGAGCCTAGGCCACTGACCAGCATTCTCCAACCTGCTCTGTCCCTTTCTTTCTTTGTGTACGTCGAGACCTACTGCTGCTAGGCTACCGCTACACTGGTCATCCCGTGTATTTGTTGCTCTGTGTGCGATAGAAGAGCCAGATCATCTACGAGGTCAAAATCGTCCAACTGTATCCTTAGCTATCCACTGTATACCATGCTTCTCTCCGAATACTGACGTCTTCATAATCCAGTCGACCACCAGGAGAAAGAGAAAGGTGTGAGAGTAGGCAACCTTGACTGATACCGGTATTCACCTCAAACGATTCTGTCAGCTGTCCTCCGTGCACGATTTTGCAGTTTAATCCACCGTAAGAATTCCGTATGATGTTGACTATCTTCTCAGACACGCCATTGTGTTGTCCTGTCTACGCTATCAAATGCTTTCTCGTAATCAATGAAGTTGGTGTAGAGTGGTGAGTTCCATTCAATCGCTCGTTCCACAATGATCCATAATGTTGCGATTTGGTCGGTACACGATCGATCCTTACGGAATCCAGCTGGTTGATCTCGAAGTTGAGCGTCTACAGAGTCCTCCATTCTGTTTAACAACACCGTGTTGAAGACTCTGCCGAGTATTGAGAGAGGAGTGATGCGTCTGCAGTTCTCAGACTCGCTGAGATCGCCTTTCTTTGGTATTTTGATGAGGTATCCTTCTTTTTAGTTTGATGGTACTTGTTCTTCATCCCAGATCTTTGTGAAGAGGATGTGGAGTATCTTTACTGCAGTTGCTGCCACGTCTGCTTTTAGTGCCTGGGCTGGAATGTTTTCTGGTCTCTCTGCTTTGCCGCTCTTGGTTTGCCTGATGACCATACTGTTCTCTTCAAATGTTGGTGGGCCAACATCGTTTGGGAGGTCTATGGATGCTGCTTCGATGTTGTGTGGGTTCAGTACTCTACCCACTTGTTTCACTGTTCTTAGATGTTGTTGATTACATTGCTTTCCTTTTCTTTCACTAATCGTTCTGGTTTACGATAGTTTTCAGCGAGCTTCTTTGTTGTATCGTACAATTGTCTCAAGGTTACTTCTCTTGCGGCTTTTTCCGCGATCATTGTTAGATCTTTCACATGAAGGGAGAAGGTAGACTGGTATGCTAAAGACATAACTTTAGTTAAGTCATCAATCAATATCTGATCGTTAACAAAGTAAAGATAAATCATCAAATGACAGGGGATTTACTTTTCGTAAATTTCTATTTAAATCATGCCCAACAACTAATATTTGTCCAGAACTAGGTTCCAAATCTCCTGTTATCATTCGAAAGGTTGTCGTCTTCCCAGCACCATTTACGCCCAATAAACCGAAGCATTCGGATGGAAGAATAGCTAGAGATAAGCGGTCTACTGCTCGTTTCTTTTTTTGTTTACAGCAAGCACCAATTGATCCATAAGTTTTACTAATACGACAAAGTGCAAGGCTAATTGATGAAAAAAATGTTCATATATATAAGTAGATAATATTGGAAAGAAGCGTGAAATAATTGATAAAACAAATGACACTGGTTGAATTGTGAAGCATGTAGAAATCATACTTTTAATATTATTCTAAAAGAAGTTAACAAAAGGTATTGTTCAGTAATAGCAATACTTGATATAACATACAAATCGGCACACTGAAGTGTTGCAGATTATATTTTAAAATCGAATTCATCTATGGTACACTGACTTACTGTCGTGTAGTAAGTAGATGTTTTTGTAAATGACGAATCGAGTTTGATATCTTAAAGTGTAACTCCGAATATGAAGTAAGACGTTGATTAGGTTCTTAAATTAGCTGTAAATTGATAACCTCAGGAAGTTTTTGATAGATTTTACGTCCGATTTCAGTATAAATCGACACCTAACAGTATTGTTAATTCATCAATTGAGCGACTAATTGTCATTAGAACATGAGATTAAAATTTTATCGTTATGAATAGGATACAACGTACAGATATTGAATGATTAAAGTTAGCCCTTCAATATGAATACATTTCTGCACAGATATGTTAACCTGTCATAATCAAATTTCATTTGGGTCTGCTTGAGAACTGAATCTAACTATCGCGTCGTTCCCTATTTACATCTACGTAACTTACACGACTATATCAGTATCAGGATAAAGGCAATAAATGTAAAATGTAACCAATATAGATAATTTGACTTACGAAGTTTGTTCTTTTAGTCGCGCATATGGCAACGATTCAACAAGATGCCTGTGTTGGCGCACATCAACATCCTCAACTGGCGAATTACCATCGTCAAAACTTAAGTCATCGTGATGTTGATTTGATAAACATGATCCACGATTGTAATTTCGATGACGACAGTGTCTGTACACTGAATAATTACATAGAAAAAGGGAGAGCATATACTGATTGGTTGGAAAAAGGTAACGTTAGTTGAGTTCATTATCCATCATGATCGAACTACTCCTACTCTAGCACATTATTTTATGGTTCATAGTTAGTCAAGATCTGATTAACAAATAAGCTTGAAGAGTAGCTATTACATGAGCAACATGAAATATGTTTAGATCATATAAACTAATCCCATTATTTTTTTAACATCCTAAGTTTTGTGGAACGATTTTGCATGAAGAGTTGCAAAACATGATAAACCGGTTATACGGTGTCCCATGAATTTTAGTTATATTGATAATGACGAGTGATGGTAACTGTCTACAAGTAATGTGTTATATGAACCTAGACACTGTTATCCATAATCACTAGAACTGGGTGGATTACATGTAAATCTATACTCATCATCAAGAAAAACTTACATATGGTCAGTCGGATTTTTAAGTTTCTCCCAATTGATGAATCTGAAATTAATACAAGGAGAGAATAAAGAAAGCCATGTATAGATAAGGCAGTAAGATGGGCGCCAATACCGCCCAATTCATACGATAATTCCTTGTTAGTCCAATATGCACAGAATGGATCACATGTTTCTGTAAGAGAGTGATAATTGAAGAGAAAAAAAAGGATACTTTTGGTAAACATATTTGGAAATTACGTAATGCATTCTAAATGTAGCTATACAAACTACCTACTTAGTAATAGTTCGATACAAATTAGGCAAATTTCCAAGTCATTAAAATTAATTCCGATGTTCGAATGGTTGCGTTTAAGACTAGTTTACCAGGAGTTATATAATAGTTATAGCTATAGTTATTAAACATTTACGTTTAAGTCAGCTCGTTCATCGGATATTGGGGTGTGAGTCGCACCTTAAGTGTGAAAGTCAATGATCAAACTCCGTTGCTCAACTCAAGGTAAACGAAGCGGGGTTCGAACGAGGGACTTAGAGTATAGGAACTTTATAACGCTGACAGAAATATATTGGATCTTCGGATCAGTGTTTTATCTATATAAAATAATAATCTGTGTAGAAAGCAAACTACGGTACACTAGATCTTAGATTTACACAACACCTACGAACGTGAAAAATCTGTATGATGGAATCGCTTCGGAGTGAAAAGTGTCAGTATTCATTTTCCTTGATTATGATGTCAGAACGACAAGAAAATTTGAAACAACCCAGTAGTATACATACTCGATGGTTCCAATTGGGGAATTTGCGAAACTGTGTGTTTATCCGATTACTGGGGGACAAAAAATAAACTATATTTTATCACTTAACTAAACATGAACAGAGCATTAAATTATGATCATTGAGATCAGTTTATGTTGTTTTGATAATATATATAAGGTTGTGACTGCATTTACACAACAATACAACTTTCCAAAGTGTTCATCAAGAAATGTAGAAAACAATGAGCTGAAACCAATATAGCCTCCGTGAATATCAACCGATAACAGATGTATGAAGATATCGAAAAGTTTTGATAAAACATGATCTTAACCATGGGAATGAATACCATTTTCTTTAACCTATCATGTTTCCTAGGAAACTCAGATAAGTATACATCTGTTAATTTATCAAAAGATTTATCTATTAAGAGAAGTGTTTTATTGTTACATACAAAAGGTCAAAACATGGAAAGTTTTTGTGATTAGAGAAATAATACCCATCTTAACTTGTAAAACAAAACAAGCTGAATTACACAAAAACTGTAAGTAAGTGATTTTCGTGACATGTTGCGAATAGTTAAGGTGAAATTGAGGACTTCATTTTTCAAAGTTAATATTACGGAAATGTGGCAATTGTATGGAACTGTTGATTGATGTAGAGAATATTTATAGAAAAGATTTCTCTCTGTGATAATAAATAAAGGCTAAATTAACAAATGAACTATTAATTCAAATCCCAGAGATAATTTATTACATATTCAAATTAATGTGCATACATAATTAGAAGCTATAGATTGGACGTTTATACAATAGGCATTCAAAACTTGTTCCAGTCATTTTAGTCAAGACAGCCAACACAATCACACTAACAGATTAATGTAAACCAGCACACACAAACCCGATATTTACAGAAAAGATTAATGATATTATTAAAACGAAGATGAAGTAAAGATAATCACACTCAACATGTGCTATGCCTATATTGTCAATAAAATGTAAATCACTAGAGAATAAACATTTAACTTACTTAAACAGCAAGCATTCGATCGGTTCACAAGACATAATAATTGAACAAGCGGAAAATCGCAAACTTGACGAAACTGATAATTAATAAATAATTGGAATATGCCATGAGAAAGACAGAATGATGGAGAAATAGCCATCCAAAAATACATCAAGCTAATCCCAACTGTTTGTTGATGGATCATTGGATGAGATAGTAAGCCAACTACTATAAGACCAACAGACGCTAAACAAAAAACAAAACAATATATATATATATATATATATATATATATATATATATATAAACAGAATTGTGAGATAAGTAAAATTACGTTATGAATGTTAGGTGTTACAGTCAGGATTACTATTTTGTATTTTATTTTACGAGTTACCCTTCGTAAAGCATCGGTTGCTATCTAGCAATCTCAAACCTATTCTGTACTGGGCTCTACAATCCAGGTTTTCACAAGTGCTATCATTCTTTAATGTCGACCACTAATACTCAGCTCAATGTGTTTTGGGGTTTTGCCTCCTCTACTTGGGGATTTCAAGTTAAGACTTATCTTATGATGCAGTTTGATTATTTCGGTTACGTTCTATACAATTTGAGAGTCTTTTATAATCTCCCCTCGATGTAGGTTGGTTTTCTCTATCCCACAGTAAGTTGTTGTTCATGAGGTCTAGCGAACAGATCCACAGTATCTTGTGGATGTTGGTTTTTGTGGTTCTCCATGTTTCCGCTCCATACAATAGAACTGTTTTGACATTTTTATTGAAAATCCTGATTTTAGTGTTGGTTGACAGTTGTTTTGAGTTCCAGATGTTCTTCGACTGTAGAAATACTGCCATTGCCTTGCCAATCCGAGTCTTCACACCCGCATCAGATCCAACTTGTTTATCAATGATGCTGCACAGGTATGTAGAGGTTTCCACGTTTTCTAAAGCTCCTCCATCCAGTGTGATTTGGTTGGAGAAAGGTTGTGTTATATCGTGGTATCGTGCTTTTCCCATGTGTAAGTTGAAGCTTACAGCAGCTATACTGGATGTCTTTACCTGCATTTGGTGTGCATGGGATAGAAAATCTAGATTATCTGCGAAAGACAAACTGTCCACAGTATTTCACGTGTCTACACAGATCCATTCTTAATGATAATGCTTCTGACAATATAACACCTCTTGGCATGTTGAAGTGATCGCTTCTTTAAGGAGGCTGATCTATTCAAGAACTCTTCAAAGTGAGAGTAGAGGACATTCATAAATTACTTGTCTCCGAAGCATTGCTCGTATATCGTGGGACAACCAAGTAAGCAATGTTGTCGTTAGGAAGCGAGTACTAGCTACATGAAACTGCATCAGTTGAGGTGGTTGGGACATGTATTACGAATGCTCAACCACCGACTGCCTCGACGAACTATGTTTATGGGGTAGAAGTAGGTTGGAAGAAAGCTAGGGGTCGCCAAACCAAAACATGGCAGAAATCCATGAAGTCACGGACAAGTCGACTGAGTCATGTCGGTATGTATCGGCTACCTGGTTGGGGTCCGCGAGACGAAAGTTACCGATGCTTAGAGACTTGGAACGACATGGCGCAAAGTCGTTTGCAATGGCCGATCTTTGTGTTCTCTCTAATTCTAACCTTCTGAATTCCTCATCATCTTTATCTTTTTCTTTCTAAATTTATCTCACTGAATTATACCATAATCTTCATTACTGCTATCCTAGTTCTTTCATATTTACTTCGCTTACGGCTGATTTTTGATGCTATGGCTCGGTCTCCCATCTATTTTGGTTTGTCCAACCTAATGTTCCTCTTCAATCGCATGTTTACTTCTGTCTATTGGACCTGTTTTAGCTTTCTCTGCTCGTGTTTGGCTAATTCTGATTTCGGTCTGCTCTAGTTAAAGTTATAGTTTCTTTAATCGCTTTCTAGCTGTTCTACGTAGTGTTTTACTTTCTTTTAGTATATCGTGTAACGCTTGAAACCTTTTGGTGAGAGATATCTTCAAATCGTTGAGTTTTTTATTTATTTGAAGAAAGGTTGTTTTAAAAATTTTTAATGCTGTTTGTCCAGTTATTCGATGCATCTTCAGATTAAGTTTCATGGTGGCTAACACCAAGAAGTGATCTGAAGCTTTATCAGCTCCTCTTTTTCGCTTACGTCTCTCGCGGTTCTAAAAATTTTAATGATAGTTTTCAGTAGCGTGATTCGGTGACACTCATGCACATTTGTATATGCCTTTGTATGGGAATAATGTGTCATCTCTAAATAGTTGCTTGTAGAGAAAGAGACGTTCGGGACATTGCAGAACTCCTTACTATTCTTTCCTTTCAGTTCATGTGTCCACACTAAATCTCCGCATCCGTTGATATCCATTCAATCCTTGTCGTTTATGTATCCCATTGGGATAATAAGGTCCTTTCTAAAGCGTATTTGTACTAGCAACTGCAGACTTTCATAAAAGCGATCTTTATTGTCTACCTTGCAATCGATGATAAGTAAATAATACTGGATAACTAGCATTGCAATCTCCGCCATATGTTTCGAAGAATGCTTTGAAGATAATGGATTCAAGAGGTTTCCATCCTATTACTGCTTTTGTGCTTCTCAGGAGAGCATTGATGTAATGATGAGAATCCAGAGATACGTGAAGCCAACAACACGCTAAACTACTCCACTCCCTATCAAAAGGTCAGGTGCCGAAACAACCCGATCGTGAAGCAACATTTTGCATTTCGAGGGAGAGAATCACATCACGAACATGCTGGCATTGCTGCATAAGGTGGTCAAAAGACTCTGCATTTCGTCAGATTTGTCACCAAGTAGAAAAATGTCATCGGCATATTCTAAACCAACGGGCGAATCAGCGATTCTAACTAAGATCTCAGTCAATCTAACTGATAAAATTAAAGCACTATCCTTGAGAGTCTCAGAAGTCAATCTGGCAGCATACGCTGCTCTCCATCACTTCAGATTTCCTAGAGCATTTTCAACTTCATAAAAAGTCGGAGGATTTACATCAATTCGCTATTCAGGTTGACTGAAGATCGTGAGCAACCGAAGTGTGGCTGGAGGACAGTTAAACCGCCCTTATAAGCGTTCTTCCCATCGATACAATCTTCTGAATTAAGAATGAATAGACTATCCTTTGCGAGATAGTCTGATTAACAGTCGGAATTCTTGTACCGCTTTCCTTGATAAGCCTGAATAGATGTTTACTGTTACATATCGCTGCTGCCTCTTCCGTTCTCATTTGCTTCCGCTACCTATTAGTGTTCGCGATCATTACCTAGGCTTCTTATCAACGAACCTAGCTGTTGACTCACCGAAAAGTAAAGATGAACACTGACCGTATTTGCACGATGTCTTAAAAATGGCGAGTGAAATCACATCCGGTTTCACAAAATGTCTCGCTTATAAGCACTGGATTTCTACAGCCTCCTTAAAACTTACAGAGGCACACTGGTACATTTGGTGTAACCACGAGTTTAACATCAGAAGAAGACTGTTACGTGAGCAGACGGTAACCCTAGAAGAGTTCTACGCGAAGCTACTTTGACTTTGGCCTGCAGTTACTCCATATAGTTGTATTAAGTTTTGCTACCTTATGACATTATTATTTCGTCATCTTTTTTACTACTTTTGTTGTAAAGTATAAATTCATTTTTAATGAAGTTTTTCCATTTAGTTGTTAGATAGACGCAAAGACATGGTATCGTTATATCAAGTTTTTGTTTGAAAATGATCAAGTGAATAAAAGCAGACGTTAGAAAATTGGATAGTAATAATAATAATAATAATAATAGTAATAATAATCGTTATAAATGGTAACATTGTTGTAACCAACTAACCAGTGAATATATTGATCACGGTAATCCAAATTAAGCCAGATGTAGGTGATCGGAATAGTCGAGACAATAAATATGTTTGCGGTAATACAGACCATATGAACAATCCAAACAGAATAACTAAATTGTGAAACCTTTCACCAAGAGCAAACTGTTTCAAATCAAATGCCACAAAGCATAATAGTATGGAACCAACGGACAGACAAAATATACATAGATCCCATAAATAAATAGATATCCAGTAGAGTGCTAGTAAGAGAGAATAATCCCAAGAGCAACTTGTTATTGATAAAAATTAGGGAAACAGTTCAGTAATAAATGTGAATAGGATAGTTGTACAACTTAAATCTTTATCCATTAAATTAGATTACGATAGTTCATAAGAATTTTCGTTCAAATTTTAACGAATATTTGAACAGCATTTGGATGTTGAGTTTATTCAAGATACGATAAAAGAAATTATGTTTTTAAAACCTTCCAGTCGCTGAAATTGAAATATCGACCCGATGTTTATTTCGGTAGTCTGGTATAAGTTTCCTCAGGCAAAATGATAAAATACTAGAGTTGTCGAATATAAATATATTGATCACAAATTGGCTACGTACTAAGCAAATCGTCCAACTAATCTTAACAATGCTTAAAACGTGGAATTTGTTGCATTGTGTAAACCAGTCAGTTGGTGCGAAATGCAAAGAATTTGTGGTATGATAAGAAGTATGCGTGAATGTATGCAGATCTGATATGAGAGAAAATCATTGACCACATATGGCCACAGGTTATTATGGTGTTTGATGCATTTGAACAATCATATAGATAACCGCATTTGTCACAACATGCGTGAAATGAGAATAATTGAACAAATGCCCAACGTCGCTCTACTGACGTGTGGATCGGAGGCGCGAGAAATGACTGCCTCCGTTTGATCGTCCGGAAAATATTTAGCTCACACTACAAGATGACTATTAATTAGCTAATGAGAGTATTCGAGTAAATAAATTTTGACAATAACTCCAATGAAAATTAAGCTAAACAGATCAAAAAATACGATTAGCTATGAGAATTGATGATACTAGTGTCTTAAAAATCAAGAATAAATGAGTAACAGGTATGATTTTTTGAATTAAGAATGTAGCATTTTTGTTTCTATAGATGAATGTGTGAGAGAGGAGAAAATAATAATGACTTGAAATCATGACAAGACTACAAATGGATCAACAGCGGGGGACCAATGAAAAGATATATGGTCATCCACTGATGGAAAAATTTTTGAGAGAAATAGGATTTCCGTAAATCTGTGTATCGCCCAATAATTGATGATTGATATATTAGGAGACAAAAGGTAATATTATTTCAGGTTCATATGAATTTCATCCAGTATGATAGGTGTGAACTTTTGTTTGGTATGACATTTAAATTTCTTGTATTAAATCAGGTCAACTCTATTCGGTGTTTTTGCAGCAACTCTGTGTTCTTACTTTGGGTCGTTGGCAGTGCAGTGGTTACCCATTTAAATTATAAGCAGTAGGACCGCTGATTCAAAACTAATGAATGGAGACAACGCCAGTTTTAAAGTATATCTAATATTCAAATTTTAGAAATCAATCTTTTCAATAACAATGAGAAACGGGCAAAGAAAAAACAGAATTATCTTACTTAATTTTACTCCGGACACGAATTGTAAATGTTTCGCCTTAGTTACAGTTTCGTAAACTGGGAAAAAAGCAAAACAAGAGGCCAAATAGGACGTTGCGAGAAGGATATTCGTTGCTAATGGAAAGCCGGCCATTACAACGCGCATAAGACCTTCAATTTCATCAATCTGTTTGGCACGTTCCTCTTTAGTTTCAGGTAGAGGTTGGTTAGATACATAAATCTGCGGTGGACTATTGTTAGTAGTAAGACCAGGGCACATTGTCTACAAATAAAATAATATACCAGACTGTTTAGTAAAACAACAGAAACAAGCAAACGAGAATTTTAGTAAGCTTGTTATAGGATCTTTGAAAAATGACGGAGAAAAACTAAATATATGATGCGAAACAATCTGTCCAGTTAACTGACAATTTTTAGAATACGAACAGCAAAAAGAGTTCTATTTCTTACGAGCTGAATAAAATTTGCATTGAATAGAACTAAATTTTTCAAACGTGAGACAATACTATTGAATTAATATAGCTATGATTACGCTTTTAATGCATAGGTGACGTCTAGTTACGCAAAATAAAACATTTGGTGGTATGCTTGAATAACCGAGCATTGACTTACATCCTATCATTTGAACCAACTGATTTATTGAAAGAAACAACACTCAGATCTAATTTTAGGGTAATTATGCAGACTAATACTTCAATGAACAAGCCGAAACAATTTTTTTGAGGTGTTTTACTGAGATCCAAAATTAAAAATCTATATTGCAAACGATAAAGCTGTATCAAATATCTGTAATCTCTGTTATTCCATTAGATGTCTATTAGTTTCCATCCTAATCATATTTTTTCGTCACATGATATTGAGCCCCCTTTTAATCTAGCAAGTATTTTTTCATTGTAATACATTTCACATGACAGTAAGTGTTTATATTGACATAAACATTCATTAACTGGTATTTTAGAAATATATGATAGTTGAAAAATTTAAGTGATCTAATAGCATAACACTAACAGGAGTGATCTTGATGAATCATTCAATCAATTTTACATATTCAATGTCATATTTGCTCAAGAAAGTGTTATATCTGTTACTAAAACGACTAAAAAACAATGCAACCTTCGGCACCGGAAAAGAAATCTTTAGTAGGTATCAAAAATCTATACAGAAACTGTGTGTATTTATAGTTTTTTGTATGGAGTGAAAACAACAAATAAACATATCCAATCCTCAATGAGCGATGTTACGTTATGTGGCGCATATATATTTTCGTGTCCCTTCGTTACTGTTTATATGTTTAAATAAAGGAATGACTGGAAACACCATATTATTTTTATTATTCTGCACATCAAAAGTTGAAAAATAGGGACTCCAATTACTTTGTAGTGGAGTTTTGTTCTCTGAGTTGGATGTTTTGGTTGTGGAGCTTTCATTGTTCCTCTGAGCAACATCATCAACACAAACTTCAGATAGAAGTGAAGTGAATTTCTTCACTGATGAAGTCAGAATGGTTTAATGCAAAAACGAAAAAAACTAATATTCGAAGATATAATGCATTGTAAACAAGATTATGACAGTGAGATCTGAACAGATATGGAACATTTCGAAAAACTTCAGTTGATTTGTATAAAATAATGTGAACCAGTAGAAAAAATCTTTGTTCTAACTTAATTCGCCATAATCTTATGATAACAGTATATGTATAAGTCACCGAAAATTACCTGGTTAACTGAAGTTAAGTACTGTAAAAATCCGTTCACGACTGCATTCAGAGAAATCGGAGCAGCATGAAATGATTCACCTTGAAAGTAAGCACGTAACGAAATGATTTTGTCATTCACAGTTGATTTTGCATCAGCCACTAGTCCGATAATGGATTTGAGACGGAAGTAAAACAAGTGAGGGATGGCCATTTGTTTCAATAGATGATCCTGGTTAACAGATGGATAGTAGTGATTAAAATTTTAACTGAGAAATCTGTTTTTACTTCATTTAAAAAACAAAAAGTATTTGCATTAGTTATAAAGATTAACAGAACTCAGAAGCTATAAAGAAATAAAGTTACGATCCTATGATGCTTAACATCAATGAATTCACTTGCTTGAATCAAAGTATCGATCAGTCATGTGTACTGTAGAACTTGATCGGTTTATTTTATGGTGCCTGATTAACACAATAAACAAATCCCAGAGTACTGCATGAAGTGACATTAATAATGGTGGTAGAAGAAATTAATAATCGAAGATACGATTCCAGGAGAGAATATGGATAAGTAAAATTGAGAGGTAATTTAGAAACTTTGGATCCAAGGGTAAGAAGACAGAGAGTGGATGACACTGTGCTATTGAGAACACTTTTGTGTCATATCGCTCAGTTTCTAGCCAGTGTCTAAAATAATCACACAAAACCCTTACTTACAGGATCCAGTCCATTAGTCAGTGACTTCATGGACTGATGCTATGTTTTGGTTTAGCCACGCCCTGGCTTTCTTTGAGTCCAATCTTAAACCAGCCGTCGTTGCGCGTCGAGGTAGGAGGTGGATAGACATACGTAATACATACTCTAACCCGTTAACTCGTCAACTGACTCGCCATAATTACCTAGACATTGTGTCCAACCTCAGAATAGCTAATTCAACGATACCAAAATACACGAAAAATGCTTCAGAGATGGATGTGATCAAATACTACTACCTATGAATATCCTCTATTTGAAAGGTAACTTTTCACAGTCATCAATCAGAAGACAGCAAACTGCGGCATAGTCAGCTAATCAATTAGTTGGCAAACGGAAAATTTGCCAACATCACAAGTGACACGTGTTGAAAGGGCCGACCAGTTTTATGGATTCCAACCAAAATTTCGTCAGATACCAACCAACACGGCTAATAAAACTCCCAAGACAGGTGAAGTAATAAACGCAACTACTTCATTCTCTATTATTGGTTTAAGTGAGTCAGTCTTAAAGTAAAATTTTTCATTTACAGGCAGAGAAACGCATCCTAAGCAGTGTTGCGTAAGTTGATCGAAAGACTTTTCGTTTTATGGTCATTTTGACAAAACACAAGTTAAGATATTTTCGTACTCTAAATCGACAAGTGCACACCTTGCTACTCTGAGGTTAGACACTGAGAGCACAACCTATAAAGGCTATTATGACGAAGTTTAATGAAAATAGGAAAAGCAGACGGCGACAAACACCATTTCCTTACATGGGGTCAAGTCAAGGCAAGCGGAAAAATTCTAAAAGCTCACTTCTTTTTCGATTATATTGCTCAAGTAAACAGAGGAAGCTTCCAAACCAAAACATCCAGCTCAGAGACTACAATACCTTCAACATCTTCATTATGAGATTCAAATATTCTTGATTATCTCAAAAGAGAAACCGGAAGGTTTAACAAACAGCACTTGAAGTGGCCAATAAGGGTGATTTTAAGATGTAGGATCTGACCGATAGTATTCGCGAACCTCCACCAGGTAGTTTACGCTTACCAATATGACTCAGTAAAGTTGTCAGTGACTTCATGGATTTGTGACATGTTTTGGTTTAGTCACCCTTACTCATACACCACAGAACATAGTTTCATTAAGACAAGTAAGACAACTATTGTCGGATGCCTAAATGTGTCAGTCTTCTAGGACCTATCTTAGTGTGAATATGTGCTGTGTACAGTCACGTTCAGGTCTGTAAACAGCATAGTTTTTTCGAGTCTGCTCTTCACGAGCTCTAGTTGGGCGTTCGCATATTATCGAGGATAATAATTGAGATGATATATTACTTAACATGATTCCTCTATGATTGTCACAAGAGAACTTTTGTCTTTTTTAACAAATTGGGACAACAAGAGAAAGAGACCAGTTGGATGGGATTGTGTCCAGTTCCCAGATTCTACGGAAATTTTTAGATAATCTAACTCCTAAAAATCTCTGGAGTTAGCCTATCTGATATAGATTCAGATCAACATTTGGTAGCAGCCCACGCGAAACTTAAGCTAGAGAAACAGTGGCTAACGGAGCGGACAGGATACCGGCAAACTCGAAGAATTTTGATAGCCCTAAGCAATAGGTTTCAGGCCTTTCACGATCTACTCACTATAAAGGAAACAACTCGAAAGGAATTAAGAAGACGATCACTTAAACATGTCACGAGGTTCTGGTTCACAAGGAATGGATCCCTGTTCATTGTATGGATAAAATTTAAGGAAGAACAAGAAGGCAGCAATCAATATCAACAGAACAAGAGCAGACAGTCAAGGTAATGACTGAAAACACAAAAGCAAACAAGCAAGTGGAAAGGAGCATCAGAGCCGACAAACGTATATGTGGAAGATCTAACAATGATCGCGGAAAAAGCTGCAAGAGAAGAAACCTTGAGACAATTGTACGATACAACAAAGAAGCTCGCTGAAAACTATCGTAAACCAGAACGATTAGTGAAAAAAAGGAAAGCAAAGTAATCAACAACATCGAAGAACAGTGAAACAAGTGGGTAGAGTACTGAACCCACACAACATCGAAGCAGCATCCATAGACCTCCCAAACGATGTTGGCCCACCAACATTTGAAGAGAACAGTATGGTCATCAGGCAAACCAAGAGCGGCAAAGCAGAGAGACCAGAAAACATTCCAGCCCAGGCACTAAAAGCAGACGTGGCAGCAACTGCAGTAAAGATACTCCACATCCTCTTCACAAAGATCTGGGATGAAGAACAAGTACCATCAAACTAAAAAGAAGGATACCTCATCAAAATACCAAAGAAAGGCGATCTCAGCGAGTCTGAGAACTGCAGACGCATCACTCCTCTCTCAATACTCGGCAGAGTCTTCAACACGGTGTTGTTAAACAGAATGGAGGACTCTGTAGACGCTCAACTTCGAGATCAACCAGCTGGATTCCGTAAGGATCGATCGTGTACCGACCAAATCGCAACATTATGGATCATTGTGGAACGAGCGATTGAATGGAACTCACCACTCTACACCAACTTCATTGATTACGAGAAAGCATTTGATAGCGTAGACAGGACAACACAATGCGGGCTTCTACAACACAATGGCGTGTCTGAGAAGATAGTCAACATCATACGGAATTCTTACGGTGGATTAAACTGCAAAATCGTGCACGGAGGACAGCTGACAGAATCGTTTGAGGTGAATACCGGTATCAGGCAATGTTGCCTACTCTCACACCTTTCTCTTTCTCCTGGTGGTCGACTGGATTATGAAGACGTCAGTATCCGGAGAGAAGCATGGTATACAGTGGATAGCTAAGGATACAGTTGGACGATTTTGACCTCGTAGATGATCTGGCTCTTCTATCGCACACAGAGCAACAAATACACGGGATGACCAGTGTAGCGGTAGCCTATGCAGCAGTAGGTCTCGACGTACACAAAGAAAAAAAGAACGATACTACGATATAACACAACCTTTCTCCAACCAAATCACACTGGATGGAGGAGCTTTAAAAAACGTGGAAACCTCTACATACCTGTTCAGCATCATTGATAAACAAGTTGGATCTGATGCGGGTGTGAAGACTCGGATTGGCAAGGCAATAGCAGTATTTCTACAGTCGAAGAACATCTGGAACTCAAAACAACTGTCAACCAACACTAAAATCAGGATTTTCAATAAAAATGTCAAAACAGTTCTATTGTATGGAGCGGAAACTAGGAGAACCACAAAAACCATCATCCACAAGATACAAGTGTTTATCAACAGTTGTCTATGCAAGATACTGTGGATCTGTTCGCTAGACCTCATGAGCAACAACCTACTGTAGGAGAGAACAAACCAGATTGCAGCAGATGAAGAAATTAGGAAAGTGTTGGAAATGGATAGCATACACAATGCAGAAACCACCCGACTGCGTCATGATAAAAGCCCTAAGCCAGAGTCTGAAGCGCAAAGGAAATCAGGTAGACCAACGAATATATTACGCCGAGAATTGGAGGCAGACATGAAAAGGATGAACAGCCATTAGGTGGAACTGGAAAATAAGTCCCAGGACAGAGTAGGTTTGAAAATGCTGGTCAATGGCTAGGCTTCGCGAGTGGTAAAAGGAGTAACTAAAGAACATTGAGTTAACTGATATACGCATCTGTAACTTAATTCAAAGAAAATAAATTATACTATATGTTATAAGACGGTAAAAATTTTCTTAAATCATAGAGCACTGACGAAAAATTATTTTAGGATTAGTTAAGATGTCCTAATAATTTATTGAACTTATAGAAATATCGTACTAAACAAGATGACTAATTATTAGGAGAAAAACGAAATATACATATTTGAGTTGAGCGCATTATAATACGAAAGTAGCCATTCGGATACTCACTTCATAACCTCCTGTGGATGTATTAAACTCAATAGGCGTAACTTGCTGATTATCAAACTGTCGCACATAGGATTGAATAAATTGGTTAGCGCTGTGACGATTTTCCCAACCATCTGCTTCATTACTATACGTAAGCAATAAATTATTGCCATAAGGTTTTAATGATAAATCCAGACGTGGATCGAGTGAATTGTTCTGATCAAGTAAATGATGAAATATGGATAAAGCGATCAAAGTAAACGCAATGGGTACAATAATTTGACTGAGAACAAATATCAAATTACGTTTTGTGAATATGTAACGCTTGATTATTAGAGCACTTAATTGTTGGCGGTAGAATAAAAAGCCCTGATTAAGTGGTTGTTTGTGACCGAATTCAGCTGAATAAAAAAAATACAAAAGAGAGACATTAGTGGGTGAGACAAATGGACCAAGTTAACCATAGGTAAATTTAGCAATTATTTGCATTAATGATAAGTTTTCATGCATGCATTTTTTTTTCTGCTTACATTTTGCAATGATACATCAATCATTTCCAAGGTAAACACGACAACTTAAAAACAATTTCTCTCCAACCGACAAAATATTCTAGGCAAAAAAAACTAAACGGTATGATTGACAATATTTGAATGATTATTTATTGAACATAGTATTATTGGTACATAGGGGCATCTAAATATTTGTGTGCTACACAAATTATTGAATTTGTGATTGGGGGAAGATGCTGTCCGGATGCACAAACCGAAGCACGTGGTCTCCTTAGAGAGTCAACTCTTGAGCTTGCAATCTACAAGGCAGTGGAGCGACGTCGGTAGATGCTTCTTCCGTATTCACCAATTCAGTTTAAGTATCAGACATTGCCTTGTTATCATCTCAGTTTCGTAAGCAATACCCGTGCCACTAGAAGACAGTGAGTAGGGATTTTTTGGTAGTCGTTATATACTCGTGCTCATATGAGTGCATTTCGAGAAGGAAAGTGAATTCTTCAACTCTTGACGGTACCAGGGAATTTAGTGCAACATTTGAATGAATTCGAAATTTTCGGAAGCTAATTTATAAACTAAAGTCATAGAAATCAGTCGAGGAAATGACATCCATGATATTAGATTCGAAGAGGAAGGAAAGAAAATGAGATACATGAAAACCACATAAGAATACTTATTTAGCTGTCACAACATTAAGACAGGTAGATATTCTTGTAGGTCTATATGCTTGTTAAGACTGTGAGGAAGAATGTAGTGTGTAGCGGGTTTCATCTAACAGAATCCAACTAACTTCCTGTAAATTGAAATGAAATAATCTACCTTATTTTACTGCATAACTTAAACGAATTTCATCTGACTAGATGTACAAGTAAATGTACATCAATGATCTGATTCTCTCCATTGCTATAATTTCTCACATCTCGTATAAATTAAAATTCAGGTCAGGTCAGCGGCCTATCCTCTATTGGAAGTAACAGGCGTAAGTATATTCACGATAAAGTACAGTTTTGACTTAGATATCTTATCCTATCCTTAACTTATCCAATTAATTCAGATGAGAATATTTTTAAAGTGAATAGTCGCTTTCATAGTTTTTGATAGAGCAATGAAAAGGCCGCAGAATTACCAACAAACTGTGAATGTTATCTAACTGTAGACAAAAATGAGTTCTGTCAACCTGTTAATTGGAAAAATTTCTCTTTAAGATTATTGTATCCTCATGTTTTTTAGTATCATCTTACTACATTAAGAATACATATTGTCTGTTATCTATCAATTGTTACCAATTATTTATTTGAGAAATACCATTTCCAATCAATATTCGGCTAATATTCATTTTTTTTCTATATAAAAATGTACATGATATTAATTATAAATTATATTCGGAGAATATTACGAAACTGGAATAATGCGTTTTTACTTGTTTAGCCGATGGAATGAGAACCTTGGTTGATAAGGTATGATATTAGTGATGGATGATATCACATTTATTTTACTGCAATGGCGAAGCTTGGAGAATTATTTACATGTCAATCACTTTCAACATAGAACTTCGTACGTACGTACATCAGTTCATGATGCTAAACAACATTAGCACAGAGACGCAACCAAAACATGGCAGAAATCCATGAAGTCATTGACTAGTGGACTGAGCCATGTCGGTAATTGTCGACTACCGGGTTGGGGTCCGCGAGATGATAATAATCGATGGTTAGAGACCTTGAATGACATGGCTCAAAATCGTTCGCAATGGCGCCGGTGCATTTATTCTTTGTGTTCTCTCAAATCCTAATCTTCTGGATTCTTCAACCCCTCTAGTTTCGACTCTCTAAACTTTTCTCACTGAATCATACTTCTTGAATAGTATCTTCTAATCCTAACCTCTCCGATTACTTCTAATACCTTTACTACCTCTTCTACTATTGGATTTGAATTGACGATTACTTCTCCGTGCTGATGTGCTATGGCAACATGAACTGATGTACTGATGTATAAAGTTCTACGTTGCATCTGACTGACTGAGTGAGAGACGCAACTGTCAGTTCAAATCTCATAGTGGTAGAAATAGTAGAAGTATTAGCGGAAATGAAGAAGATTAGGGTTCGAAGAAATTATTCAAGAAATACCATTCAGTCGAGGAAATTTAAAAAGGAGACAGACAGAGGTGATGAGGAATACAAAGGATTATGGTTTGAGAGAAAACAGAAATCGGATGTGCCTGCGCCTTTGCAAACGATTTTGAGCCATGTCATTCAAGGTCTCTAACCATCAATTAGTAACATCTCGCCGACCCCAACCAAGTAGCTTACACTTACCAACATGACTCAGTCCACTTGTCAGTTTCCTGATGGATTTGTGCCATGATTTTGGTTTGGACGCCTTTGGCTTTCTTCTAACCTACTCCCTTACCACAAAACATCACTCATCAAGGCAGTCGGTGGTTGGGCATTCGTAACACATGTCGCAACCACCTCAAATGATGAAGTTTCAATACTTCATCTATTGATTTGCCATCCCTACCTAGTACTAGTTTCCTAACACCAACACTGCTTACTGGATGGTCCCACGATATACGAGCAATGCTCTGAAGACACCTATGTTTTGGTTTGGATGCCGCATATTCCAAGTCAACCACTAAATCTCCTGGTAACAGATCAACTCCTGAAAAGTCAGATGATGAAATTGTCGTATCTGAAAGCACATCACTCATAAATTTGAACAAGAACGGGGAAAGTCGACAACCCTTAAGAACACAGCTTGAAGTAATCAATTCTGGTAATAGTTCGTCATAATCTCTCACTCGACCAGAGGTGCTAGAGTAGAGCCTTTATAAGGTTAATGTACTTCTCCGGTACACCCTTCAATGACAAACACTGCCACAGAACCTCAAAATCAACAGAGTCAAATGCCACCTTCAGGTCCAGGAAGACAACTATTGTCGGACGCCGAAATGTGTGTCTATGTTCTAGCACCTGTCTTAGTGTGAATATGTGGTCTATACATCCACGTCCACGTTATGAGATAAACTTGCCAGTATGAGGTTCAGAAAATTGCTATATTTGATTGCGATTAAAAACCGAATTTTTATACCGCTACTAATTATCGTGAAAAGAAAGAAAGCCCCGTTTTGAATAAACGATGGAATGATATCGCTTTCGATTATACTTCATATCATTTCAAGTTTGAATTAACTATAGTAGTAAGTATTCGATTGGAGGACATCTGATGTGATAGATATTATGGCATTCAATTCAAAATAAAATACTTGTAAATAATTATACATGAATAGAAATTTTTAAAACTAACTTTCTGGTATACATTGGCTTTGTTCACTTGTTTTGAGTTTGCCCTTATGAGTTTCCCGATTGCAACAACTGACTATATTTGATTGATCACAAACTCTGAAGTAAAATACCAAGAAAAAAATCTCCAATCACTTTTATATTATTGTTTATACAATAATTAAGGGGAAAGGTAGAATATTGAATCAAAACGATTGGTGGGACAATAAACTTTTATTGGCTGAGGTGTTTGTGGTAAAATGCTAGGTTATCTTGTCTTCAGGATAATGGAGTTTCATTCTTTGTGTAGGGATAACCGCGACGACTTTTTCCAAAGTCATACTTCCGCACTTAACTTTGTTGTCATTTTATTGGTTGTTCTCACACTTAGTTATGTAATTCTACGTGTCTGAAAGTTATTTTCATTACGATATGTACAGAGCTGTTCTACATCAAGTTTGACTAGTTGAATATTAAGCATTTCCTGATTTTTTTGACTATTTTTTGTCTTCTGTTGCGTCCGAGATTATGTTAAATTGTTGTCCGTTAATTATTTGGTTCACCGAGCTCTGATTCGTATTAAAAGAATATTTGAATAGTTCATAATTGGGATTTACTGTAGATGATCACAAAACTTCACAGGTTAGGAAGCGTTATGGGTCTTTATCCATTGCGTACGTTCATCAAGTGTAATGCTGATAGGCAGAGTACGTTGGAAATAAAAACTAGAGGTGATTAGATTAAGGCAGAATGAAACAACCATTTACCTATGGCATGCTGAAAAAACTGAATTCTTGTTTCATGGGCAAAGTAATTATAATCTAGGACACGACCCAAAATTGTTTTCAGTGACCCAGTAATAATCATAATTTATCTTCCCATAAAAATTCAGTGTTATTCCGGACTTTTTATTCTTTCTTCCCACTTATTTGTTCTGAACCATATTCAGTTCGCTTCAGTGCTTTCCACTTTGTAAATTTTCTCTGTCAGTGTTTATGTGAGATGAGAAAACATGGAATAGCACAATTTTGGGTCAGATCAAACATTAGCTACAACTAACAAGCTGATAAGGCCCCATTACCTAGCAGTTCGACAATTGGTATAATCAATCTATCATACTGGTCTCACCATTCGAAAGTGATAGCTTAGATAAATACGTGATTAACGGGTCTCTCCCCTTTCAGCTTCTGCTTATATTATATGTGTCTGTCAGCAGTAAAAGAGGACACAGTAGACAGTTCATAGCATGGTGAACTACATTAAATATTGGTAATTTAATACCTATTGTGGATGAAAAACGCGACAAAGGATAGATAGGAGTAAAACGATCGACAAATAAAATTTGTCACGTTTTGTCCTGCCAGGGTTCTCGTCATGTAAGCGCCCAAATAGGATGATATGTAAGGAAAATACAATATCATTTAGCTGCTAACATTTTTGCAGTTTCTTGGAATGTTTTTTAGGTTGTATATGATTAAAATAAGCTAGGTTTGTTCGCTAATACATGAAACAAGTTTCGAATGGCTTCAGAATTCCAACACCAATTCCGAAACCCCTTTTACATTGGGAAAAATTATTCAATTTCCAACTTTAAATACGTTAAACTGAGATTTCTAGAAGTGGAGTAAACTTAAAATACTTAATCAAATGGCACGGCGATAACCATGAACAAATCATCATAAGATAGGTATCTGTAAGTAACTAGTCGTAAGAAAGGGTTTTCTGTTTTTCGATCACCTTAAAAACTCAACATTTTGACTAGGAATATTAGAGAACAATCAGCATGGTTAATTATTCAGTAAAATATGAACCGAAAAGGAAAAAAACATACACGAAAAATCTTTAAGAGCATATACAAATGAGGAATATAAAATCAGCCCTCGTGATGAATTAACTCATATTCACAGTATCTGTCACTGTAAAACTGAAACTGTGGACTTTTCGAGGCTATTGTCGATCCCAAGCACGGATAAAGGAGGAGGGTTGGGATTGTTGTTGTCGACCCTATCCAGAGAAAAACTAACTTGTCAAAAAAATAATTCAAATCATACAAACTACTCTGGGAGTTAGAATTACTTAATTTAGAAAAGTTATGACGTCTCATGATGAAAGCCGAGTTCCTACGGAAGTCATTAGGCCGAAGACACTTCTGACAACCAGAACCCTTCGACAGTGTGGGCAGCCAGGAAGTGACATCCGCTCTCATAACCATAAACGCACAAGCGACAAAATAGGTTACAATTGTGTTGGGGATGTTAGATCCCCAAAATTCGCTTGATAATGCCGTATTTTGGTTTTCACGTTTTGCCAGCATGGGCTGATCAGATGACCTTGAGATTTCAATTCCCACCAGGAAAATCCATGGCTGTCATTGGCTGCTGTGTATTTTAGTATGCTATTTTCTTAACTGTCTCAAGGACGTTCTTGTGTTGTATAAATAAACGAGAGTTGTATGCTTGATTGTACTGTGATTGCTGGGTGTTTGTAGAATATAATTTCTACGCTTACAAAGCCTTTTCACTTCAGCCTCGGATTCAAGGTAGCCTCCCTGGAAGCTGGTAAAAGTCTCGTTCGTGTTTATCGACTAAGGTAAACTCGTAACAGCCTCAAGCATACTAAGTGACGAACTTATCAAATTGTATATTTCCTATACCTTTAGATTCATACACCACTTAATAATTCTGCGTCTCAGGAACGCGCATACAAGATCCGAGCGAAATCATCGATTTGATTTTACCTAGTGCAGATAGAGACACAACATGGTTTACACTTCGTGTCTCAGGTAACCCTGATGCTGCTTCCAGGGGTATGTATAGTATCAAGTCGTCGGGAAGAACAAGCTCTCTTAGAGTGGATCCCAGGACAGTGTCAATTATGCGCTGTCCAACTAAACGGGACGGGACGGACTCCGAAGGATAGGGACACTCGCCGATGCCTCTTCGTCGACTCTGCCTACGTTCCCACTGAATGCAGTTCAGACGAGGTGGAAGTTAAGCCTTCGAACCTCCTTCAAAACGTTAGGCGCTCTGATATAGTAATAATGGCGGACGACTTTATTACTCAAGTAGGTAGGCATAAGGAAAAACATCTGTTGACCTGGCGACCACCAGTCGTCCCAACGATAGACCCAACCAGATCACATCGCCGACAGCCACCGATGGAGGGGTTCGATAGAGGACTGTCGCTCGTTCTGGGTCACATGTTTAGATTCAGATTATGCCCTAGTGCGAGCGAGCATCTGATTGCGACTTACTGGACGTAGGAAAGACACCATAAGGAAGCCTCTTAGGGTTTCGCTTAATGATAATAAAGCTAAGAATATATTTCAGGAGCAACTAGAAAGAGAGTTAGGCAACCATGTAAGCGATTCCCATCCAGAAGCAGGTTGGTATGATATCAAAAAGGCTGTGGAAACAGCAGTGATATCTACTAGTAAGGTAAACCATAAGGCTAGAATGAAGCCGTGGATCTCAGTAGCATCCACCGAACTGATGGATGCTCAAAAACTCATCCCACCTGGCTCTGAACATGATGAAGAACGAAGTCAGCTTAAACAGAGGCTCATAAAAAGCCTGCGGAACGACCGAGCACAGTGGGGAGTGGAGGAAGCAAAAGCGATGGAAAAGGCAGCGGCGATCGGCAACAGTAGACGACTTTTCCGACTTATCAAGGAAACTGGTATTAGGAATACTACTGTAAGTGTGACTATCTCGGAAAAGGATGGTCTTATTATCCATTCTCAATCCAAGAGATTGGATCGATAGGCAGAACACTTCAGGGATCAGTTCAACTGGCCTCGAACCACTCTTCGGTTACCCACGATCTTAGGTCATCATGAATAGAAAATCGACGACCCTAGTCTTCATGAAGTTGATAAACAGTTAGGAAATCTGAAGCGAGGGCGAGATGCAGGTCCTGAAAGACTGACCCCTGAGATATTTAAGGATGGTGGTCCAGGGTTAGCAACTAGGTTGACTGAGATCTTAAGTAGAATCTGGAAACTGGACATAATCCCATCCGACTGGTCTCAATCACTGATTGTCCCAATCTATAAGAAAGGACAAAAGTCTTCTTGTGACAATCACAGGGGAATAAGTTTAACTAATATAGTATCGAAAATATTGGCCTCAATAATACTTCGACGCTTAACGAAAACTCGTGAAGAGCACACTAGAGAAAACCAGGTTGGTTTCAGACCTGGACGTGGTTGTATAGACCACATCTTCACACTACGACAGGTCCTGGGACACAGGCACACATTTAGACGTCCGACAATAGTTGTTTTCCTGGAACTAAAAGCCGCATTCGACTCAGTGGATCGTGAGTTTCTGCAGCAGTGTCTGTCATAGAAAGGTGTACCAAAGAATTACATTGACCTTATACAAGCTCTCTAATCGAACACCACTAGTCGAGTGAGAGCTTATGGCGAACTGTCAACGGAATTCTCTACATCTAGTCGTGTCCGTCAGGGATGTTCACTCTCTCCATTTTTGTTTAATTTTATCATAGACATGCTCTTAGAAATAACCTTATCCTCGTCTGAATTTTCAGGAGCAGACCTTCTACCAAGTGGCTCGCTTATTGACTTAGAATATGCCGGTGACATAGTCCTACTTGGTGAAGGCGCTGACAAAGTGCAGTCTTCTAACTACCCTAAGCAACAATGCAAGCATGTTCGGGATGCGGTATTCCCGCTCGAAATGCAAAATATTGCTTCAAGACTGGGTTGCATCGGCACCTGAACTAGGGATAGGGAGTGAAGTAGTCGAGCGTGTAGACCGCATCACTTATCTTGGGAGTCGCATCAGTGCTGATGGCCTCAGCACGGATACAGAAGGCTCGAATGGCTTTTGCCAACCTGCGCCACTTATGGCGTAGGCGAGATATCCATTTGCTGACTAAAGGACGAGTCTACTATCTAGCAGTTCACTTCATCCTACTTTATGGATGCGAAACATGGCCCGTAAGAGTTGAGGATATTTGTAGGTTACTGGTATCGTGGGACGACCGAGTAAGCAATGCTGTAGTTAGGAAACGGGAGATTTATTAGTTGACTTAGAATATGCGGTGTCCAGGCCAAAACATGGCACAAATCCATCAGGAGACTGACAAGTGGACTGAGCCATGTCGGTAAGTGTCGATTACGTATTTGGGGTCCGCGAGATGATAGTAATCGACGGTTAGAGACCTTGAATGTCATGGCACAAAATCGTTTTCAATGGCGCATGTGCGTTAATTCTTTGCGTTCTCTCAAATCCTAAACTTCTCAATTCATCACTTTATCATTTTCTTTTTAGTTTATTTCACTAGATTCTAGTTTTTGTCTAATATATTCGAACTATAATCTCTCCGATTACTGCTAACATTTTTACATAATGGCAAGTATGATAGTTCAAGTTAACAAAGAAGTTATTTGTCTATATTATTGTGGACTGTTACCTATGATCAAAAAACAGGCAATAAACTACAGATAAAACTACATACTGAAAGAATACTTCTTCCATAGTTGTAACAGATACACCAAAACTTGAAATGCCCAAATTAGTTTTATTTGATTCCAAATTTTCAAACAGATTAGCAAATTTATCGATCGATTCTAATGGTAGTAGTATGCGGATTTCTTCACCATAATCACTACGTATGAATGCATTAGGGATGTAACGATTAACTTGTTGTAATACATATTCAGATGAACAAGTGGATTCTTTATTGATAGACAGTAAATAACTGGCACCTGAAACGTGATAGAATTCAAAGTAAAAAAAAGTTACAGAAATAGAGACGTGATAAAAAGTGATAGTGTTTTTTCATTTCCATGTCGTTATACTTAGTTTATACAGCATTGATCTTGAACCAGTTTATGTTCTCCGGTTGCAACCACGAACTTCGGTGTGACTAATACTGATAACTGCTGGGTCTTCAAAGTACGTAGGTGTTAAAAGGAACAAAAGTGTAACTTATTAACCGAAAACGACCATTTCCGTTACTAAATTACTTTTCTAAAGCTTTAGCGATCGAATGAAAACCAACATCTTTTGGTACGGCAAGTTCACCAACAATAGTAAAGGTTTTGGGAAAAATCAAAGAAGCAAAGATAAAAAGTAGACATGCTTAACTAATGAGATTTAAAAGTGGAAGTTAAGGAGATGTTGATCGAAAAAGCCATGTCTGAACTGATTAAAATTATTAAATTACATTGCAATTCTAAAATTTTTCGTAAACCATCCGCTAAATATGTAGTCTCATCAGACAAAAGTAATAAAAACCTAAACAATTTAGTGAATAAAAGAAGTGCAGATTTTTATTCCGTTTATAGCCTTCGAAATATTGACTGCCATCAGAAACCTGAGATCATGCTCCGAAATAAGCTACTTGGAATGACGAAATACAGACTGTCTTACAATGAAAACGATCAGTTTGTGTTGACAGTTGTGTTATCACAATCGATTGGTAATGACATCACATGTAAGATTTTGGATGAAAAGGAAAGTCTAGTTACTTTCAAATTTGAGTCAGCTGAAATAGTTAAAGTATATTTATATTGACGTCTATTGTATATTTCAACTTACATCAAAAAATAAACGAATGAAACTAAATCTCCTTTCGTAGTCATTTAAAATTTCTGATGTTTTTGATGACTATATTGCCGTTACGTCGATTTAAAATTTCAAAGACTTTTGCCATAGGAATGATGCACATTCTATAAAATTAATCCTTAGAACACATTTCATCTATCCTAATACACTCATTTTATCTTTCCAGGCAACTCTATTCTTGATATTCAGTATTATTCATCTGGTTTATCAGTCAGTCAGTTACAACGTAGAACTACGTACGTACGTACATCAGTTCATGATGCTAAACAACATTAGCACAGAGACGCAACTGTCAGTTCAAATCTCATAGTGATAGAAATAGTAGAAGTATTAGCGGAAATGAAGAAGATTAGGGTTCAAAGAAATTATTCAAGAAATACCATTCAGTCGAGGAAATTTAAAAAGGAGACAGACAGAGGTGATGAGGAATACAAAGGATTATGATTTGAGAGAAAACAGAAATCGGATGTATCTGCGCCATTGCAATCGATTTTGAGCCTTTTCAATCAAGATCTCTAATCATCGGTCACTATCATCTCGCAGACCCCAACCAAGTAGCTTTCACCTACCAACATGACTCAGTCCACTTGTCAGTTTCCTGATGGATTTGTGCCATGATTTTGGTTTGGACGCCTTTGGCTTTCTTCTAACCTACTCCCTTACCACAAAACATCACTCATCAAGGCAGTCGGTGGTTGGGCATTCGTAACACATGTCGCAACCACGTCAACTGATGAAGTTTCAATACTTCATCTATTGATTTGCCATCCTTACCTAGTACTAGTTTCCTAACACCAACACTGCTTACTGGATGGTCCCACGATATACGAGCAATGCTCGAAGACACCTATGATCGACTACTATTCACCTGCAAATATCTTCTACTCTTAATAGTAACCTACGAACATCTACTCTTAACGGCCTTGTTTCGCATCTATATAGGAGAACGGAGCGAACTGCTGCTCAGTACACCCGTCCTTTGGTTAGCGAACGGATATCTCGCCTACACCGTAAGTGACGCAAGTTCCCAAAAACAGGTCGAATCTTCTGTATCCACACTGAGATTTTGTCACAAACCAGACCATCGGCACTGATGAGACTTCCAATACAAGTAGAACGGTCGACACGCGCCACTGCTTCACTCCCTATCACTAGTTCAGGTACTGATGCAACCCAATCTCGAAGCAACACTTTGCATTTCGAAGAGGAAAACCGCATTCCGGGCATGCTTGCATTGTTGCCTAGGTTAGTCAGAAGACTTTGCATTTTTTCAGCGTCATCATCAAGTAGAAATATGTCATCGACATATTCTAAGTCAACAAACGATTTTCCTGGTAGAAGGTCCAACCCTTAAAAGTCATACGAAGATACTATTAACTACACAAGTACGTCTATGACAAAGTTAAACAAGAATGGAGAAAGTGGACATCCCTGACTCCCACCACTTGAAGTAAAGAATTCCTATGACAGTTCGCTATAAGCTCAAACTCGACCAGTAGTGTTCAAGTAGAGAGTTTGTATAAGGGTAATGTACTCTTCTGGTATACTATTTAAAGAAAAACAATGCCATAGAACCTCACGATTGACAGAGTCGAACGCCTGCTTTAGGTCGAGAAATACTACTATTGTGGGGCGTCTAAACGTGTGTCTATGTTGTAGGACCTGACGTAGTGTGAATATCTGGATAGATCACGATCCTTAAAAATCTCAGAGATTAGCCTGCCAGGACTCACCGCTCTTCCTCGCTTTGGGATTTCCTATAGCTCTTTCAACTTCATAAAGACGTGGAGGACTTACATCGACTTGCCATTCAGGATGACTGAAGATCGTGGGCGACCGAAATGTGACTGAGGAATAATTGAACTGACCCCTGACGTGTTCTGCCCATCGACACAATCTCCTGGTGTGAAAACATAATAACACCATCCTTTTCCGAAATATTCTCACTCACATTCGGATTCCTAGTGCCGGTCTCCTTGATAAGGCGGAACGGTTGTCTGCTTTTACCTATCATCACTGCTTTTTCCTTCGGTTTTGCATATCGTTCCAAGCGGCCTCGATGTGGGAATCACGTACATAGCCAGCAATCTGTTTTTCTAGTCGTTCCTGAAATATATTCTTAGATGTCCTATCATTAAGTAAAACCCGAATAGGTTTCCTTGTGGTGTCTTTCCTACGTCCAGTAAGTCGCAAACAAATATGCGCTTGCACTAGAGCGTGGTCTGAATCTAAATATGTGCTCCAGAACGAGCAACAGTCCTGTAACGAACCCCTCCATCGGTGGCTGATGGCGATGTGACCTATTTGTGTCCAGCATCGGGACGACTTCGGAGGTCGCCATGTCAAACGATGTTTTTCCTTATGCTTAAAGTTAGTGTTTACTAGAAATAGGCGGTAATCTGAGCATGGTTGCAGTAGATGGTCGCCATTATCTGTTCGATCGGCCGCGACTCCAATGAACTGCAGCCAGTGGGCACGAGGACGCAGCGGCGAGTGTCTCTATCTTTCCGAGTCCTTACTGTCTCGTTAGGTCGGACGGCGCACAGTTGACTATCTACTGGGATCCAGTCTGGGAGAGCTAGTGCTGCCCTAGGACTTAATACTATACCTACACCAGAGAGGCTACGGGAAGCAGCAACAGGGCCTCCAAATTTATGAAGAGTAGACCGAGTTGACTATCTATCTGCACAAGGTGAAATCAAGTTAATGATTTTGCTCAGATCCTGTATGCACGTTTCCGAGACGCAGCATACATCGATGGCACTAGATTCCAGAGTCCTAGCTAATGATGCCTGATGCCCTATTTGACACAAGGTTCGAACACTAAAAGCTCCAACATGTAGTTTAAAACGGAGTTTCAGGAAACCGGGAGTAATATTTCGGGAACTCGAATCGTTCGTATCCGTGGTGCAGGGTGATAAAGGAATGTGAGAAGGGTTAGTCGTTGAGATAAGAGGGATGTTAGGGGGTGTAGGAAGGATTTGACCATGTCCAATTCATTCTTGTCTTCTGTTACGAGTATGTGGGCGGATGCCACTTTCCAGCTGCCTAAACCGTGGGTGTTTCTTGAGAAACCTGAAAACGAAGATAGATAAGTGTTGGTCTTTGAGACCTGAGAGCGTGACCACAGACTCAAGGGGACAACTGAATTGTGACAGACATATTTAATTATTTAAAATGAATATGTTCACCAAAGGTTCATATCACTTTGAAATGATAGTACTTAGCGTTAAAAAATGAAGATTACAAAGAAAAGCAAAGTGATTTAACGTACCATATTTTGATTTCAAGAATAACGGTGATCCGAAACATTTGAGTTCACCACCAGCCATGATCGCGATGCGGTCACCTAAATGGTCAGCTTCATCCATGTAGTGTGTTGTAACTATGATTGTTTTCTGTTGACGTTCGGCTTGTAGTATGTCCCAAACTTGACGACGCGCTTCAGGATCCAATCCTGAGGTAGGTTCATCAAATATAAGAACCTGAAATACAATATAATTAGCAGTAGCGACAGCTAACTATACGACAAAGCTAAAAACTGGTTAACCGTTTATGTAATGCTGATAAGAACTACATTGATATTGATATTTTAGATGCAATGATCTATACGTTATATAGATAAAAATATTGTTAAAACATTATCGAAAAAATTTATTAAAACAGTTATAGTTACTCTAACACAAGAAATATATACAACGAAACACCAAGAAATACTTTATATCGTCACGCTTGTTGAGGTGACTTTTAACAGACAAATAAAAATCACAATGAACTTTTAACAAACAACGGCACCAAAATGGACCGACTTAATTCCTGTGAAATATTTTTTAAAGCTAGATTCAATGGTAAGAGATGATGACTGTATCCGGAATGACAATGAGAGCTCAAATAACCGATTACGACCAAAAGCAATTGATAATCTGGATTTTGGAAAATACATTGCTACTTAGGTGATGAATGAAACTTTTAGTGTTTTTGGTTCAACTTACACTGGATTTTCTCGGTCATTTAGAGTATTCATAGAATTTACCTCTATTTTTCGATCTATTATGAAATCGAATGAATTGAGAAGCTAGTTATACAGTTATCTACAGATTTTGAAAGTAAATCGATAAAATCCCTATTTTCTTGCCATAAATTATTCAATGCTTTATGTACTATTATAAGTCAAACATATGAAAATAAATAAATCTAGTGATGAAAAACAAGCTAAATATGTTCAATTAATAAATCGTTTATTAGTGAGTTGTTTTGTGGAGATTATTTCAATTTGTGAATAATGTTCGTCCCAGATTGATATCAGAGTGCTACTAAAAACCACTATTCTGTCCTAATACGTGACTCATCATGACTGCACACTGACGAATATTTCAAGAATTCAGGCTGAAGCATTCAAATTTTGTTGACAGCTCTTTACCCTGGGAACATTGAGCTCAAGAACCAATAGTTTACATTTGTTTAGTCGATGATATCGAAAATACGACGAAAAAATGTACGAAATACAGAATAGCATAACAGCTCAAAATACACTATTTCTAATATTTAAGCCATTCACATAAAAAATAAACTGCATCAGCGACATATCGAATACAAATTACTTTAGAATCACCTATCAGGGCCATTCCAATAGATAATCTACGTTTCATTCCACCAGATAATGTTTTTGAATACTCCCTTTTCTTGTCAAGTAAGTATATCTTTCTCAACGTACTTTCTACTTGTTGTTTGATAGTGGAACTATCACAACGTTTGAGCTAGAAAAGAACAAACAGTATACGCGAAAACATCATTGATATCAAACTCACTATCTTCAGTGCATAGAGTATGAAGTAAGTAGCGTTATTCACTAAACACAGTAGGTCAACACATGTGAGCTTCGTTGAATTTAAAGAGGAAAAAAATGGATATGACAGGAATTTCTGCCGTATCATTAGAAGAAAATTTCAATTCACATTGCTGCCTTCTCACAAGGAAGGAAGGGGCTGAAAAAAGACGGCACTAAAAATGTCAAATCTCACCTTACGTCACCTTTCCGTCGGTAAGGCCTTTTAAAAAGGACGGAGCAAACCCTTTAGAAACCCATAAAAGGGTCGTGCTTGACCGGCCTCAAGAAGTTGTCCCCTTGAGTCTGTGGTCACGCTCTCAGGTCTCAAAGACCAACACTTATCTATCTTCGTTTTCAGGTTTCTCAAGAAACACCCACGGTTTAGGCAGCTGGAAAGTGGCATCCGCCCACATACTCGTAACAGAAGACAAGAATGAATTGGACATGGTCAAATCCTTCCTACACCCCCTAACATCCCTCTTATCTCAACGACTAACCCTTCTCACATTCCTTTATCACCCTGCACCACGGATACGAACGATTCGAGTTCCCGAAATATTACTCCCGGTTTCCTGAAACTCCGTTTTAAACTACATGTTGGAGCTTTTAGTGTTCGAACCTTGTGTCAAATAGGGCATCAGGCATCATTAGCTAGGACTCTGGAATCTAGTGCCATCGATGTATGCTGCGTCTCGGAAACGTGCATACAGGATCTGAGCAAAATCATTAACTTGATTTCACCTTGTGCAGATAGATAGTCAACTCGGTCTACTCTTCATAAATTTGGAGGCCCTGTTGCTGCTTCCCGTAGCCTCTCTGGTGTAGGTATAGTATTAAGTCCTAGGGCAGCACTAGCTCTCCCAGACTGGATCCCAGTAGATAGTCAACTGTGCGCCGTCCGACCTAACGAGACAGTAAGGACTCGGAAAGATAGAGACACTCGCCGCTGCGTCCTCGTGCCCACTGGCTGCAGTTCATTGGAGTCGCGGCCGATCGAACAGATAATGGCGACCATCTACTGCAACCATGCTCAGATTACCGCCTATTTCTAGTAAACACTAACTTTAAGCATAAGGAAAAACATCGTTTGACATGGCGACCTCCGAAGTCGTCCCGATGCTGGACACAAATAGGTCACATCGCCATCAGCCACCGATGGAGGGGTTCGTTACAGGACTGTTGCTCGTTCTGGAGCACATATTTAGATTCAGACCACGCTCTAGTGCAAGCGCATATTTGTTTGCGACTTACTGGACGTAGGAAAGACACCACAAGGAAACCTATTCGGGTTTTACTTAATGATAGGACATCTAAGAATATATTTCAGGAACGACTAGAAAAACAGATTGCTGGCTATGTACGTGATTCCCACATCGAGGCCGCTTGGAACGATATGCAAAACCGAAGGAAAAAGCAGTGATGATAGGTAAAAGCAGACAACCGTTCCGCCTTATCAAGGAGACCGGCACTAGGAATCCGAATGTGAGTGAGAATATTTCGGAAAAGGATGGTGTTATTATGTTTTCACACCAGGAGATTGTGTCGATGGGCAGAACACGTCAGGGGTCAGTTCAATTATTCCTCAGTCACATTTCGGTCGCCCACGATCTTCAGTCATCCTGAATGGCAAGTCGATGTAAGTCCTCCACGTCTTTATGAAGTTGAAAGAGCTATAGGAAATCCCAAAGCGAGGAAGAGCGGTGAGTCCTGGCAGGCTAATCTCTGAGATTTTTAAGGATCGTGATCTATCCAGATATTCACACTACGTCAGGTCCTACAACATAGACACACGTTTAGACGCCCCACAATAGTAGTATTTCTCGACCTTAAGCGGCGTTCGACTCTGTCAATCGTGAGGTTCTATGGCATTGTTTTTCTTTAAATAGTATACCAGAAGAGTACATTACCCTTATACAAACTCTCTACTTGAACACTACTGGTCGAGTTTGAGCTTATAGCGAACTGTCATAGGAATTCTTTACTTCAAGTGGTGGGAGTCAGGGATGTCCACTTTCTCCATTCTTGTTTAACTTTGTCATAGACGTACTTGTGTAGTTAATAGTATCTTCGTATGACTTTTAAGGGTTGGACCTTCTACCAGGAAAATCGTTTGTTGACTTAGAATATGTCGATGACATATTTCTACTTGATGATGACGCTGAAAAAATGCAAAGTCTTCTGACTAACCTAGGCAACAATGCAAGCATGCCCGGAATGCGGTTTTCCTCTTCGAAATGCAAAGTGTTGCTTCGAGATTGGGTTGCATCAGTACCTGAACTAGTGATAGGGAGTGAAGCAGTGGCGCGTGTCGACCGTTCTACTTGTATTGGAAGTCTCATCAGTGCCGATGGTCTGGTTTGTGACAAAATCTCAGTGTGGATACAGAAGATTCGACCTGTTTTTGGGAACTTGCGTCACTTACGGTGTAGGCGAGATATCCGTTCGCTAACCAAAGGACGGGTGTACTGAGCAGCAGTTCGCTCCGTTCTCCTATATAGATGCGAAACAAGGCCGTTAAGAGTAGATGTTCGTAGGTTACTATTAAGAGTAGAAGATATTTGCAGGTGACTAGTAGTCGATCATAGGTGTCTTCAGAGCATTGCTCGTATATCGTGGGACCATCCAGTAAGCAGTGTTGGTGTTAGGAAACTAGTACTAGGTAGGGATGGCAAATCAATAGATGAAGTATTGAAACTTCATCATTTGAGGTGGTTGCGACATGTGTTACGAATGCCCAACCACCGACTGCCTTGATGAGTGATGTTTTGTGGTAAGGGAGTAGGTTAGAAGAAAGCCAAAGGCGTCCAAACCAAAATCATGGCACAAATCCATCAGGAAACTGACAAGTGGACTGAGTCATGTTGGTAAGTGTAAGCTACTTGGTTGGGGTCGGCGAGATGTTACTAATTGATGGTTAGAGACCTTGAATGACATGGCTCAAAATCGTTTGCAAAGGCGCAGGCACATCCGATTTCTGTTTTCTCTCAAATCATAATCCTTTGTATTCCTCATCACCTCTGTCTGTCTCCTTTTTAAATTTCCTCGACTGAATGGTATTTCTTGAATAATTTCTTTGAACCCTAATCTTCTTCATTTCCGCTAATACTTCTACTATTTCTATCACTATGAGATTTGAACTGACAGTTGCGTCTCTGTGCTAATGTTGTTTAGCATCATGAACTGATGTACGTACGTACGTAGTTCTACGTTGTAACTGACTGACTGATAAACCAGATGAATAATACTGAATATCAAGAATAGAGTTGCCTGGAAAGATAAAATGAGTGTATTAGGATAGATGAAATGTGTTCTAAGGATTAATTTTATAGAATGTGCATCATTCCTATGGCAAAAGTCTTTGAAATTTTAAATCGACGTAACGGCAATATAGTCATCAAAAACATCAGAAATTTTAAATGACTACGAAAGGAGATTTAGTTTCATTCGTTTATTTTTTGATGTAAGTTGAAATATACAATAGACGTCAATATAAATATACTTTAACTATTTCAGCTGACTCAAATTTGAAAGTAACTAGACTTTCCTTTTCATCCAAAATCTTACATGTGATGTCATTATCAATTGATAGTTATCATTTCATTTGCTTCTGAAATTATGAATCGAAAGTGTGTTGATTTACACAGGAATACTGACAGTGTAATAATGGTTGATAAACCACTAATAGAGACGACAAATTATCGATGAAATAGACATGCAGTAGAAATCGTAACGTACATTAGCCAGCCAAATTGTGATGAAATATTATTTAAATCATTAAAAATATATTCGGAAAATAAGTGAACTGCTTGGCGAAAAAAAGTAGCGAATCATAGAGAGAAAAATATCACAGTGGTAGGTGTTTTTATTGCAACAAAACTGCTTACGTGAGCAAACAGATAAAGATGTTCCTCCACAGTTAATGTATCATATAAGACGTCTTGTTGTGAACAAAAACCAAGATTTCCATGAACACCTTCTATATCATTACGAATATCATGGCCATATATATAAGCTGTACCAGAAGTGGGTGGATATAAACCTGTATGAGATATAAAATAAAAATTAAAAAGAATTTACATAAATAGCCGTTCTATCCGTTGGTTGATGAAAACTGTACAATCACAGTCACTGTGCCGGTTTAAGTGAAGAAATATCTCCACTACAGGTTCACAAACGGATTAGGAAGCCAGATATATCCACACCTAAGGGGATGCCGTACATACAGGTTATTTCCAAACTTAATTATAGGGAATATATTATTTTGCCTGATAACATACAAACTGCTCTTAGTGCAATCAATCACTTCACACCTAAGTGTAAATTATGTTTGGTAGTATATTTACGGAAATTAGTTTATTCGTGGTCATTAAGAATTTATGACCACTTGATAAAGAATAACTTTAAACCATCAAACTTTTGTGAAATTGCAGTTAGCCGGTATTAATCAATGCAGAACCTGCCACAAATGTGTACTGACCTTAGTCGTCACATCATACCACAGCGAGATTAAATTAGTAAGTTATATTTTAGAGTAGCTGTTATAGTAATATCAATAATAGTCAGGCTAATCACAGAATATATAGATCGAAAAGGACTAAAGCGATGGAATAAGAAGTGTGAAATAATGAGGGGAAGAAAGAAATGAATGTATCTGCTCAAATGTGATCAATTTCAAAACATATCACCTAGGGTCTCCAACCACTGATAAGGATGATTGAGCGGAGCTGAACCGGGTAATTTACACTTACGGACACGGTTTGGATCAACAGTCAATGACGTTTTGTGCTAAAGCTTCCGCGTAAAGAGAATGTACAAAAACCCATCATCATGTAGCCTCACAGCAAAATTTTACTGCGTATAACGTCTTTATTTAAATTAGGATGACATTAAACATATCGTTTGTGCTGGCTTATGGTTACGTCTGTGGGACTTATAACAACATAACGGTAAATATCTTATGGTTTTATGTTTTTTGTCATAGTGGAGATGGTTTAATAAGTGACATCATCGTAAAACATTTATTTCAGTAAACTGGGGGAGTTTCACACACACCAAACTGACAGCTTATTGGCACTAGCTTTGGTTGGAATAGATTCACTTGTTTGAAGAATAAAACCTTTGGAAAAGTCTCATAAAGCATCAATTAAGTGATGACAATCTCCTAGATACATCTGACCATTTTTTTAGTTAATAGTAGTGAAGAAGTTTGTGGCTAGTTTATCCTCAGGAATAGTTTAAATCAGTGCTTTAGCAAAAATTAATTGTATAAAATATCTTTAAATATCTGAAAACTATATTGCAAAATGTCACCTACAATCAACTTAGAATCATTATGCAGAGATGTGGAAGAAATGGTAGCGAATATGATCTGCAAGAAATGGTTAATAAGTAATGAATGACAGGAATGAATAAGAAAATAAGTTTGCTTGTTAGCCGAGAACATATACCGTAACTATACCCTCCATGAGATAAATACCTGAACAACCCGAGAATACAGTTTATGGCCGTAGCGCATAATAGCAGGTTTAAACGCACACACATGAAATAGATTGAGGGAACATTGTCTATGACATCTAAATACTTAAATTGCTTATTAGTAGTATATAGTATGAACTAGTCACCTTAGAAACATTTCTAACAATAATTTGCACTAGAACAAACAAATAGTTGAACTGATGCTTATTGCGGAATATATTAAAACATTATACCATAATTATTTACCCGTTAGTATTGATAGCGTTGTAGTTTTACCAGCTCCATTATGCCCTAGAAGTATAGTTATTTGACCTTCATAAATGTTCATTGTTAAACCAGACACAGCGACAACCGTAGACTGTTTGTTAGAATAGACCTATGCAAAAATAATTTAGTCGTTAATTATAACAGAAAAAGATTAATATCTCAAGGAATAAATAGTTATGTTATCTTGTTCAGAGAATGAAAGACATAATAAGCATATAGGTCAGATTCATTAAAGTAAGAATGTATGCCTGCTAAAACCTACTTGTAAATAAAACTCAACAATCACTGCAAACAAATTAGCATACTTATTTATACGGCATACTTGTTTATTGCACGAGAGCTATGAATGTTAGGCCTGAATAGATAGAATGGCGTTTGATTCTTTAAAGGTCAAATACCTACATAATCGTGTTATTACTATTTTCATTTAATCAATCAAGAGCAAGGTAGAACTTCATAGGCACGTACGTACTTCAGTTCATGTTGACATACCACATTAGCACAGAAATGTGATTGTCAATTCAAATCCTAAAGCAGTAGAGGTATTAGCAGTAATCAGAGAGATTAGGGTACGAAGAAAATATTCAAGGAGTAGAATTCAGAGGGTAGATTTAGAAAGAGAAAGACAGAGGTAAAGAGGAATTCATAAGGTTAGGATTTGAGAGAACAAAAAGAATAAATGCACCCGCGCCATAGCAAACGGTTTTAAGCCATGTCATTCAGGCTCTCTAACCATCGATTATTATAATCTCGCGGACCCCAACTAGGTAGCCAACACCTACTGACATTACTTAGTCCACTTGTCAGTGACTGTGATTGTCACAAGAAAACTTTTACCCTTACTTATAAGTTGGTACAATCAAAGATTGAGACCAGTCGGATGGGATTACTTTTAGTTCCAGCTAAGATCTTAATCAATCTAACTGGTAAAACTAGACCATCATCCATAAGAGTCTCAGAAGTCAATCTATCAGGAGCCGCTGCTCTCCATCGCTTCATATTTCCTAACGTTTTATCAACTTTACAAAGAGTCGGAGAACTTACATCTATTTGCCATTCAGGATGGTTGGAGACAGTGGCTGAGGACTAACTGAAATGATCCCTGAAGTGTTCTGCCCATCGATTGAAAACAAATAATAACACCATTTTGTCCGAAATATTCTCACTTACATTCGAGTTCCTAAAAGCGGTTTCCTTGATGAGGCGGAACAGTTGTATACTGTTGCCTATCGCTGCCGCCTTTTACATCTACATCGCTTTCGCTACTTACTACAGTTCACGATCATTGCGTAGGCTTTATATCAGCCTGAGCTTAGCTAGTGCCGCTCCTCATCGCACTCCAAGCCAAGCGGGATGAGCTTTCGAGCATCCATCAGTTTGGTGAATGCTACTGAGATCCACAGCTCCTTCCCAACCTTATGGTTTACGTTAAAGCAGATATCACTGCTGTTTTCACGGCGTTTTTGATATCATTTCAAGCTGCCTCAGGGTGAGCATCATTTACTACATGGCTGCCTAACTGTTTATCTAGTTGTTCCTGAAATATATTAATAGCTTTATTATCATTAAGTGGAGCCCTAAGAGGTTTTCTTGAGATATTTTTTCTGCGTCCAGTAAGACGCAACCAAATACGCGCTCGCGCTAGAGCATGGTCTGAGTCCGGACGAGTGCTCCAAAATGAGCGGCCATCTTCAACAAAACCTCTCCACCGATGGCTAACAGCGATGTAATCTAGTTGGGTCTATCGTTGGGACGACTTTGGTGGTCGCCAAGTCAAAAGGTGTTTTTCCTTATGCTTCAAGTTGGTGCTTGCTAGAAATAGGCGGTTATTTGAGCATATCTGCAGCAGACGGTCGCCATCATCTGTCCTCCGAGCGGCGACACCATAAGATCCAACCAGGTGTCTTTCCTTTTCGCTGATTCTACCTCAGTTAGTCAGATGCAACGTAGAACTTGGTACGTAAGTACATCAGTTCATGTTGCCATACCACATTAGCACAGAGATGTAATTGTCAATTCAAACCCAATAGTAGAAGAGGTAGTAAAGGTATTAGAAGTAATCAGAGAGTTTAGGATTAGAAGATATTATTTAAGATGTATGATTCAAAGAGATAAGTTTAGAAAGACAAAGCCAGATGTGTTGAAGAATACAGAAGATTAGGATTTGAGCGAACACAAAGAATAAATGCACCAGCGCTAATGCGAACGATTGTGAGCCATGTCATTCAAGGTCTCTAACCATCGATTATTATCATCTCGCGGACCCCAACCAGGTAGTCGACATCTACGGGCATGAATCTGTCCACTTGTCAATGACTTCATTGATTTCTGCCATGTTTTGGTCTGGCCGCCCCTAGCTTTCTTCCAACCTATTCCTACACTACAAAACATAGCTCGTCGAGGCAGTCGGTTGTTAAGCATACGCAGCACATGTCCGAACCACCTCAACTAATGAATTTTCATTACTTCATCTATTGATGTGCCATTCTTACTCGGTCGTCCCACGATACCAGTAACCTACAAATATCCTCAACTCTTACGGGCCATGTTTCGCATCCATAAAGTAGGATGAAGTGAACTGCTAGATAGTAGACTCGTCCTTTAGTCAGCAAATGGATATCTCGCCTACGCCATAAGTGGCGCAGGTTGGCAAAAGCCATTCGAGCCTTCTGTATCCGTGCTGAGGCCATCAGCACTGATGCGACTCCCAAGATAAGTGATGCGGTCTACACGCTCGACTACTTCACTCCCTATCCCTAGTTCAGGTGCCGATGCAACCCAGTCTTGAAGCAATATTTTGCATTTCGAGCGGGAATACCGCATCCCGAACATGCTTGCATTGTTGCTTAGGGTAGTTAGAAGACTGCACTTTGTCAGCGCCTTCACCAAGTAGGACTATGTCACCGGCATATTCTAAGTCAATAAGCGAGCCACTTGGTAGAAGGTTTACTCCTGAAAATTCAGACGAGGATAAGGTTATTTCTAAGAGCATGTCTATGATAAAACTATACAGGAACGGAGAAAGTGGACATCCCTGACGGACAAGACTTGAAGTAAAGAATTCCGATGACAGTTCGCCATAAGCTCTCACTCGACTAGTGGTGTTCGATTAGATAGCTTGTATAAGGTCAATGTAAATCTTTGGTACACCTTTCTATGACAGACACTGCTGCAGAAACTCACGATCCACTGAGTCGAATGCGGCTTTTAGGTAACTAAATGGATTTTACTTCGTAAAGTAGAGCCTGAGCGATCGACATATGAAAGTTAATTGTGGATATTCGGTAACGTTGCCATAATAAACTAACTACAAAGACATAACATATTAGTATTAATATTATGACAGTATTATGATTACTTTACGTAGTTGATGGATCGCAATTCCAACCCGCAAACCAGTAGGTTCGTCCTCGAAGTGTTTATGCTGGGCGAAATCTTCACTTGGTGCAGATAGTTGTTCAAGAGTGCCATAACCATCATCGTTACGCTTCCGTAAGGATTCGTTTTTCTCAGAAAATGGATCTGATAGGACAAACTCTGTATCATTAGTGTTTATTTGTTGGCTGGTTCTCAACTGTTGATTTCCACTATCAGTATTCGGTACAGAGAGTAATCCTGTTGTTTCTGTTACATTTCTTGTCAGCTCATTCGATTGTAGACTGTCCACCGGAACTTCCAAAGTTAGTTTACGCCGATATAAACACTGAAAAACATTGCACAAACAATACAGCATTAGTATAGGAGGTTTGTGGAGATAGCAATATTTTCACAATTTAAATCGAGAAATGATCTTAGCTAGACCACCATTGAAACCTAGAAGCATTGGACAGTCGTTTTTGTCCCAGTATAAGACTACTCAGAAGTGCTCACCCACGATCTCACACACGACAATCGAACACAATGCCTTTGGTCTCTCTTAAAAACGCCTATCATCTAGACCGCCGAGCCGGCCTTTAACGGTGTTAGTGTTTAACTTGAATCAGTCTATGACACTGATTGTATTCGGTGGGCGATTGACTTACGTCCAACACGGTTTAGCTGTTCAATTAGGCTACCATGAGAAAATGCTAGAGAACAAAAAACTGAATAACCGTTACGTTTTGATATGAAGGCCGTAAACCAGATCAAGAAACTCCCTGTATATAGAGTACAGACTAGTAAGTACACAAAACAAGGACATAACCCTGTTGTTTTCGAACCAATCAGTTAGAGTAAAATGCTAGAGGACCTTAAGACTAGTTAATCCGTGGTGCTCAGTTCTGTATTTCAGTTTCAAAAGTGTCTGTCGTCCAATCCCACTAGACTGACGTAATAAAATAAGGCTTTTCAATAAGGACTTGTAAAATTTTCTTCCTAATATGAGTCGTTTTATCAACTTTAATGCAACTCAGTAACCGAGTAGAAGTATGTGCACGCGGTTTTAAACTACATTTTGAGTGAGGACTAGTGATGCTACCTGGTAGCGTGCACCGAAGTAAATGGACGATCCAACTCTGAGATATGATAGTTGAAATCTGAGTGATTTAATCACTATCGTTTGATTAGAGCAAGAATGTTAGTGAACTTAGTAGTTTCCACAACTGGTTTAAAATATGATTTTAGGGTTCACAAGAAAACAAGCTAAAGGATCAGGTTTTCTTTAAGAGGATTGTGTCATAAGGTCGTTAAATTCTAACAGATAAGACTGTGAAACCGGTTGAACATGCGTAGCCACTGGTCACTTTGAAGTGAATGTTGGGAGAAACTCAGAATAGATGAATTAGACTACTTAATTATTAATATGTCTTGCCAGAAATTAAAATTTTTTAATCAGATTTCTTCCGAAAGCGAAAAGAGCCTAAATGAAACTTCGGTAACCTGGCCTAATTACATCTATCTGTCCTACTACAAACTTACTCATTCCAAATAATTCTGATAATATCTCTATTTTTCTGTTATATTTGAGTTTCATTTAATCACATTACTTAAAAGTATAGGGTTTGGACTGATCTTTGTCCTTAGTTCGAATAGATTTAATCAGTTTATCAATTCACTACAGTTTTTACAATCCTTTTTGAATTTTCTATGAAATGCAATTAGTTTTAATTGGAGGAAAATCTTTCACTACATAATTTTAGTCTAAAAGTAACCTGTGACCATAATAACACTGATGATAAAGACAACATGATAATAACCTATATATTAAGAGTTGTAAATAAAGATAATGAAAAAAAGTGTTCGGTTTGATGTTATTCAGGATGACAACATTTATTATAACGACAAGTAAAACTTACGAGAAATGGAAAGTACCATGGTTTAGGAATACCATATTTTCCGGGCCAAACAGCACTTATATAGTGAGTTAGTATTAGAAATACAATAGAATCAAAAATAAACATTGAGCATAGGAAATGAATAGATAGACTGTCATCTGGAGAAGCTGGTTTGAAATAAGATGAGAATTGTACACCCAAACCTACAATTTAACAGTAATAAACGATATGAAATAAAAGAAGTCTTACAAAATGATCACTACAACTCATTACTAAGGTAGTTTCCATTCAATAAAACTGTTATGAAGTACCCATAACCAGATTTTGTATATTTAATAGTGTCAGTTAGAAACAGGTAACGGTGATTATTCACTATTTCCATCGTGAAACAGTGAAAAGTTCAAAAGGTATACATCTCAGAGGCATTTCATCACAGCACATAATAAAAAGTATTTTCGGAAAAACAGAATTTTAAATTCAATCGTAACTCTGATTACATAATACAAATGAGTCGGGGATGTTAATCAGTGCACTACTGAATGCATGAAATCGATAGTTCATGACAAAATGTGACAATCAGCAATTTACTGGAGAATCATTTAGAATTTTTCTCTATAAATAAGCATGAAAACTGAAATCGAAGTGGTACCGATTTGCAGCCAGTCAGTCAGTTAAAAAGGAGAACTTCGTACGTACGTAAATACGTTCAGGTTGCTATACCACATTAGCAACTGTCAGTTCAAATCTCATAGTGGTAGAAATAGTAGAAGTATTAGCGGAAATGAAGAAGATTAGGGTTCGAAGAAATTATTCAAGAAATACCATTCAGTCGAGGAAATTTAAAAAGGAGACAGACAGAGGTGATGAGGAATACAAAGGATTATGGTTTGAGAGAAAACAGAAATCGGATGTGCCTGCGCCTTTGCAAACGATTTTGAGCCATGTCATTCAAGGTCTCTAACCATCAATTAGTAACATCTCGCCGACCCCAACCAAGTAGCTTACACTTACCAACATGACTCAGTCCACTTGTCAGTTTCCTGATGGATTTGTGCCATGATTTTGGTTTGGACGCCTTTGGCTTTCTTCTAACCTACTCCCTTACCACAAAACATCACTCATCAAGGCAGTCGGTGGTTGGGTACTCGTCGCAACCACTGTTAGTTGTTTCCATAACTATTGTAGTTATGCTATAACTAACCAATCAAATTGTAGTTTAAGCGTTCACCACGTAACCGGATCTGACGAGCCCGTAAACTATCTTTGTCGTAAATTATCAACTAATTGAAGGACGCACGTTGGCAAAAGCCAATCGAGCCTTCTCTATCAGTGCTGTGATTCTGTCACAAACCAGACCATCAGCACTGATGAAACTCCCGAGATAAGTGGAGCAGTCAAGAAGCTCAACCGCTTTAATCCCTATCACAAGTTTAGGTACTGACGCCAGTCAATTTTGAAGGAACATTTTGCATTTTGAGGAAAACCGCATCCTGAACATTGTTGCATAGGGTGGTCAGAAGACTACATTTTCGCAGTGTTTTCACCAAGTAGAACTATATCATCGGCATACTCTAAGTCAATAAGCGAACCTCCTGGTAGAAGGTCAATTACTGAAAAGTTAGATGATGGAAGTGACGTATCTAAAAGCCTGTCAATGTCAAAGTTAAACAGGAATGGAGAAAGTGAGCATACTTGACGGACACCACTTGAAGTAATGAATTCCGATAACAGTTCATTACTTCAAGTTCCACAGTTGACTGAATCTTGACTCTTGTTAATAGAAAAAGCCAAAATATTTAGGGTACACATCATAATTTAAAAGTGAAACAGAACATAACATAATTATTGTAAGTTATTAAGGACATTACCGGCGCCCTCGAATTGTCCAATCAAAATGCAAAGGAAACCCATGCCTAAACTGGGTAATAAACAAGTAATCAACTTAATGGATAAATTCAATTCATTATAATGTCGTTCCAAAAGTGGATAAGGCAATGAGATAACAATCAGAATTGTACAAACTATTGCCACACCAGTATGAGCTATAATGTAAGCAGAAATCAAGAAAGACATTTTTGATCATAAACAGTATACAGGTAATTAACAGTCTAAAATTCTTTATTTAAAATATCCGCTGTCCAAAATGGCTGCTTGATGCCAACCGAAAGCACAAATAAATTAGGTTATTTAGTTTTCGTGTGCATTCATATCAAGAAATTTTCGGACTGTTGTATTTTTGAACATTATCAAATATTGTTAGAAAAAAACTTATTTTGATTTTGTTGATGGAAACACTGGTAAACATCAGTAGGCAAACTAAATATTGTTTCTGACTTGTTGAGGTTTTTCTCAACATTACTCGTGTTTTTAATTCAGTATGCTAATTACTTAGTGTAATTTCTTCCTCGAGTCTTAAATATATTGATACGTCCTGATCATTTTTCCCCGTCATCTACACTAGTCTTATTTATTTTGATACCTTTTCTCTTTTGGGATTGTCACACATGGAGGCGATTCGAATAAATACAATTCAGTAAGATACTCTACGTCGTATATATATCTACAAGAACCCAGTTGAATTAATTCAAAATCCAAAATTAAGACTCATATTAATTTATATAACTCATTAACACTTAAATTACTGAAGCAGCTTTAAGCCATATTTTTGTGCGAGAGCTAGGGTTAATACATACAAAAAGAGGTGTTATGAGGTTAAAACTTGGAATACATTGGTTGGAAGTCGATTGGTCTAATCACTAAGCCCCTTTGTACAAAATGAAATACTAATTTACCTTTTCCATCGTCTAATCAAAACACTAGGGTTCTGTTAAACAGCTTCTGAGTATTTTCATTTATTATTTTCTCATAAACATGAAAAACTTAGGTGAAGAAGTTTAACTATAAAATTCGAAATACTGATAAAACCATATACTATCAATCTCACTAATAATGATTTCATGGTACGCTATTTGTTGTACTCAATCAGGAAAATTTGTAAACATAACACATGAAGCTTCTAAGGCAATAAAAACCAAATAGAAAACTACGTACACTTACCAGAGTTGAATAAAGTAGAAAGAGCAAATCCAAACGTAAAAATACTGATACCATATAGGAGTATAGACAAGAAAATAAGGAATGGATTCGATAGTCCCAAAATAGGGCCATTTCCTGATAATGGAAAACAGAGCAAAATAGTAAGAAAGAGGCTAATGAGAATGAACACAAACGAGTTCGCAATCAGCCAAGAAAACCAATAAGTTGATTCTCCCAATCCCAGAAGCTTCAACATTTCCTACAACTGAAAATTTAAGATTAGATCTTACTTTCATTCCTCGTTGTTTTTCGATCAGGATAAGTCGAATGCAGTATAATGTTGGGAAAATGAAGCTCAATATCAACGCAAGTGCCAGCTGTTTTTGGATGATAATTATGAAATCATCTTTGACATAAGGTGGAAACGGCATTCTCTGTAAGACAACCTTCAATTTTTGGGACGAATCATTGGTTTTGCAATTCATGTTGATTAAGGAGCGATCTATGGCGTATTGCAGAACTAAAAATTCTTTCTTATAGTTGGGAGGAGACGCTGCAATATCCGTAGATCTCGGACCCCCTTTGAAAAACATTGGGAATAACGTTCTCGTATACCAGTCAGTTTTGGAGCGAAGCCTTATGGTATAACTTGCCACATTCAAATTGGGAGAAGAAACAAAGATCACAGCTCCCAATGTTTGTTGAACTCTTACATCATCGCTCTGAAAATACGCAACAGCCTCACTTTCCGTTTTAAAGCCAAAAGGTTGCAAATTCGTATACATGTAAACCATGTTCATAATTTGGAGACTTACTGTATCATTGGGAGCGTACACCACATATTTGTGCGAAAAGTAGAAATCACTATCTACATAAAATGAAGACCAGTGTGAAGACTCTTGAACTACATCTCTCGACGTCCTTCCGCGTAAGAAAACAAGTACACATACTAAGAGCAAAGGAACAGCAATAACAAAAATAGCCTGGAACCATGAACGCCAGAAAAGTAGCAGATTTTTCTTTGTCATCCAAAGGATGTTAAAACAAATGCCAGTCATTATAGGTCAACAGAGCCTTTAAAACAACTTTGAACGAGTTTAAACAATCGTATGAAATGCTACTTAAAGGTTGAAACAATTTCAGAGAAGAATCAACTAACAAGATGCAGTCTATAATCTGAACTTTAAATACTAATGATCACCACAACAGGAAAGCGGTCTTTTTTTAAATATACGGAAATCTGATACTGAAGAAGAAACTTTTTAACGAGAGAAGATACGGGGGACAACAATGACATCCTTCCTTTTCATCTTGTGACCTGAAAGTGAGCAAAACATAACTGAGAGACCAATAGAATCAGTATTATGGTATAGTTTGTGAAATAATGATAAGATTTTTCGCTACACTGATTTTAGTTAACTATAGTACATTGTTGTGGGGGAGGGGGAAACCATATCTTCGATTTTTCAAATTTGAGTTTGTTTGGTTGGTACGGACTTACTCATTCCTGAATGAAATTAGCCGTCAATCCTGTCAGTTGATTGTTTATCGTACACACTAATTTTTGTATCCGTTTCAATCATAAAATTTTTTCTATAGCCAGTGACGCGGTTAGTTTAATGCAAATAATTTTTGTAGCATTTCGGTGTTTTTTCACAGCTTCACAACCGTTTATGATAGTGTGGTGGAGAACAGCCGTAATCACCCAAGGTTACCATGCGAACACGGAGAATTGCCCTATAAGCAAGCAAGCACGTGCCTGAAAATACGCCATAGTTTAGCTGTTTGTTTAAAAGTCGGCATTATTGAACTAACTCAACGACCTAACCTATTTCCTGGATGGACAAAAACTTGCTTCTTACTATTTATTTCCTTGTATTATGATTTTAATGACAACATAAACGAACTTTGAGACAGAATCTGGATCTATAGATGTGTAGTAATGCAGTGCGATCAAGCGAGGGCTACTTGCTAAAACGCTTTAATGACATAAGCCTTCAAATACTTTTAAACTAAAGACAAGATCATTAGCCTGAAGATGGTTCTGTGTAATAAAATGAAGTTATAACAAGCGAAATTTTAGCAAAAACTAGACATAATATATCACAGGAGAGTAGTGAAAACTAGTCTGTAATTCGCTTATTCCTGACATATTAAGAGCTGGTTGTTAGGGATTGTTTACAATACTAGGTAGATTTTTAGTTAAAGAGTTTGCATTTGTTCAGTTTTGCCCAAGCAAGCGGTCAATTTCTTGAAGATTGATTTTGCCACCACTTAAGCGTTTATTTTTTTCCCAGTGCACGAGTCCATGCCCAACTTAAAACCAAACGATTGCCCTTGTTAGTGTCCGTAGAATTTATATTCAACCTTCAAGTTTAATGAAGGTACAGATGACTTTACTCTTGGGTTTACAACTGACTAGCCATCCAAACTCTAGGATAAGGCAGTACACCATCCATTTGCTTAAACTATCAGGATTTACACTGAATATGTTCCTGGTCCACAGGCATGTAACTCAGGCTTATTTTTATTTCAGCTGTTTTAACTTTGAGACCCATTGATATTGGTAAATATAACATAGTTTTTCAATTTATTCCAGTCAGTCACAACCGGACTAGTTCTTTGTGGGGCAGGGTTTAGCGAAACAAATCAAGATCACTATATCCGCAATGACTTTAATATCTTAAGGAATTACAAGTCATTGATTTCACCGACCTACTTTCTAGCATAACGACTATAAAGAAGTTTTATATCACAAGCAAAGATTGAATCATCCACGTGCTTGTCATGGAAACACATATCATAACAAAACGAACTTATCCAGAAGCCGATGTAGGGGATTTTAAAAAAATTCAATCTGTATCTTACGTTTCTTTCTGAATAACTAAACACCTTTATGCAATTTTTACTTCGAACACCTGTATGAGATACTATACAACATATTCACCAACCTGATTATAAAAAAGCCGCTTTGACCTAACAATAAAAATCCGCGCCAATACCCAATATCTTTTTCACGAGCTAGTATAAACTAATTGATTTCTTTGCGCTCGATTCTTGTCCTTTCTGTGCGGTTCCAAGTGTTTAGTAGTGTCTAATGGATGGAATTCTAGCCACCAGACTACACAAATTGTAGTCAGTTGGCAGCTGTTTGTGAGTTTGTATATCTCGTGATTTGAATGAGAACGTTTGTTTCGGGAAAGTAGGGTTACCAGCAGCTATCACATTACCAGACCGGAGATCAGTTAGTTGCAATGTGGAGAATAATTATGGGAGAACTCTAATGCTAATAGGAAGATTTCAGAAGTAAGTAAATAAATAGATACCTTAGTTTATTAATTGGTTGTGAAGATTTAATGAGAGAGAGCCAAAGTGAAAACAAGGGAAGGGAAACAGTGATAATAGGCCAGCTATATTAAGTCACTGGTCCATTGAGGAATGGGCAGTGAAAAACCGTTCAAGAGTAAACCAACAGAAGTGTCACGTCATGTACATTCTGCCCCATATGACGCAGACGATTTACACCCTCAATGGAAGTCCAATCCCTAATGTCTCCTCAGACAGCGATCTCCGTTTAATAATCACAGAAGGCCTCCACACAAGCCTGAACTATATAGGGGACGCAGCCAAGCCAAATACGACTGTCCACTTTATGCGAAGGCAACTTGATACTATCAGCCCACAATTATTCTAGTTATTTGTGCTGTGCAGCTGTGCAACTGTGAAGCTTTTACGTTGCGAAGGGTTCGGCTGAAAAACTAAATAATTGCAGTAATAGGTGAAAAAGTAAAATCAAAAGTACTACTACTATTGTTTTTTTAAGTAAAGAAAATACTGGAAATTTTCTTTGAACTGAGTGCATCCCAAATATACAGCAGTACTGACCTTAGCCTACTTGAACGTATTAAGAGAGGATATGCAGAAGGACAATTGAGTGAGTACCAACCGAATTTTAGAAAATTCCTCACAACTGAGCCCTCTTATACTGTAAAGGTCCATAGCAAGACGATATCGAACCACAGTGGATGTTACGAGATAAAAGTTCATAAAGTTACATGAATGCTATCAAGTGAAATGGCGGTGCTGAAAAATGTAGTTCACATGGAAATCCTTGTTGTATTTTTCACTTCGAAAAACTGAAAGTAGAATTCAGGTGTGTGGTTCCTTGCTTTTTTCGCACTAATAACAAACATGTTACGGGAGAAATGAAGACATTTGGCTGATTAAAACCTTTATATAAATATCATTAATTTCACTGTTTTTTGGGTATATTTGTTTTACTTAACTTATGAACTTGTTTCATTTATTATTTTCGGACATTTTGGTTTCTGTTTGTCTTGGTTTGCTAATCGGGAGTTTTTTCTCCAGGAACCTATAAAATTGAAGGTTTTTGTAGTTATTATAATTATTGTTGTTAGAACGATATTTTGGTCGACTATTTGTGAATTGCGAATAGACTTCGGTATTAACTTTGGAGTTTGGTTCTATTGTTAATTTGGGTTCGTGAATTGCAAATAGATCGACATACTGTACTTCAATAACGGGAGGGAGCAAAACTTGGACGTAACACATGCCGATTTACAGTCAAGATCAAAATTTTAAGATTGCTAACATATTTTTTTGATTTACACGATATAAAAATGAAGGCACAGTGATCTGATGCTTGTGAGATATTATATTTATCCTTTTTCTTTTAATATGATTTCTTGGTAGGAGGTTACGGACATCAGTATCACTGATAAGTTACATCCTGCTATATCGTAGGGAGACGTAAGCATTCAAAATTTTCTGCCCCACAGACATGGGCAGATTGAGTTTTTGCCCCACCATCATGAATGTTGGTTAGATACACCACCCTCCCTCCTTCAGATCCAGAACAATAAGTCTTCGGATATACAAGCTGTTGAGACATTAGTACATGACCAAGAAACATGTGAATGAAAGCTTTGCTGGCTGGAATATAAAGGCAATACACCGAATCAGTTGTAGTGTAGTGAAGTCATATATTTGAATTCGCTTACATTTTATTAGGTCAAGCCTTTCGGTTAATTTATTTTACCAGACCATTTGTATAACAATAACTCATATGTACCATTGGCTTTTATTAATGTGTGGTTTGTATGAATTGGTATGACTGAACATTGTTTACACCTACGCACATATTCATCCTATTCACTTTAATATTAATCTCCTAAATATCACGATGACTCAGATATCTTCCATTGTATACATACGAACATTTTAATCTTATTAATTCATTCGCCGATTCGCACATTCACTCGCTAGTGTGTCTGTCCGGTCTGCTTGTGGTCTGCCATCCCTATTTGTGGTGTGCCAAAATAAACGTATTCAACACTTCGAGTTTAGCTTCTGCTTTATAACCGTCAGACGCCATTTGGTAACGATTGTCTGAACGAGCTAATTACCGATCTTTATAACACGCAGATAATTGGTCACCACAGTAGTACCCTGTTGCCCATAATGCATATTAAGCGATTTTTTGTAAATAAACTAATTTGTCCGTCAACTAGTTATGAAGGTTTTAAAGCAGATGGCTTTGGTTCACTCTCTGTATACATAGAAGACTTAGAAGTAGGTTCATCAGCAAAGTCGCCTAGTTGCCAAAAAATTAGGAACCGTAACAACTCTAGCTTTATTCCAGTACACTCGAAATCCAGTCAGATATGACGTACTACGTTTTTCTTCCATTCTGAACTCAGTATTCCTGACAGTGATGATGTCCACAAAATAGTGTTCCATCATTCTATCTAGAGGAGCGATCTCATGGTCATTAACGTCGGGTTCATTTCTGCTGTAGTCTGTAAAACAGACGCGCCGAGTAGTCATGAAGATGATCAACTCTACAGCCCCAACCAAAAACAGTGAAACAAAATACGGCGCGTTTCTGGAAGGCATGGACTGACTTCCAACAGTAATACAACCGAGGAAACCTGAACAGTCCAAAAGGAGAAAAAATGCCACCAACCCTGGATTTGACAGGAACAATTGACATTTACTAAGACAAAAGAAAAATGTAACATGGCCAAGAACCCTGTGACAGCAAATACGAAATGATGGATTAAATGAACAAGAAGTGTATAGGAACAGTGATAATTTATGTCCTACTTGATGATCTATGTTTCGAATTCTGTTATGAATCACAATTTCTGCAAGTTCTCGATCATAATCTTGTCAGGCTGTTATGACTCACGAACTATGGTTTGAGCATGAGTGCG